AACCAATGAGTATAATAATCATTATTATTATTACAATTTATAATTGCGCATTCCATCCTAGGATCCCAATGTGCAATGCATGAAAAGCAGGAAAGAGAAAAACAGAACCAGGGCAACCGACCAAACTAAAGAGGGGAAGGCCACTTTAAAGAGATGGGGTTTCAAAGCAATGAGCAGTGCACCCTCCTGTGTTAGAGAACCACTGCCGAAGGTGACGCAACTCGTGATATACTTCACAAGCCACTATTCTCATAACACATTCCTGCGGAAGTAGCTGGTAGGAACGTTGGGTTGCTCGGTCAATGGCCAGGGTCAACGGCGGCGTGGTGTATTCCGCAAATATGGCCGACTGTGAGGGCGGGCACAAGCCGGCGTGAGTAGGTTAAACGTTGAGTTTTATAAGGGCACTACGGGGTGACCAGCCCCTCCCCACCCATCCCCACCCCTCCCACCCCTACCCCACCCAGCCCCTCCCCACCCAGCCCCTCCCCACCCAGCCCCTCCCTCCCCACCCAGCCCCACCCCTCCCATTTTTGGATGCACGACGGACGGACGGACACAATAATCCCCTGTGGGCTGGTGTAACCAGGAGGTTCCTACCAGAATAAACCCATGGGGTGTCCACCGTTCATCTGTCACAAGTGTCAACCACGCCAAAATGTTTGTTTTCATCAGAGCTGGAATGTGCTTAATTACATGAAAACACAGAGTTAACACGATTATTTATTTTGAGTCATTAGTGACTCGGCTGAGTCCGTCAATTCAATTTCACCCGAGAACCCACAGTTTAATCACAAGCATCAGCAGCAGAATCGAGATTTGATCCCAGTGTCTCAGTGGCGCTGGAGGGGTCATCTGATCCCAGACCAATCGTATTGATTTTATTTATTATTGGTGGCACGGTTTGTATCCGGTCACACTTTTTTTTTCCAAAACCAACGTGCCGTCATGGTTGGTTGGCCTACACATTGGTAATTATTTGGTTTTCTATAATGCCCGTGAAAAGGTTATACTTGCGTAATTAAAGGTTAACGGATCTGTAATTATTTAAATAAGGTGTATCTTCCTTTATGAACAGAACAATGATGCATTGTCTCACAATTACGGTATAGTATTTCACTACGGTGTCAACTTTCGTAAATATGTCCACTAAATCTTATCCAACAGCAGGTCCCTCTTCTTTGGTGACGTCCACAGTAATTCCATGTGGGCCGGGAGATTTCTCCCTTTCACACTACCAAGGGCAGTGGTGATCTGAATGTATGAACGTACGTTTGTATATATGTTGAACTTCTTTTGCACCGTACGTAGCCAGCCGTGCCGATCGTAGGTTTTGGGGAAGGACAGCAAAAGTGACATCTGTTACGGGTGTGACATCCTCACCAGACAAACATATTAGTATAGACTACCAAGAGGCATATGATTCAGTGCATTTAGTGGACACGAAAACAGTCATCAAGTGAGGTGCCTGTCGGAGACAGTGCAGCAAGCAGGTCGCCGACATGTCTCATCCGTGTGAATTGTTCAGTGGTATTCGCTTTTGAAACGTGCGTTTTCTCTTGAAAATCCGATTTCCTTCCACGTGTCAAATGAATAATTTACGACCCTTTTGTCAACCTAATTCTAATTTGTATCGGTCATGGGGATTTGTTGGACCATACTTCTCGACATGAGTCAACGCGGGTCGGTGAAGATCGTGCCCAAGAACCGGTTCAGATTATCACCCATCGCTGATACTCGCTGAGGCCGGGAATTGAACTCAGCTCGCCGGAGTCATTGCTGAAGAAGTAAACGTTCATAAAAGTGTATTTTTAAAATATATATCCACGCGTGCCACACAGCGTGACCCTCAAACTATGACATCGATTATGACACTGAGCAGTGTCCCAGTGTCAACACAAGAAGCGGTTCCTCCACGCCCGTGATTGGGAGGTTTCAGAGAGGACAGAAGCGAGTTAAGGAATTAACCCCCGATCCTCCCCAAAGCGGGCACTGCGGCGAGTGGATCATTGGCACCGGAATAATGATCATAATGGATTTAATGGATTTCTGTCTGTCACAAGGAGTCGCGTTGTAGCACAAGCGCACAAACACTCTACGGACGCACGCGTGCACGCATGAGCACACACGTCCATGCGGACGTCTGGCTATTGATGAAATCTTAAGCACTCGGCTTTGACACACACGGCACTTGCGCAGAGGCGCACGCACGCACCACCCGCTCGCACGCGAGCACAGAGCCTCCATTCAAAAGGGGGTCAGCCACATTTAAGCGTCTGCCATCTGTCCCGTGGCCGCACGCTAACAAACGCGCCCTCCGCAGAGCCATGCAAAGCCACAGCGTCACACACACACACACACGCGGCACCACCACCACCACGACCACCACCACAACCCTCGAGTGTGGCCAGCGATTACAATGAAAAACCGGGATGTGACAGGCCCAGGGATTTGACGCTTCAACGAATTCTTGCAGGAGACATTTGATGCCAGAGGTTCATAGGCTGATGGACTAAAAGGTTATCTTACTCTCTGCGTCGTCAAAAAGGACCTTCCGTGCGCAATGTTTTGTTTCTTACCCAAACGCCACCATGGCGGTGCTGAATGAATGTCGCAGGCGCTCCAGCAGTAACATTCGTCATCAATGCCACCTTCCCGCACAAGGCAGGTAGCAATTCATGCATTACGATATATTGTAAAACTCACGATACATGTAAATTAGACTCAATTATAGAGTATTTTATTTACGTAATATCAAAATATTGCAGCCCCCCTCCTCCTCCCCCATAAATGAATAATCCACTTTGCAACACGATTTTTGTTCCTGGGAAGTTATTTTCTAATTGCTCATGCCTCAAAAGTATAGAAAATGGCTATTATTTCCCACAAACTTTGCAACGTGGATATATTTCCATTTAACCAAGTGAAGGTCCCTTTGCTCGAGAGATTAAAAAAGTCTTCAGAATCATCCATGGTCAATCCACTGCTGAATGAGGGCCTTTGCAAGTTTCTGACATCTTCACGATCCTACGATGTACGACAAAGATCCCAAGTATAGCCTCAACAGACTGTAGGGGCAAGTGCTGTTAGCAAGCACCTATATCAGGGGTCGGCAACCAAAATAACAAGAAGAGCCATTTCTTTCCAATTCGATACAAAATTCAGTATTTAAAGAGCCGCAATGCATCTGAGTACCTGTACTCATCGTCAAGAAGCAGCCCGTAAAGAGCCGCATGCGGCTCCGGAGCCGTAGGTTGCCGACCCCTGACCTATATGAAGGCCGGCAAGGCACACGAGGGGGTGGGTGGCCAGCACCATGCCCGACCGCCTTTGTCACCGTAGTGACAAAGTTTACACACCACACCAGGTACTCATTTGAGACCAAGCCGACATAGGGGAGGATCAAGCCACCGAGCACCAGCATACGAGCTGAATTCATCACTCCAGCTCCTTGGATGACATTTCGAACGTGCTCCATTCGTCGCCTATCGGTCATTATTCTTGACATTGAGGCATCATCCCTTCTCGCGATGTGTCCGATCCAAGCCCACTGACTTTTTTTTACACTTTGAATCTCATTAACCTGTATGCTCTCGAATTCATCTCCCTTTCTCTCATTGTAAATCCAAGCACAAATCTCTCCACACTTTCTTCGCACAATATTTCGGGGTTTTTCAACTTTTTCATAAATTACCATACAATATTTCTGAATAACGTCATGAAGCCAATCATCCGTAACTTTCTGACACACCACTGTGACGTAGATTTGGCCCCGGATAGGATTTGAATTCACGATTTTGTGACCAACCAGCTCTGATGCTTCTCAAGGGGTGTAGTTTAACACGTATGCTTTCGTGGCCAATATTATCCAAAATAAGGGTTTTAATTGCTTTTGGTTAGATCGCTTAAATGTTATTTCGAATGGATTAATAGCAGATTTAAGATGTAATTTTAGATGTATCCACTCAATTGTCTGTTCAGACGCAGTGGACCAAGTCCGTTCCTCCTTTAAAGTATTGAAGGCAGCGGAGTGTTTACGATGCGGGTCGATGGTTTGCGATTCATGGCCGCACTTACAGGCCGCCAATTCCTTGATGCACCATATGTGGCATCAGGAGGACGCATCGGCCATGCTCACGTGAATATAAATGTGTCGTTAAACCCGCCACCACCCGACACAGTAAGGTTTATCACGTAAACAAAACGTGCCAGTTAGTTACTAGTACCAGTTATCTTCTTGGTTCTGTCGGTAAAATCACATAGAATGGAAATATTAAAATAAAAAAACAACACATAATAAAATAATTCAGTGAGAATTATTTAATGTTTTATTTTTATTATTTCCATTCTACGTGACTTTACCGAAAGAACCAAGAAGATGAATCCCTGCAGTCACGAAAGCTTTAAATCGAAATTTAGTACCAGTTAGTTACTAGTTTAGCACACCGGTGTGTTGGAGAGTAAACCCACGTTTACAATTCGAGTATGACGTTTCGCCAACTACAACCAGCTTCATCAAGCGATTAGCCAGAATTCAGAAGTATTGCTGCATACCAGGCGAGGGAGTTCACATCTCGCCGCCGCAGCAATCCACTTGAGCTATGGACCTGCCCATGGACAGAGAACTTAAAACGACCTTCATAAATACTGTTTGGGGTTTTCGGTAAAGTCACGTAGGTTAAAAAGAAACCAAATAAATAAAATTAAATCACGACGTTTCGGAGGCAACACAAGCCTCCGTCTTCAGGTGGAACCGTCACAGCAAAATTACTATCCGTAGAGGGTATTAATTCTAGATTTGAAGCTTTCGTGACTGCAAGGATACCCTGTTTTTTTACCTACATGACTTTACCGAAAAAACCAATGAATATGTATCCTTGCAGTCACGAAAGCTTCAAATCTAGGACCTTCATGAAATAAAACAAGACCGAAAACATTGACTCAGGAGGCAACTGCTTTTGTTCAAACGTTTTAATTAAAAACTGGATAGAGACAAAGTGCCGTAAAAAACAAGACAGAGGGCGCCGTGAAGCTTGTCAAACTGCTGACGAGTGATCAACACCCAAACACTGTGCAAAACCTTGCAAACTGGAACACAGTAAAAAAACAAACCTCCAAAATCGTACAACAAAGTGTCCAAAACCATCTGATCATCTGCCCCGTGTGAGATACGCAAAGGAGGCTCTTTTAGGCAATCACATTCTCTTAAGCCACCCTCTCAAAAACACCATGACAAAAATTGCAACTGCTGCCATGCAAACATTTCTTCCATCACCATACCATTCAACTCCATTTGAAGCCTTTAACAAATAATTCACATCTTTTATCATTTGAAGATTGCCAAAAAACAGCCCCCAACATACAAAAAAAGTACTTGTAGGAAGACACAAGTGAGAAACTTGATGTAACGGTTTGCAGCCTCCCTGCGTGGAGGGTGCGGGGAAACAAGTGTGGTCCCAATGAAAAGTGATTCTTCTCTCCACCACACCAAGACACAGAAGGGACACACGGGATAGGGTTGGGGGAGGGCGGTGGCTTCGTGGCGGAGAACGAGGCAATTTGGCCTTGCCTTGGGTTTTGAGCATATGTTTACGAACAAACACGAGCCGATCGGCCTCTTTCGGGTCAGTGCTGGCAAGTGGCAGTGATGGCGCACGGAGGCTTGGCTTCTGCAGTGGCCGTGTTAACGTATGAAGGCAGTGGCCCATTGTGTGTAGTTCATGAAGCCTGGACGTTTGCGGCTTCATGGTGCAGTTGGTGAGATATGCCAACTCAAAAACGGATCTGCCTTTACCGCGTCTATTACATAAACTAATGCTCAATGCGCCTCTGTGGAAATATTGATGCTGAATGTTCAATGAGTTGTTGAAAGTTGTTCATAAGCAAAAGTCTAATTTACACCACTGAAGCCCATTTGATCGTGTCTCAAAATCAACTGGAATTCGACACATTACCTGTCCTCACCAATAGTTAAAAAGAGTATCTATTTTAAGGTTTTTAAATATAAATTGGCACCAAGAGACGAATACAATTCGATTTGGAATGCTCTCAAGGAACAATTTCACCATCTTGTCATAAAACAGCCCAAACGATGGCAACACAAAACTTCTTAAGTAGTTTATCACAGAGCTCCTTCTAAAGTCCCTGCAGTAATCCATATTTGAGTCCAATTTATATTTGGGTCAAATATAAACATTAAACTTTCAGAAATAGAATATGCCAATTAAGTGAAAAACTAAACTTATTCTTGCAGTTCAGGCAGTTGTTGGTGACCAGCTGGAGACCAACTTGCCACAGTGGCGAGATGTTTACTATCTCACCTGGTATACAGGAGGTCATGGGTTCTATACCGACCTTGCCGCCTGCTGTATATTTGGAGTTTGCATGTTCTCCCCGTGGTCGGACGGATTTTTCTCCATGTCCTCTGGTTTTTCCCTCCACATTTAGAAACATGCATTTAAGAGTATTTGGCTGCTATACATTTCCACATGGCAAGCCACTTCGTTGAGCTATCATTTGCGACCAGGTCGCTTCTGAAAAAGAGCTGCATAGCTCAGTGGGCTTTACCTGGAAAAAATACTAAGTTTCGTTTAATTTTAACTCGATCATGCTTAAGAACACAGTTTAATCAGACTGCTGGAACCTAGATTCGAACCTCGACTCTCATGGTACTAGCTCAGTGCTCCAGTGCAACTCCTTTCCCTGTGCCACCTGCCACCCCCACGAAAACTCAACTTTGATCTGCAGCCATGACCGGCCCCTCATTTTTGATCTGCAGTACATCACCTCCATCGCCTACATGCAAATGTAGTCTTTTTTTCAATGAAACTTCAAAACAAGAGGTCAACCCCCTTCCACTGCCTACAGTCCTTGCCCTTAAGACTTTCTACAATGATGAAAGCCTGAGCAAAGCACTCACGCGTATTCCACTTACGGACTTCCCATTCAGTTTCTCCTTTTCTCTCTTGCTCTTATAGATGTCAACCAAGGTCCCTCGTTTTGGCTGGAGTCGCCGTTAATAGACTAAAGTTGTCGGGGGAGGGGGCGCGCTGGAATGGAGCCAATCACACAGGGACATTTGTGATCACTTGGGCCTTCTAAACCAATCAAACGCGGTTTGACATGAGACTGACAATATGTTCTATTGTTCTTATCACAACAGTGGTCCTTTTTACACGATACTGTATGTGCATTGGTTCAATGGAATAATTTTAAACGTGCTGAAAAATCTTTGAACTTGGTTCTACACAAACAATTTATAGCCAAATCAATTCCACGATAATTATTTATCTTATTTCGCGTAAAAAGGGTCCAACCTATGCAATTGGTTCGTGAAGCTTCCGTGATTGCCACATTCCATCGATTCCCCTACCCACGTATATCTGTACATTTGCCTTTAAGTCGCATAATATACAGCAAAACCACTCTCCAGAAACCACAAGATCTTATTTATAGCATAATAAAAGCTAATGAAATATTAAAGGCGCTGTTAGGCAGTGAAATCATACATAAATTATGTCAACAAAAACCAAATACATTTAGTTACAATGCTAACCACTGATCTCAATCCTAACACAAATCTAAACATTTAGTCCAAAAAATACTTAACACACCTTAAATAATCATTACAGCCCTTACACACAACTATGTCTTATCATGAAAGAATAGACCACTTTGCAAATAGCCTTGCCTTGCTTGATATCACAAACCACACGGCAGCTGAATTATAAACTGGTCTAACTAAACCTCTGACCACAGGAGCATGCTGTTGTGGTGGTGCGTTTGTCTGGCCTTACAAACCATAAACGTTTATAACGAGTTATACAGGTTCCTTGATTCAGCTCAAAGTGTGTTGGGGCACTTCCCACGAGGTTATTGGGACTCTTTCGAATGATTTGACAGCATGCCAGTTTAAGGTGTGTCAAATGTACACGTGGTGCGGTGAAATCAAAGAAGAAATCTCCACGCAGAAATCTTGCAGTCGTTCAATCGGATATATTAGTGACTCGTATCTTACTACCAAGTGTGATGTGATGAGCACTTAGTTGAGTGGATTTATACTTTACGAGATGTTACGATATTGTTTCAACTGACTTGGAATTTCACACAATCCTGCAGGTTTCCACCACGTGGGATGTGACATCAAGCGGGGTCAGCCATTGGTGCCTTAAACAAGCAGAGTCTTTGCGACAAAATAAAAAAACATCCCCATAAAAATACAAAAACCATTTCCCCATCAACAAAACAAGGGACGAGGAAATAAACACCATTGAATTACAACGGGTTGGCAATGCTGCAAAACGTTACGCTTTTGCCGTAAATGATCCTCTACACCTTCTTTGAAACATATATATAAACAAAGTGACCAAAAAATGCCTCTCCGCAGCTCGGAGCGCACACAGTGGAGCAGGCTGCGAGTTTCGGCGCTGCTGCGTTAAACATCCACATGACCAATTAAGCGATTTAACCAGCGCGTGCGTGCTCGTCCGAAACTGGGTCACGACAGGCGCCATGCACCCGGCGCCTCTCCAATCCGGAGCCACGACGACCCCAGACGTGACCGTCGTCCCCCTACTCCCAAGAGGAGGGGGGAGACCTCACACAACCACGGTTCCCACCCGCCCGCCCGCTCACGCGCGTCCGCAAGACCTTCTCTCCCTACCCTGTTGTAGCGCGCAAAAAAAAAACCTGATGGGACTTTTATTTTCATTCCCCCGTCTCGCACCTGAACGTGGACATTAAAGAGAATCGCGGTGGTGCAGCCCTAGGCTCGCTTTGTCAAATCCCTGAAGACGGTTCTATAATCTCTACAATTGCTAAATCCATCCAGGTTTTGCAACAACAAAAAGAGACGCGCTCCCGCAACCTCCCCCCCCCTACCTCCCACCGACGCCTGTGAACTGCGCCTGCTGACCCGAGTGTAAGTGGCAGCGGTCTACCATGAGAGGTCTCCTAGGAGAGAGGATTCGGTTGGAATGCGCTTGGGAGATGTTACACGCTTCCAAATAAGGCGGCAGAAGATACAAGGCCAATGTGCAGTAATGCGTACGTACACGAACTGTATTTATGGCCATGTGTAAGCCCATTGAGAAAAACTTTTATTTTGCAATGGAGAGTTAAGGTTTCCTGCACCTCTTGAGAAGAGACTTTCGAACGGACTTAAAGGGTGCAGCACCGTAAGGCCAAACAGACCTTAATGTTCGCACGAGAGGTGGTCACGCCATTTTCATTAAAATAAGTCATCAAGAGCTGGAAAAACGAGCACTTGAAAATAAACTACGAATTTGAACGATGGGGTTTGTGTGTGCAGCCACTGGTGACTGAGCTGGGACCACCAAGTGTGCTTCTATGAATGTAATGATTCACCTCCTCACGATTCAATTCCTTGTTTGCTATTGTGATGCATGTGCAAGCCATGAGCGGGGCTGCAGCGCTTTCATGAATATACACATCTTGAAAATAATCGCTTCTTACACGCATGATAGTCATGCGTGGTGGGCATACAAATCGATTTTATTCGATGAATCATTACATCCTCAATTGCTCCACTTGAGAATGCTTTATTCTTGGTTTGGCTGCCTAGACATAAATCTAGGCTGGTGCTCAGTTATCAGACAGTGAGCCACCTCCAAGCATTACAAACTGTGAGAGAAATACAGCGCTGTAGCTTGCCACCTCATGAAAGCGTGTATCGGGATCAGTCACTGCAGAAACAGACGGAGGAGTTAAACTGGGTAGGGAACAGGCGAGGGGGGCTCGCCCCTGGCTCAAGCCATCACAAGCGCGCACGCGCTTGAGTACAGCACGCTTCTAAGATACGGACTTAAACCTGTGCAAAACGCAAGCCCGATTCGGCATAAAGATTAAAGCGAGAAATTCTGTGCATTGTGTCATAGCAAAAAAAAGATCTGTTCAGAACATCTATTTGGCAAAAATAAATTTCAGAATCATTATAATCACAATTTAACACGCAAAGGCAGAGATGCGCAAACTAAAAATGCCATTACATTCCGCAAAAAGTGTATGATACATTCCACAGTGTATATTTTAATTTTGATGATGTCCTTAGCGTTCACTACAAAACCTGTCACATTATGGATATTTGGTCAGAAAGCGCTGCCTTCCAATATCCAATTGTTATCGTGTATAAAACATTTTTATTATCATATACTCTAAGAAAGGTATCTTTGTGCTTAAGTAGTTTTATTTTACCAAAGTGTGATGCTTACGTAAAAAGACGCGCCGCGGATTCTCCTTCGCCGGATGCTGTTGAGTAGCGTCAAGCGAAGGCTCGCGGTATTTTGCTCATCACCAGCAATTCAAGCAACATTTTAGAGGCCAACCTTCTGCTACTAGAGGTCACATGGTCCTTTACACCAAAACATGCTGCCAGCTCAAGTGTAACTTGACTGCTATTTGAACCCAGAGGTCCCAAAAAGTGTATCAAAGCCATAGGCTTGTTTGGCGATACTGTGGCAAGGCTGCCCCAGGTGGCTGAGATTATCGCATCCATCACCACATCCAGAACCACTGACACAAATTCAGCAGAAACCACGCCATCTTTACCAGCTCACTATTCCTACAATGACACCGCGACATCGTTCACCACCATCCACATCGCTATTATCCTTAATACCATTATAACCACCGACTATGTCATCACCACATCAATAACAAGAAAACACAGCCATCGCCACATCACTATCTCTGTGACAGTCAGCAAATTCACCGCCAGAACATGCATCATCACTCAACACAATCACCACCAACAAGACTGCTGCAGCCGCCAACAGTACAACTCCCCCCCCTACTCTGTTGTGCAGATGCTGATGGAACCATACAATGGCTTCTGGCGACAGCTTGGGCACCCGCCTTGGTTTAGAGCATTTCCTGACCCTGACAGCCACTATCATAAACACCTATTTTAGTTGAAAATTAAACAAAAATGTATGGTACATTTATTTTTAGTGTAGAAATGCTCTAATAAAATATTGCATTTTTTTTCTCCCATGAAATGTAAATGGCAGCCAGGCTGCATTGTTCATACAATCGTATTTTCAAACCTCTAGTAGACAAAGGAGCCTCTAAACGTCCTTGGACTGTCGGTTTGGCTCACAGTAAAGGTGCGCAAATGTAAGAGTGCTGGGCTACAACCTGCAAACCTCTGTGAGCAGAGGCTGCCCAACTATGTAAAAAAATACAAACATTCCCAACAAACTATAACTTTGTTTTTGCTTTCAACAATAAACACCCGCTATCCGGGGAACACACACAGGGCCACCCTTCCGTATATCACGCGGGAAACAGAATAACTTTTAAGAGACGCGTAACGGGCATAGATGAAGAGCGGACGAGGCGGAGACAGGGTGGCAGCACCTTGGCCTACGCCGCCTTCTTCAGCTGCAGGAGGCGCCGCTGCAGCTGGGCCCTGCGGGCCCTGAGCTGCTCCTTCTCGGCCAGCAGGCCGAGCTCGCGGCGCGTGGCAGCCACGGCGCTCTCCGCGGCCTTGCGCAGGATCACTACCTTGGCCGCCTTCTCGTTGCCTGCCAGCTCGGGGACCTCGTCGCGGAGCGCGCGGAAGCTGCGCTTGAGGTCCTCGCGCCGCTGCCGCTCCAGGAAGTTGTGGTTGCGCCGCCGACCGTGCTCATCCGAGTCGTCGCCCGAGCCCGAAGTGAAGCCCGAGTCGGAGCAGGCGGCCGAGACTGGCGCGCAGGATGCGAACGGCACGAGCGACAGCCCGGCGGCGTGGCGCGGCGGGGACCCCGCGCCGCACCGCGGGCCGGCGGTGGTGACAACGCACGGCCTGAGGCCTTGCGCGGCGTGGCATGTCACGTCGAGGGACGGTCCCGCTATCGCCCCTTTCCTGGACGTTGGCGATTTTACGGCGGTCGCAATCTCGTAAACGGGGTCGGCGGCGCGAGGCTTGCAGCGGAGCGCGCACGAGGATTTCAGCGCTGGTGGCGGTGCCAGCCGCTTGGCTGGCTGGGAGTGCCGAGAGTTGAGGGGGGCAGCCGCGGGCCGGGTCGGGGGTGATGGCGCCGAGTAGTTGTGCTGCTCCTGGTGCACCAGGAGAGCAAAGGGGCGGCACGAGGCGGCAGATTGCGCCGAAGCCGGTGCCGCCGTGTCGCCTGTACGGTGCTTCCCGACCGTCACCACGTCAATTATCTCATCGTCATCATCGTCGTCATCATCATCATGGTCATCGTCTTCATCGTCTTCTGCTGAAAAGAAAAATATAGATTACTTTTGGGTATTGATAAATTCTCACATTAATGGATTGACGTTTGTTTAATGAGGAAAAAAGATAGTGATGATTAAGTCTCTTGATATGGTATTCTATTGATGTCACTGCTAAACATTTAATACATCAAGGCGGTGGTGAGGCTACGAGCGATACCATGGCGCACGTGCGATTTATTAACTTTTTCCTCCTTTAATTAAACCTCCAAACTCACATAGGGCAACTTTGGACTCACAGGCTGGGCACGCAATCAAAAAAATAAGAAGCAACTGTGTTTTTTCGATCGCTCCTTCCCTTTAACGGGCGAGACACCCGACGGTTCGAGAGCAAGCCCGTGTTTATAGAGACGTGGGCTCCGTGCTTCGTTGAATTTCGCCGCGTGCAGGATGTACACGGCGGTGTTCAGCGCTGCCTTGCGGGGGTCCACTGACGCAATGCACAGTGACAGGCTCGCTCAGCTGTAGCTACAGTAGAGCATTTCCAGCTACAGCCCCCCACGCAGCAGCAGTGTGAATCTCTGTGTTTCCGTAAAGGGAAACACGGAGCTCGGAGCAACGCAGCGGTCACATAGAACCCGGTGAACTATTTCCTCTTCACTGTACTACAATGACCTGAAATTCAATATCTGCTGCGTGGCTGATTGCCACTACGGCATATACATATATTGCTTATATTCGAGACAATATATGAAATAGCTTTTGTTCTATTCGCATTAGGTCACGAGACCAACACATTTTCTTTTGAGTCACTTGCAGCTAGCAGTGCACCGCCTTGTCACAAGATAGCATACAGCATCACAGAACGACTTCTCAAGTCTGTTCTGCAGCCTCTTATCCACTCTAGAGGCACATTTTTTTGCCATAAAGTGTGGAAATCAAATGGCAATCGAACCAAAAATGTTTAACTCTCAGGGCTGGAATATGCCGAATATACTGGAAATGTTACATTTATGCTGGATGTTTTTCGTGCAGTGATTGGTAACTCAACTTGCTACACTTAAAATCTAGTTTCGAGGACAGCTCCTGGATTATAACCCAGATTCTCAGCAAAGTTGCAATCCGTGCTCTGCAAGGTCATTCTTCACCCGACCCACCCGGTCACCTCAGCTGATAAACAATTAAACTGCTGACCATCCAGAGCTCACAGAATGAGGTCGAGGTTCCACCTCCCTGAGGTCACACAACAGATGGTTGCCGACCCCTCAATAATCTGGACCGAGGGCCATAATCCACACTCCAAGGCTTTACCGGCCGGGCAGATGGATCCCCGGCGACACCAGATTACCCGGCGACACATGAATACAGCAACCACCGCTCCCTCATTTTACAGGGTTCACGGGCTGAAAACTGGGGCAAACCCATTTCACCGCGCCAAGGGCCAGATTCACATATTTACAAAACGGTCAAAGCACATCACACGATTGGCTACGTAAGGTGTGAAAGAAGTTCAATATACCGTGCCATTTTAGCCCTATCTTTAGTAATGGAGGCATCAGCACATTTTCGCTAAAAAAAAACAATTGAATAAAAATAAATTGTCAGCATGTGGATTGGGTTGTAACACTTTTAACGATCTGACAATGAACAAAATGAGATTGTTTCTTTTTTATTTACCAAATTATTATTCAGTGATGAAACCAAAGTTAGTTAATTCGACAAAGGAGCATTTCAACGAATGCTTGCAGCTATCAATGCACCATTCTGTTTTCGATAAAAGCCCCAGGAAATGCTGTCCCAAAACAACTTCTCTTTGGTCTTCTCAAAAGCCTCTGATCCACACTATGATCGCACCTGGCGATTCGTTTTTTTATTTCACTTTGACTAGCAGGCCACATGTTTCTTGGACGTCACCGTCTGTCAATTCCTCTCTTGCATGGAGCCCACAGCCCTCGTGGTCGCCTCTTCCACCCAGCGTGTCACTTGCTGACGATGGTCGGACTTAGAGCTGCCACTTGATTACTAAATGCCATTGACGCGACGATCTGTCCATCTGCCCGCCATTCCCCCTCCAGCAAGCCAGCTGGCCATTCAGTCAAACTTTTTTTCTAATTTCACATGATTCCATCACTAATTCCACAATCTGAGCCTATAAATGATGAGCGCAAACACACTTTTCCTTCTAACTCCAATTCCCTTTGTGATACGAGAATCTGCTGTATGTAGGGGTTTTCCTGATGTTATTATTATTGTACTTGTTTACCTGGAAGCTCCACCGAGCCTCATTACTTTTCCAGACATGTCCTGCAAAGTCTACGCAATAAGGGGCGATGATTGCTACGAATATTCCACTTTTTCATCATTTGGCAGATTTGGACCGTGATAAATGGTTGCTTTGGTCCGAGTGTCAACATGCTGGAATAATCAGGAGAATATTTTATAGCCGACAAAAAACACTCACATCTATTTTAATCAGGAAACTTGGTAATCACACAACTGCTTCTTGTCCTTCAGTGTTCGGAGTGACTTCAATAATGGAACATTATAATTTGCAGCTATGATTAAATCTCCTATCAACTCGTTGCCGTTTTACTCGGTGTACTTCTGACAATGGGCTGCCAGAAAAGTCCATCCAAGCCGCACAAACGTCATATAAAAGGCCTTTCATGTTTAACAAATGCTTGAATCAACTACACTCACTCATTTTTGCTGGAACAGAAGAGTCCAACAGTCGCGACTGCCAGACAAAGGGACAGCGGTTCTAACAAGGCCGCCTTGCCTTGCGCAAAAGCCCATGTGCACGACCTGTGTGTTTGAACTACTTGGCCTTTTACATCCTGTTTGTGAGAGCACGTGCTCAGCCAGGCACGTTTAAGTGCTATGCACACAGCTAACAGCCGTAAGGTAATAAACTAAACGTTCACCTGGGCTTTCAGGGAGGCACATGGTCATTGTGAAAGCCTTGCAAACAGGGCGAGAGCTCACTTTTTATACTTTGTTGCAATTATTTTTTCTTGAGGTCAAAATGCCAGGAGCACAGTGCACATCCTCATGAAATTAAAATGTTACTATGGTGCAATTATTATGATGAAAATAATATCCCGTGCATTTATCGCAGCACAATCATTGTTTCATTAATAATTTCTTATTTTTTTCCATAACGAAGAGCCTAATATTAAGCAAGACTTGCCATCGATACATTGATTAAGACATTTGTACGCCATTTCCAATTTCAAAGTTTAAACCAATAGAAGTTTCTAAAGATTCACACCATCATAGATTTTGTACGCACAAGCGCCAAGTAATTGAAATGTGAATACAATTCATTACGCAAAGATCAATTAACACCTTCCAGTGATTTGATTATTTTTTATTATTTCAGGATCATGAATCAAGTCCAGTTTATTTCGTCTCGTATGCTCTGGATAATTTTTCCGTTCTTGTTCATTCTATGAGCCTAAAAGTAACAATTGCGTATAATTTGCATCAATTATACTTAATTATAGCCTACGACTAAATTACCCGGAGCGCGCCCAATCTCATCAGATCTCAGACGCTCGGCTGGGTTGAGGTTAATATAGGTGGCTGTGGGGATGTGCGATGTGGTGGTCAATAGATGGCAGTGCAGCACATTCCACTATTGTACTGTACTTCCAAACTCCCAAATATATGTGGGAGCACAGACGTCAACCCATTGTGGGATGAGGGGCTTCCCACTTCGTGCAGGCTATGGAGGTCATTTGTCCATACTTCACCACACTAGTCAACGTGGAATATTGAGAGGATGCCCAGGTCCACAACTGATGAAGCATAGAAGTTCAGCACAACAATGTAACTTTTTTCAATGCTGGAGTTTCCAAAATCGCCTGATGCAGAGATTGAAGCCAAATGAGTGTGTGCAGCTGGCATCATCGAACCCTCACCGGATTCGGAGTCGGAGGCGCTGGTGCTCCCACCGTCGCTGTCGGAGCCGACCGAGTCCGTGCGGCCGAGCACACGTGCACGCGCGTGTCCATACGCGGGCGACGGCGACCGCGACGGAAGCACCAGTGGCCCCAGCTCTGGCGGCACGACCCGCGGTGCCGACACGCCAGCAGGACCGACGCCGCGTCCTCCCCCTGCCCCCGGCGAGCCCTGCACGGCCACGGCCGCCACCGCACCGCCCCACATGCAGTCGCGGACGAGAACGGGCCACGGCGAGGTTTGCGCCGCGCCCCGCTCGGAAGGAAGGGCTGCCGCCACGTCGCCCTCATCCACCAGCCGCTGCGGCGATGGCGGCGTCAAAAAACCCGGAGACGCAGGGCAGCCCACGTACAGGGGGCCCGGCGCGGGCACAGAGCCGCTCCCGGGCCCGAGCAGCAGCTGGAACTTCTTCCAGATGTGCTCACCGGGCGCGGCACAATAGAAGCTGCCGGCCCGGAAGAGCTCGTCGTCTTCATCGGGGTCGTCGTAGAAGTAGCCGCACTCATGCTCAGAGTCGGGCCACGATGCAGTGGCGACTGTGGCGCCGAAGGTGTTCGGGAACCAGGCCATGGGTACGTTTGGGCACTTGGGCTGTGGGAGACAAGTGTGGTCAGCTCGACTCTCAAATCCCAACAGTTCTTTGTTTTCCACACCCGCCAATAAATCATTTGCATTTTTTGTGAGCACAAAAACTCCAATATCGTTAATGACTCCATACAAGAGGCAGGTTTGGCTACAGGGCACCTGTATAAGAAACCATGGCCTACGAGCTTTAATGAGAGTTCTACACAGAAAAAACATACATCAATTTCCCAGTGTGAAGAGGTCAGCTCTGCACAGTTGTCAGCCATTCACACGATGTTCCCCATTTCTGAACTGCTACGCTACATGCATGACACGTGTAGTAAGTGGATTGGCACAGTTGGATAAACGTCTCAGATGCATATCTATTGGCAGAGTGCATCGCTACTCCTATCTTGCGCTGTGTGTAACCTCGGTGGCAAACTCCATTCCTTTAATTTGGCCAATCTTGATCTCGAGGCACGTGCTTAATCCAGGGCTCAGACAGCCACAGTAAGGCAGCCCCTAATCCGCAGGATCAGAGGGGCACCTTGCCTCAATACAGCTCTGAGAGGCACGCAGTGTTGACCTCTTCCCCCATTGGGCAGATATTGCACACTGCTTTAATTAGAGTCGAATCGCGAGACCGAGCAGATGAGCGGCGTCTCCACATTAAACTGACCAGAAACTGTGTCAGCGGGACAAGGGCCTCTAGAAACACGAGCATTTGGACCACTCTTCACTACCTGCTGCTAAACGTTGGCATCAATGGAGGTCGCTGGCTACGCTTGTTATATAGTCAGTGGGTGGGTTGGCGAGCGGTGTGGGCATTGAGTGCAACTGAGAGGCATTCGACTAAGCTGCAACCGCTTCAGAAATTTGGCCGCGAGGTTTCTTTCTGGTGCCAGGCATTGCCAGCTCATGCGCCGCGTTGCTAATAAAGTTACACTGGCTGCCTGTGAGATTGCATTGGTGTCAGCATTCCGGGTTTGGCGTGGGGTTGCCCCTACCTACCTTTGTGCGGCTATTTCCTAGACACGGGCCTGCTTAGATCGCAGACGTCAAAGGACCGGATACCAACATTTCCAGCATCAGATATAAAGTTTCTGATTGAGTGTGCATAGGCGTGGCTTTCCCCTGAGCAAGGATACGGCATAGATTTCGCTAAAATCGATGCCATAGATTTGGGTCATTCGAGGTTCGCGTGAATGCAACATCATTCAGCTTTGACTGCAACTATGGTAGTCGTAACTGTCAGCTTTGTCTTCGGGCTTTTTTATGAGATCCTATATAAAACTATGATAAATGCATTGTAGGGGAATGAGTACACGCCTGAGTGGCCCGTGACATCATTTGCAAGAACAGGTTATTGTGTGCCAAGGTCACAACACAGATCCCAAATTTACCCTCCGAAACTAAGCTTGGTAAAATATGTAATTGTTATTTTAGGTGGGCATTCTCAACTCTTGAAACCCTACTGCTCAGAGACACGGATACATTGGCATGGTATACTCATTATGGTTTCTGTGACCGGGTGGTACGTGGTGATCAACCAATCACACCAAACGGCTCAATGAGTCACCAGCACTCAAATAAAAAAAAACACTTTGTGTATTAAGTGTTATTATTTAATCTGCTCGTTCACATTCTTTTCAGGACAGAGTTTCTATCGGCAATATGGTTCTGTAACCGCATCCAGTTTCACTACTCTCCTTTGAAATTCGCTGAAGTTTGCTGTTGGCTTCTGACATGTATCAGGTTACACAGTGCACAGCATCTGGAGATGGCTTATTTGGGCTTTTTTCCCAATGTCAAAATTTTAATGACAGCATATTGTATCATGTTCCGTAATCTTATCCATAAGCTCTAAGCCATCTAAATTCCCTGCATAATGGTACTGTACTCATACAAAATTACTGCTTTCGACTCTCTAATCGATTACTCAAAACCCAAATTTTACAATATTCCCACGCCAGATTGCAAGCAGTAAAGGTGCAGCATTGCAATTGCTTCCTGACGCGACTGCTGGCAGAGGGGCTTCCACTTTAAGGTATTTGGTCTACTCTTCCACACTGACCAGACGTGTTGGAAGAGATATTAAGTACCCACCCTTTACTCCACGACATGCGACTAGGCAATTGGCTGTGGTGTAGCGATACATGCTCCCGGGTGGACAGAGGCGAGTGTATTTAAGAATCTTGACCATTGTATCAACTGTCGATTGTACTGTGCACATATTAACCCAGAGCAACTGGAGTTTCTCAAGATATACCTTATAAAAAACGGACAAGAGATCACGATCGGATGCATCAATCAGCAGTATCACTCAATTCACTTAAACAATAAAACCATGGTTTATGGGCCAGTTACCTTAAACTGTTTTGGCACATTTCACCAAAAATCTCAGCGCACGCATTTCAACGAGTCACACATTTGTCGAGTGCCAACGGGGGGGGGGGGGGGGGGAGCAAAACACAGTCTGACAGCAGCAGCTTTGCCGCAAACCACAGCAATGAGATGCGAAGAAAAAGAAACACTTTAATGACAAAAAATCATTGCCCCATTGTGGAGTCAATAACAAGCAATCTCGAATGTGAAAACTGCCAACAGATAACTTGAAAAGGAAATAAAAAGTCCACGTTCATATTACATTTTTTTATGAAACCAGGTAAGAGTCGAATAAACCATTGAGCAAATAAACTTGGATCGCATCCAATCTTGTCATATCGCTGAAGATAAGCTGTGTTCTGCCACGGTGGTGGTCGGCAGAGTACAGCGCAGACAAATCCATTGTTGCATGGTAAAGTATGGTCAAATAATCTTCAAGACCGGCACAGCACGAGGAGCCCCTCATCCGGCAGTGGATTGATATAAGAGCTATAGATGCATGTGTAGAAGTGCCCACTGAAACCAGAAGTTCATTTTTAAAGGGGACCTGGGTTGGCCAATCCCTCTAACAGTCCCTTTCATGCAAGGTTCATGACATAGAAACAAAGCATCTCAGTGGATCGTCACCTAACACACAACACAATAAATGCACTGAATTAAATGTCTGCAGTGCAACCCCTGCTGTAGAGAACAGTTCTGGGTGGGTGACAGGCTCCCTGAGTTCACAATCCCACGACAAGAAATTCCAAGGAATACATTTCCAGGAAACAAGGATCACAGGTTCAGGGATAATTTGAGCTCAGCCTCCCAATACTTCAAACGGTTCCCAGGACTCAGGTTCCACGATTCAGATTCATTCAACTTATGCTGACAATAAGTAAACCATACATACAGTTCATGGTCTCCGCAGTTTAAACCCTCATACAACCCAGAATGAAACATCTCAAAACCCATGATGGAGACATCCAAAGCTCAGGGCAAAGAGTGATTCAGCTCATGGTTGTTAGGACTCGGTGCACATGGCTCAAAGTGTCAAAACCCAGTGCGCTTAAGACTTACAGCTGTGACACCAGGAGTTGTGGGTCCCTGGGTTCTGGTAGCTGAATGATACTAGCAATGCCATGAATTTATCCTGTAAGGCCTTAATGTTCAGGAGGGTCCTGCATATACGAGAAGATAATACTTAGAAGTTGAAAGGCAGGTTCATCCATTGCCCCAAAGATCCTGGATGTCTATACAGTACTCCTCCAGGCTGTGAATGCGCTTAACTTAACCCAGGAGACCTTAAACAGCTGATCCCAAAAACATAAACAAGAGGGCTATCATCTGTAGATCATAAAACAGACGTGGGTTAATTTCTAATCACAATCCAAGTCGCATTGTAGGCTTAATTTACTACGTGATTTCGATTAATTACGAACAAGACCATTCTAACATACCCATGATAGTCAATCCCATTAAACCTCTCGACCCCAAACTTCTTGCAACTGAACAAACCCCTACAAGAAACCACAACGGGGGCACAATGACTAAATCACTAGACAATCACACACCCACCTCTAAGCCCGATGTTATTTATATACACGTGAACCAACCCTTAGAACACAGAGCCACATGACTCCCACTTAAAACCCTGAACCTCAAATCATGATCCCAACCCTTCCTGAACCTTGCCGGCCCAAACCCCACAGACTACAAAGCCAAAAACCACCCAGCGAAGCCAATAACCCCCAAAGACGTAGACACCACCCTTTGTTTAGGTTGACAACCCACATATAAGAGACGCCCACCAACCACCCCCTGGACCACCGCAGGCCCCGGGTCGCTTCTCACCTCTTCCCGGGCAGAGGCGGCAGCCAAAGGCCCCGCGCCGGCCGGCAGCGCGCGGGGTCGACTAGACGCACAAAAGCTGCTTTGCTTCCAATTGTAAATAACAAAAATCACCACTCTCCCGCACGTGCAGTAACAAATTTTTTTTTTTTAAATCTACACAACCAACACTTCCCCCTTACCCCACCACAATAAAAAAATCGCCCGCAAAAAAATCCCCCTCCTCTAAAATAATCACAAAAACGTGGCAAATATCTCAAATATCTCCCGTGTGGCCGCTTCCGTGGCCTCGCCGCGCTCGCGCACGGGGCCCGGCTCCACTGCGCCGCGAACAAAGCGCGCCCCACCACTTTCCCGCCAGTCGCGCGCCGCCCCGTCACGTGGTGCACGCGCCACGAGCTCGGGGGTGGGTGGGGGGGTGGGTACGCTCCTCCCCCTTTCCCAACAAAGCCGGAGGGGGTGGGGAGGGGGTGGGGAGGGGTAACTCAAAAGCCGCGCGTCTATTGGATGGCAGGCGAGTAAAGGAGGAGTTAAGGGCGTGGTTAGTGTCGTGGTGGGGGGGGGGGGTCACGGGGAGACAGCGGGAGCGCGGGAAGGCGAGACAGCGCTGAGTTCGCCCAGACAGGGGAGTTAGCGGCCTGGTTACCATGGGGCGGGGGAGGCAGGGGGGGGGGGCAGTTATAGACGTGGGTGAGAAGGGGTGGGGGTATGGGCGTGGGTGAGATGGGGTGGGGGTTATAGATTTGGTTAATGTGGGGTGGGGGTGGGGGGTTATGGACGTGGTTGAGATGGGGTGGGGGTTATGGACGTAATTAATGTGGGGGTTATAGACGTGGTTGAGATGGGATGGGGGGGGTTATAGATTTGGTTGAGATGGGGTGGGGGTGGTTATGGACGTGGTTGAGATGGGGTGGGTGGGGGGGTTATGGACGTGGTTAAAACCGGGGTGGAGGGAGGCGGATTTTGGACTTAATGTAGGGGTGAGAGGTTATTGATGTGATTGAGATGAGGGGGGTTGGCCTGGTTAATATTGTGGGCAAGGGAGGGGGGGTAACAACATTTTCCGGTTAAGTCACGTAAGTAAAACATCAAAATAAAAATGAAAAAAAAAATCACGACGTTTCGGAGGCAACACAAGTCTCCGTCATCAGGTGGGACCGTCACAGCCGAATTAGCTGCATCAAGTGAAGCAATGATTCAGCTAATTCGGCTGTGACGGTCCCACCTGATGACGGAGACTTGTGTTGCCTCCGAAACGTCGTGATTTTTATTTTCATTTTATTTTTTACTTACGTGACTTAACCGAAAAAAACCTAAGAATATGAATCTTTGCAGTCACGAAAGCTTCAAATCTAGAATTAGGTAACAACATTGTTAAGGTCTCAATTGGGGGAGGTGGAGCTTGGAGCGTGGTTGAGGTGGGGGGGAGGGTGGGGCGAGGGGGGGCGAGGTGGGAGGAGGGGGTGGGGCGAGGTGGGGGGAGGGTGGGGCGAGGTGGGAGGAGGGGGAGGGTGGGGCGAGGTGGGGGGAGGGTGGGGCGAGGTGGGAGGAGGAGGGGGCAGGATGGGGGGTGGGGCGAGGTGGGGGGAGGGTGGGGGTGGAGGATGGTGGGGGGTGGGGGCAGGGGGGGGGGCAGCGCGCGCGCTGAGAATCTGTGAACGCGGGAAAATCGCCGCCGTGGCCACGCGGCCTGAGAGTTCTTTATTGCGACGTTATATTTGTTATGAAGACTACGATATCGATTATCGTCTATACGACAATTAATGTGTTTGTGTGCTGTATAAGTATGTATGCGGTGTGTGGTGTATTGGTAGAAAGGTGATAATTGCTCATAAAGCAATGAATTACACATTTATAAAACAGCTTCATATTAAACTGCGCGTGTTTGCTACGATCGACCATTGTCGATATTTTATATTGTGAGTTAACAAAACGCAACTCAAATAAGCAATCGCAGACACTCCGATAACTTTCACCCTCCCCACGCATAGTCAATTAGCCATCAGATAAAGAGGTTAAGTCCTCTGGAATTCCTATCTTAACATTGATAACATATCAACATCCCTCAATAACTTTAAGCATAGACTACGGGTCAGCCTGATAAGCCACAAACTAACAAGATGTATCCTATATGTAGCCGAACTCTCACATATATTGAACACTGAGTTTAACATTGATTTGTGGCTTTCGTGACTGCATGAATCCATACTCTTTGGTTATTTCGATAAAGTCACGTAGGTAGAGAAATAAAATAAAACAAAAATTATTGTAAATATATATTTTATACCTACGTGACTTTACCGAAAGAACCAAAGAGTATGAGTTTAACATGTTTAGTTGTAATTGTTGTGGTTTTCATAGAAAGCCCTCTCTGGTGTCCAACCTCACCTTCCTTGCACCACCTTTTTAATTCTCACTATTTGGCTTTCGCTTGTTTTCTTTTTGCGTGTGCGAATAAACAACAAGACAATAGATTGGTGCGTCTTACCTTTGTCAGACAACGTGTTTGCGGCTTCGTTGGCGCCAAAAAAAGACAAAGTCACACACAAACGCAGTATTAATTTCGCTCCGGTGACGTCACTTTGTGAACGAAGGGCATGACGTCACTTTACTTTGTGAACGAAGGGCGTGACGTCACTTTACTTTGGGACCGAAGGGTGTGACGTTACTTTGGGAACGAAGGGCGTGACGTCACTTTACTTTGGGACCGAAGGGTGTGACGTCACTTTACTGTGGAAACGAAGGGCGTGACGTCACTTTACTTTGGGACCGAAGGGTGTGACGTTACTTTACTTTGGGAACGAAGGGCGTGACGTCACTTTACTTTGGGAACGAAGGGCGTGACGTCACTTTACTTTAGGAACGAAGGGCGTGACGTCACTTTACTTTGAGAACGAAGGGCGTGACGTCACTTTACTTTGGGAACAAAGGGCGTGACGTCACTTTACTTTGGGAACGAAGGGCGTGACGTCACTTTACTTTGAGAACGAAGGGCGTGACGTCACTTTACTTTGTGAACGAAGGGCGTGACGTCACTTTACTTTGTGAATGAAGGGCGTGACGTAACTTTACTTTGGGAACGAAGGGCGTGACGTCACTTTACTTTGGGAACGAAGGGCGTGACGTCACTTTACTTTGGGAACGAAGGACGTGACGTCACTTTACTTTGAGAACGAAGGGCGTGACGTCACTTTACTTTGTGAACGAAGGGCGTGACGTCACTTTACTTTGTGAACGAAGGGCGTGACGTCACTTTACTCTGTGAACGAAGGGCGTGACGTCACTTTACTTTGGGAACGAAGGGCGTGACGTCACTTTACTTTGTGAACGAAGGGCGTGACGTCACTTTACTCTGTGAACAAAGGACGTGACGTCACTTTACTTTGGGAACGAAGGGCGTGACGTCACTTTACTTTGTGAACGAAGGGCGTGACGTCACTTTACTTTGTGAACGAAGGGCGTGACGTCCCTTTACTTTGTGAACGAAGGGCGTGACGTCACTTTACTCTGTGAACGAAGGGCGTGACGTCACTTTGCTTTGTGAATGAAGGGCGTGACGTAACTTTACTTTGGGAACGAAGGGCGTGACGTCACTTTACTTTGGGAACGAAGGGCGTGACGTCACTTTACTTTGGGAACGAAGGGCGTGACGTCACTTTACTTTGTGAACGAAGGGCGTGACGTCACTTTACTTTGTGAACGAAGGGCGTGACGTCACTTTACTCTGTGAACGAAGGGCGTGACGTCACTTTACTTTGTGAACGAAGGGCGTGACGTCACTTTACTCTGGGAACGAAGGGCGTGACGTCACTTTACTTTGGGAACGAAGGGCGTGACGTCACTTTACTCTGTGAACAAAGGACGTGACGGCACTTTACTTTGGGAACGAAGGGCGTGACGTCACTTTACTTTGTGAACGAAGGGCGTGACGTCACTTTACTTTGTGAACGAAGGGCGTGACGTCACGGGAGTGACGTGTTCAAGGCAAAGGTCCCCCGTGTAGCCTTTACAGACTGTGGGGGCAAGTGCTGTGAAGGCCGGCACGGCACACGTGGGGGTGGGTGGGCAACACCGCGCCCGGCCGCCTTTGTCTCCCCAGTGGCGATGTTTACACATCGCACCAGGTACAAATTTGAGGCTGAGTCGACCTAGGGGAGGCCCAGGACCGGTTCAGACAATTGAACAACATGTGAAAAATTCGCACACAAGCATAGAGCAGCTTATTCTTGGAATTACAATGAGAGAATACGTAGATTGAGAGAACAAAACTCATGTCAGAGACTTCACATTTACGGTTACGACATGTGGTTTGGTGGTCGAGACTAATATTGGATTGGCAGCCAGAGGCAGGGTCATGCCTCCCAGCAGACGTCCACTCCGGAGATGGAGCGACGAAATGATCTCGTGTGCAAGCACTTGGTGTATGATGATGATGATGAACATGTACAATCAGGCCAAATTACAGCAAGAAACAGATTGAATTCGGTTTTCAATTCGGATTTACCATTTATTCGTACTCAGAACTATCACTGTGATCTCCATAATGACTGATTGCCTCCTGCTATCGAACACATTCCTGCGGAGGGAGCTGATAGGAACGTTGGGTTGCTCGGTCAATGGCCAGGGTCAACGGCGGCGTGGTGTATTCCGCAAGTATGCCCGACTGTGAGGGCGGGCACAAGCCGGCGTGAGTAGGTTAAACGTAAGGGCACCACGGGGTGACCAGCCCCTCCCCACCCAGCCCCACCCCACCCAGCCCCACCCCTCCCACCCCCCACCCAGCCCCACCCTCCCCCTCCCCACCCTCCCCACCCAGCCCCTTCCCACCCTCCCCTCTCCACCCAGCCCCACTCAACCCCACCCTCCCCACCCAGCTTCTCCCCACCCTCCCCTCTCCACCCAGCCCCACCCAGCCCCACCCAGCCCCTCCCAGCCCCACCCAACTTCTCCCCACCCTCCCCTCTCCACCCAGCCCCACCCAGCCCCACCCTCCCCACCCAGCCCCTCCCCACCCTCCCCTTTCCACCCAGCCCCACCCAGCCCCACCCTCCCCACCCAGCCCCTCCCCACCCTCCCCTCTCCACCCAGCCCCACCCCTCCCATTTTTGGATGCACGACGGACGGACGGACACAATAATCCCATGTGGGCTAGTGTAACCAGGAGGTTCCTACCAGTATAAGAGAAACATCTACAGCAGCGGTCGGGAACCTATGGCTCGCGAGCCATATATGGCTCTTCTAGTGACGGCATATGGCTCCCAGACAATTTTGAGTTGAAAAAATAAAAAAATCAGTTTGGAACTGATTTTAAAATACTCGTGATATTGCTTAATAATACTGTGTCATTTTAAAGTAAACAAATTAGTTTTGAAGATAAATTTCACGGGTCAAGCCTGCATGAAGTTCAATCTCACCACATATGAACCAGACTACAAGACCATCAGCAAAATCATGCAGCACCAGAAGTCGCATTAAAAGTAAGACATTTAATTTATTATACGTTAGAAATACTATATGGCTCTCAATGAAATATATTTAGAAATATTTGGCTTTTATGGCTCTCCCAGTCAAAAAGGTTCCCGACCCCTGATCTACAGTACTTTGGGATATAAATTTGCCTTTAAGTCATCTACAAATAAATCATTCCCGACTGTAGCGAGTTTACTAACCCTATAATCATACCCTTAGATATCCTACACGATTCTTGTCTCGTTCCAAAAAATAAATGCTTCGTTCTGCAATTATTTCTTCCACCAGAATACTCCGTACACATGGAAACATTCCATTCGCTTTACATTTGAAAACAATTTCCTCCGCGTTGCCGAAGTTAATCCTCACTCTAATATGCAACCTAACCTGAAATGTATATATATTTACGTTGCTTTAAACCTGTATTCCGTATTTACCGAGGTATCTGTTTGAAAACGAGACTTTTAGTCTAACCTCGTTTTAAATACAGTAACGAATGACTACCCAATTTTTATATTCTATGGTTCTTTCGGTAACGTGACGTAGATAGAAAAAATAATAACAATAAAATAAGAAAAATGAAAAGTGGATAAAACAATAAAAAATATATCACGACGTTTCGATCGCTACACAAGCGGTCGTTCCTGATGACGACCGCTTGTGTTGCGATAGAAACGTCGTGATATTTGTATTATTCTTTATTCGCTTTATTTTTATTATTTTATCGTTATTATTTTTTCTATCTACGTGACTTTACCAAAATAATCATAGAATATGAATTCCTGCAGTCACGAAAGTTTTAAGTCAAAACAAAAGACGACCCAATTGTTATGGCCCAAGACACATTGCCCTGTGGTGCCCCCTGGTGGCAGCAGTCAGCACTCGGCGCTCTTGTGGTGGTGAACGATGAAGCAGAAAAAATTGCCTCTAATAATCATACCCTTAATAATAGGGGTTTTACCCTTTTTTCTGGCACCAAAACTGAAACCTTTTTTAACAAGGAATTATGTTTGCATTAGCCACAATACCTGCAGTCAGAATGAAAACAAAAACACACTCTGATAATGTATGCATTTTTATTTAAAGATTTCCTGACTGCAGGGATTCATATTCTTGGTTCTTTCGGTAAAGTCACGTAGAAGTGAAATAATAAAATAAAATATTTTTCTATTTTTATTATAATAAAGTAATACAAAATATATTTTTTTATTTTTATTATAATCAAATAAGAAAAATATCTTTATTATTTTATTATTTCCCTTCAACGTGACTTTACCGAAAGAACCAAGAATATATAATGTATGCATTGTCCTTGAAATTGATTGGTCCACACCATGATGTAAATAATACTCTTCCCCCCACATACAAATATAAACCCTTTTTTCACACATTCCATCAGCCACACGGGCCTTCTGGGAGTGCATCATTTCATCATTGTTTTTATTTACATAGCATAGCAATTCTTTTTTATAGCAATATTAGGGGGAATGTGTTCCCCCAAATATATATTAGAATTACGACCTTGCCTTATACATCTCAAAGGTCTGAATTAGTTTGTAATAAGGTAGGCACTGATGATAGGGGGTTGACAGCTGTGGATTTAACCTCAGGACACTTGGGACCCGGCTTCCTCCCATCAAAGTTGCCACATCGGCCCTCTGACCTCTCGGGGTCAACCGGCCGTCTCAGTCGCCGCGAATATTTAGGCCGGTGACTTATTGGCACCGCCATCGTCACGGTGATTATATTCTTGGTTGTTTCGGTAAAGTCACGTAGAAGGGAAAAAATAAAATAATAAAAATAAAACAATTCTCACGACATATTCTTGGTTCTTTCGGTAAAGTCACGTAGAAGGGAAAAAATAAAATAATAAAAATAAAACAATTCTCACGACATATTCTTGGTTCTTTCGGTAAAGTCACGTAGAAGGGAAAAAATAAAATAATAAAAATAAAACAATTCTCACGACATATTCTTGATTCTTGCGGTAAAGTCACGTAGAAGAGAAATAAGAAAAAAATTCTCACGACGTTTCGATTGCAACACAAGCAATCATCATCAGGTTTTTTTATTTAAAATCTGCCACTTAAAAAAACAAATATTGCTATGGTTTTTACACCTGATGATGATTGCTTGTGTTGCAATCGAAACGTCGTGAGAATTTTATTTTATTATGTTTTATTTTTAGTATTTTATCATTTCCTTTCTACGTGACTTTACCGAAAGAACCAAGAATATGTTGTGAGAATTGTTTTATTTTTATTATTTTATTTTTTCCCTTCTACGTGACTTTACCGAAAGAACCAAGAATGTCGTGAGAATTGTTTTATATTTTTATTATTTTATTTTTTCCCTTCTACGTGACTTTACCGAAAGAACCAAGAATGTCGTGAGAATTGTTTTATATTTTTATTATTTTATTTTTTCCCTTCTACATGACTTTACCAAAAGAACCAAGAAAATGAATCCCTACAGTCACGAAAGCTTCAAATCGAAGGTTTACTTGTTGTTACGCTGTTTTTAAAACTGTTAATGCTAAAATAACGCGATTTAAAAGTCTCGTTTTGTTGCTGTTACACGGAGTCGCTGCGCGTCGGTTGCTATGGTGATGCCCCGCCCCCCTGCCGGAGTGTATCATTCCGCTGGCCGGTTCACTCATTTCGTTATTGTTAAAAAAAAAATCCGAATGACTACCAAATAGACGAGAGCCAAATAGTTTTTTTTGTATTAAAAAGGAATATAATTCTTACGAATAAAGCGGGCGGGGTTTTTGTTGTTCTTCTCGCAAGACGCTTCAAAGGTTGGAGCTATTTGCGCCGCGCGGATTGGTGCGGCCGCTTGAGAAGGCGGCGCAGTGGCCGCGTCTTCGCCGGTTCAAAGTCGCGGAGACGGCGGCGGCGGCTTCACAACTTCGTATAACAACCCGAATTTAAATTATATCGCGATAAACTACTTGCTTGTTTACACTGGATTGTTGTTGTTGTTGCTGCTACGTGGGGCTGTTCCAGCGGCTTGTGCGAGGCGATTGGGGCTGGACTTGCGAGTGATCTGGCAGCGTTTTCGTGGAGTTCTTCACTGGGCCCTCAGAGGCATGGGGATTCATCAGAGGAGGCATGGGGGCTCAAGTTGATGTTTTGGGGATCAAGACGAGATACGAGGAGGGGTAGACTCTCTTGCAAGTGCGACCTGGGTTAGCCGTGGACTCTGTGTAAGGTTCGGGGTTTTGTTTTTTGTGTGGACTTTGTCGCATCCACGAAATCCGCCCCTGAGTTCTTACAAAACCCTCTCACCACCCCGTCTCTAACCCTTACTTCGTAACTCTCTGACTCTATCTCTATCCCTGAACCTATTTATAAAACTGACCAACAGCCTTAGACCGGTATCTAAACATTTTCTCATCCCTTTGGTTATTTTGTTAAAGTGCTGGATTCGATTTGTTTCCGCCTGAGGACGACCGCTTTTGCTGTGATCGAAACGTCGTGCAGAGATTGTTTTTTTTGTTTTATTTTATTTTTCTACCGACGTGGCTTTACCGAAAGAACCAGAGAGTATGAATTACTTGCAGTCGCGAAAGCTTCAAATCAAGATTTTCTAATTCCATTACTCAAACCCTATCTTAACGCAAACTCCATAACTTTGACTCTGACACAAAGCTCCATAACTTTGACTTTGACCCAAAGCTCCATAACCTTGACTTTGACCCAAAACTCTATAACCTTGACTTTGACCCAAAACTCTATAACCTTGACTTTGGCCCAAAACTCCATAGCCTTGACTCTGACCCAAAGCTCCATAACCTTGACTCTGACCCAAAGCTCCATAACCTTGACTCTGACCCAAAACTCCATAACCTTGACTCTGACCCAAAGCTCCATAGCCTTGACTATGACCCAAAGCTCCATAACTTTGACTGTGACCCAAAGCTCCATAACTTTGACTGTGACCCAAAGCTCCATAACTTTTACTCTGATCCAAAGCTCCATAACTCCACTTTCGCAAACCCTAACCCTCTGTACATCTAACCGGACAACCTTAACTCTCCATCACCCTGACTTCTCCCTAACCTTGTCTCTAAACCCGTCTAAAACTGTTACCAACGCCATAACCCTAGCCCTGTTACTAATCCTGCGTCTAACCCAGCTCCTCTCCTTATTTATAAACTTTTCAATAACCTTGTCCAATCTTGTCTCAAACCCTGACCTTAACCCCGTCTTATCCTTGTATAAATCCTCGTCTACAACTCCCATTCATATTTGCCTAACACAATACACCCGTCTCGAAGTTAAACGTAATTACATTCTTATAATTTACGCTCATCCTTACCATTACTTTAACACTGTCTAAATGTATCCCTGAATCTCATTAAAGTCGACCATTACCACTTAACAGTGCCGTACCTCTCAATATAACATCGTTCAATGATTGTACTGTATAGTATATGATAATTATAACACCATAAACCCTAACCATCCCTATGCACAACATCTAATTCTAATTGCAATGCTTATCCGTAAACTCAGCTCTATCCCAAATTAAACCGTATTTACAATTTATCCCTAAACTTAACTCTTCTCCTTTCACCAACTCTAATTAGAGTCTGAACCCTAGACCGTTAATAGTTGTTTTGGTTGACCAGTTCTTGAGGTTGCACCTCTCCAGTGGGCACCTACATGATCCCCCGGCACTCAGCCCTTTAACATCTGCGTGCTTGCTCAGTGAGAGTGGTCGTCACGGTTGCTGGTGACACTTGTTCGATCACACTTCTCCCTTTGAAAGTGAGTAGGTTCCAGGACCATGGTGCGGTTGACAGCTGAGCTGATCGGCCGGAGCGAGCAACACGTGCGCAGGAGGCGGGGAGAGCCCCTGGGACTCTACCTGGGCAGACTGACGCACCTGCACCTGGGAGAGAAGGACATTGAGCATGTGGTGCTATGTCAGCAGTATTGCCACCACAGTACACGGCACCATCATCACTGTGCTGGTCTCAGAAAAAATATTACAAGTACTAAAAATTCCGCCAATATCAATAACATCACCACAGACATCACCACCAACGTGTTCGCAGTTGCAACTAAGTATGACTGCCAAAACCAGAAACGTAACGACCGACATCAACGTGAATACAATCATAATCACTATCACATAGTCATTATCACTCTATCTGTTGTCCCTGTTCGAATCCAGTGGCCGCCCTGATTATTACTGTGGGTGTAATAATCATAATGCAACAAACCCTTGCCCATCGCGGGGGTTACGTTCTTGAAAATAGCCGCAATTGGGAAATCCACGATCCGCAAACTCAAAGGCAAATGGGAAAACTTGAGTTTTGTTCCGGGTTTGTAATTTGACACCCCCTCCGTTTGTTTTATGTTACCCTACATTTTCTACAGTGTTAAATATAACTTGTACAGTAAATGTATAGAATGGGAAAAATAATTAAATAAAAATCCTGGGTGACTGAACCTCACTGCCTCCTTACTGGACACTGGGAACAACACGTGACCTGGTACACACACGATGGACTGCATCAGAGACAAATTTACCACATTTGAAAACATTACCTGCAAATTATTAAATTGGAATTTACAAAGCAATAATCGCCCCCTACTGGCACATGAATGCCCCAGGGTCACACTTGTAAATAAGACTATTCTGGTCTCTTGAGTTGTCACGTGGTTTAACAAAAATAAACTTGTACAATTGTAAGCTTTACTCACCAGTAACAGCAATCCCAACATTACCACCGACAAGACGACCATAATTACTGTAAGCATCAGTAATATAACTACAACCACCGACATCACTACCAACATAAATAAAACTGCCACCAACATCAGCAATATTACCAAGGATATCGTTAACAGTATCACTTAACTGTGTCTCTCACCATCACTACCAACTCCAGCAATATTACCACAGACATCACCATAGTCCAACTACCACAATTGGCACATCGACATCACTGCCATCCCAACAACATCACCACCATCTAACCCTATGTTAGCGCTGCTGGCTGAAGCATGTGACGTCCGTTCTCCAGGAGGACTTGTCGGCGTGCCGCAACCTTGCTGTTCTCTACCTCTATGACAACCGGCTGAGCCGCATGCCCAACCTGGCCTTTGCAAGTCACCTGACGCACCTGTACCTGCAAAACAATGCTCTGGAGCGCATGGAAGGCCTTACCGGCCTGCGACACCTCTCCAAACTGTATGCCGTCTGACGATAAACTTCTTACACCTCTGCATCACACTGTTCACAGAGTGTGTAGGCACAGTTAGTTATGTTCTAATCGTATTAATTATGTCCAGGCACAAACAGCCCTTTTATCTATCCACTACCTGATGAGGGCTTCCCGACGTCGTAGATGTGGGAGCACATAAGTATAGTAGAACAATTAATTTATCTTTACTGTTCTCTGCTAGTAAACCTGCAGCCTATAATAATAACCTTTTCTTCATGGCTGTTTCCGATCCAAGCATTATCCAGGCCTAACTTTGCTTGGTTCCTAAGAACTGACAAGATTGGCTGCATTTCAGGTGACCTGGTCATCGCCACAACACAAATCTTTTTGGAATTAAAGAAGCCATTAAAAACAACCTTTCCAAGCTATACTTCTATAGGTCACAACACTGGACCAGTTATCCATTTACTATAAAAGTCGTCATTAACTTTCTCAGAAGCACACGAAGACTCATGAGGATCTTGTTTGAAATGTTTGATGAATTGTATGTTGAGCATTTTTAAATTGGACACGAAACCAGAGTACTCGGAGAAGAGTTGCACATGGGAGGGTATAAAATAAAACTCTAATCCAGTAACATTTTAATGCTTGATAAATTAAAATTATATCCGTAATGCTGTGTCCACGCTGCCACGGAGCCACTTTCAGTTTGATCCTGGCATGGACCACAGGTACCTTGGAGGCAATGCCATCTCCGTGGTGGAGGGTGTGGAGATGTTGAGCGAGCTCACAGAGCTACATGTGGAGAACCAGCACCTGCCACCTGGGGAGAAGCTTCTGTTTGATCCTCGCTGCCTGTCGACCTTGGCTGTGAGTGTCGCATTGTCAAGCCCACAGTGCCACCCAGCGTTTGTGCTCTACCAAAGCTTCAAGGGCCCCTATCGTGCAGTTGGGCGCAGGGTTGGGCTCAAGGGCCTATGCACCCACACGATCATGCCCTGGCAGCTGGAACTCCGGAACTGAGCCACCAAGCTCCCTGCTCAATCCGAATCGCACGCATTTGCCCAGGCCGGCTGAAGAGCCAGTCGTGCTGTCACGGAGTCGACATGGAAATAAACATGCGCATCATGATGACACATCAACTTAACACCAATGTTCGTGTTCAAAGTATGTGATGCAAAATGTAGTATAGTAATCCAACTTCAGCTGTGCCCACGTTAAACTTAATTAAAAAACATGCATTTGTGACGAGCACATGCCGGTCTCCATCCCTCCGCCAATAACTGTGACGATGCATTTTTTTATCAATAAAGATTGATAAACAAATGTATTATTTTATATATTATGGAAATAAGCAAATTATATGATTCTACGATTAGGCTAACAAAGTAAACAAAACTACATACAAGACAGAAAAACAATGCAAGATGGTAAAAACAAGGTGATTTTTTAAAATATTTTAATCACATCGTGACTTTGAACCACAATTCTGCAAATTGGCAAGGGGACAAGTCGTTCCACCTGTATGGGCCATGGTGGGTAAGGGGGAGGTGGGATAACGTAGCGGGACAGGCTGAGCCCTTGGAGACTCATAACTCAATGAGCGCGTGGGGATTCGGCCATTCCTGGGCCATTCCTGGACCGGTAGAGCCCGGTTCCCAGTGGTAGTAGAAATGAAGAATCATTGACGGCAGCTCATAGTGCCAGATTTTAGCAGGCTAAAATGTTGTCTAAGGTTTTGCAGTCTCTGGTGATACATGCAGTTAGATAAATTGATGGCTGGAACGTGAAGGCAACATGTGATAATGCGCTAGAGTGCTGGGCACCCACCTGACGAGTCTTTTTTTTATGGAAAGCTGTGTGTCAGGTGGAAAAAGCACTGCTGTCACATTCACCTGAATGCATCACCTGAGACCGGAATATTCGAAGCAGAATACGTAGCTCTCAAACGGAAGCACCGAATCACTATGTCTGCCACTGCTGACGTATTTCCATCATTGCCAATTTTTTGCTTCACGCCATCCCTAGAAAAAAGTTATGGGAAAATATTTTTGGGAATTAAATAGACGCTGCTTCAGCAATCTTATGCAGGTAGAACGTATTTTATATCCGATATTTTGTCTTGATTTGCACACATTTTGTTGAAAGCAGTTTGGCTCTTTTGTGAATAGCATAATGTTCCATCAGCCCATGTTGTGATGTGTGGAACGTGATAGAGTAGGGGGAGCAGCGTGGTATAATGGTTGATTCATGGCTATGAAACCATGAACCTGAGTTCAAGTTCTGGCCACGGCTAACATCAGTTGAAAGTGAGTCAAACCTGGGCTGATCAGCATGGTAAAGTATGGTTAAACAACCCTCATGATCGATACAGTGTGGGGGAGGCTACCATCCAGCAGTGGATTGACATAGGGCTGTGAGAGTGGGAGAGTGCAATTAAAAGAAGAGACAATTGACCACCTACTTACACCCCCTCTCTCCCTCACTTCACACCCAGTCCCATGCCATATCTGTAATTATGGAAAAGGAGAAATCTGACTTGTCTGAAACAGACAATGGGACAAGATAGCAAACGTAGAATGTACACCTTGACAAGATCTGTTTTATATATGTTTAGCATGATTGTTGAAATAAATATATAGTATCAAATACAAAAAAATAAGTGGGAGTTTCTGTGGGCAATGGTCAACGTGCTGGTAATTGTTGCAGGTACCCCTGTCACACTCGAAGCCTATTCTGGCTTTTGTCACAATTGCCATAATTGCCACTATCTCGGTTCCCTTGCCCCACATTACAGGGCAGCCTGTGTGTCCTCAACGTGAGCGGCAATGGCCTGGAGGAGCTGCAGGAGCTGACCTGCTTGAGTCACATGATGCAGTTCATGGCCTGTGAAAACCAGCTCACTGACCTGCAGGTAAATCATAATAAAAATGATAACACACAGAGCATTTGTCAGACATAAATGACCATGACTGAGGCATGGAGCCAAGCTCCAGTAATGCCCCTGCAGCTCAATGTGTAATGTAGTTATGATACTGCTGCGTTTATTTTTGTGTTTGTGTTGTATAGCTTCTGATATGTTTTCGGAATGTACGTTGTGGGAGCTTAAATTCAGTTCCTGAAGAATCGTCATGCACGTGGAGTGAAATATTGGACATAATGTCAAACAGCATGAGGTACAACCCGAAAAGACATCGGAGATCTATCGTCGTGATCGTTCACGTATTACCCAAGAAACCTCGCTGACGCTTCAGGGCTTATTTTCATGTTTAGTGGCCAATTGGTTTCTGAGTATTTGTTTACATGTGAGAGGCAACCAGAGTGTGCAGAGAAGACTAAATTAAATACTGCTTTACTGCTGCACAGATATTTCCCCTATGATCCATTGGAGTGATCAACTAATGTTATTTAGTGCATGTTCTTTCACTAAATTATTGCAGTTGTTAATCACTAGCCTTTCACAGCAAAAATATCAACTCATTTAATGCAACCATTTTGACCAAAATCTTTGAGTTGAGATACTTTTATTCATTTGTTATAAAGTTTCAATACTACTTTACATTCGTGATTTAGTCACATTAGTTTTACATATTAAAAAGTAGAGCCATTCATCATATTCATGATTAACATTGTCTTATCACAGATTGTTTTTAATGCATAATAGGCGAACGTTCCAGGCAATGCCCTTTCCTCATAGTTGATGGCCAATGCTTTAAATATTAGATTAAAAAAATTCAGTTATAAGGCCGTTTTAATGAGAAAAGTGTTCAATTTGTTTTATTTTACTTGTGTTCCACTGGCAACGGAATCTCATAATTTTATTTTTTATCTTGAAATGTGCGTAATTCAAAGTGAGTATTTTCTGTGAATCTGTGGCAGGATCTGGCAGACGTACTGACTTGCTGGCCCAAGCTTTGGAGGCTGGAGTTATCGGGGAACCCCTTCTGCCAGAAGCCCAAGTACAGGGATCGTGTCATAATGATGAGTGCTTCCCTGGGTGAGCTGCAATTACTTGGAAAGGGGAAGCTTTCATATCAACACACCATCCTCAACATATAGAAATAATGAAATGATACGAAGCAGATTTTTTTTTTTAAACACTGAGCCGTAGCAATTTTATGAATGTTTGTCCATGATTAGAATTTTTTTTAAACTCACCACATTGTAATTGAAAAATGTGTATTGTAAGATGATGTTAATCATGAAAGTGGTGATATTTGTACGTGTACACCACTGCCAATGCAGTCCTTACATGTTTTATTTGTCCACAATGATATGTTGGAAGTGTTTGTATACACGATAAATCCCATTGATGATTCATGTGTAGTGGGTTTAAGGAGACTTGGACGATGTAGATGGAGGCACACTTATTTATTAAACGTTCCACTATATACAGGCCAAGGTATACGACACTCGAAGGGGTATCGGCCCCTTCACCCGCCTAACAGGGAGATCCCACAATCTCTGTCCCGGCTAGCCTACTCCCAGGTCCTCCACTACAGAGCTAGGGGAGGCTAGCTGACCCAGCTCTGGTCAAGCTGGGATTACGGCACCCTGAGTCCCCAGACCGGCTCTTATAAGAACATCGGTTCTGGGCTCTCGGGGCCACGCCACTGGCTTTCCCTGGTCGGTGATCCAGGGGAGTCCCAGGGCCTATCTAGCCGGTCTTCTTTCTTCGCTGGTTTAAGCTAAACACTGAACCCCGAGCCTTATATAGTAACTCCCCCACCGAGGGGTGGGGCCGTGGGGGATCCCAGCGCCGTTTTAGCACCCCAGACTAAACGGTGCGGACGTGGATGTAAGCATCCTTCGGCGTGCGGCCATAACCACCCCTGGTGTGTTTGTTCGCCCTTCCGTAACACCTCTACACATGCACTGAACTGTCGTTTTAACATTTTAAACATAAGATGCATTTGCATGTATTGGTGGCCGCACAGATTTCCCTTGCCTCACCTCTATGGACATTTGCAACATGGTCTCCTGAAAACCATGATGCGGCACCGTTTGTGTTGATGATGTGTTTCCCAGACATCCTGGATGGAAAGGAGATCAAAGAGAGTGCTCGCCAATTCCTCCTCAATTGGAAGGCTTCGCGGGAGGCGAAGAGGAAAGCTCATGAACAAATGTCGACATTTGGAGAAACCAGTGAAGATCTGGTTGTGCAAACAGGTGAAGCTGTGCATTGCATATCAGCAAAGCTTTATTGCTCGGGAGATAGTTTAGGAGTATAGCAAACCCTTAATATTCGCGGGTTTCATAATATAGGGTTTGCGTATTTGTTGTAGCGCTATTTGAAATTCGCGCAGTTTTTTAAATATTGGCGGCTGTAGCACGCTACTACCCGACTAGAAGTACTGGACTGAAGTGAGGCATGGGAGCTGCGTTGTCCATGGAAAGTGCCCACAGAAAGTGCCCACGTCTGCCGCACTGTTTACAAGCGAAGTGCTTTGCTTTATCATTTTTTGGAATGATGTACTGCGTTATTGATAACCATGGCCCCTGAGCGAAGAGGAAGGGACATCTTTAAAGGTAAGTTTAAGTAATATCGTATAATATTCATGTGTTCATTGCTATTTGCACTTTTAAATGTTTATGTTCCTTATTAAAGGTAAGTTAACACAATACAATATATTTACAGTATTTGTTAATATATACCTTCATTTTATGAATTTGTATGTATATATGTTGAACTTTTTTCGCACCATACGTAGCCAACTGTGTTAATCGGAGGAGCGTGAAACTAATATGCTTATGCCTCCCAACACTATATTTATCATAAGTTTTAAGTATTCATATTCGCGGAATAGATTTTTGCGCTGTTCTCCAGGACCGTACCCCCGTGAATATTAAGGGTTTACTGTACTTCTGTTTTGGCAATTTAGTTGTAAAAGTTAAAATCAATCTCAGATGAGACTGTGGAAGTCGACAGTGAGGTTGGATTCACAGTGATAATGGTGATGTTGAGCTGGGCTACATCATTATACAAATTAATGATGCTCGAAATTACAACTGGAGATGATTGTGCCAAGAGGGAGGAAATATATTTATAACAGCTGGTGGCTGAGGATACTATCAGCTGTGTGGTACACCATAGCTCAGGAATTTCTGAGAGGAAGACTGGTCATTGTATGCAAACATAGGAGGAGCTGTATCAGAGATAAGAGTGGGATCACGAGAGAACTTTGCCGAAGATGCCTTCATAATTATGGAGACACTTCAGGAGAATGGAGTAGTCTATGGTTTCAAAAGCATTGAAAACGTCTATGAGAACTATGAGTTAGAACGGCCCACATTCTGAAGAGATAAGAATGTCACTACCCACACATGGAAGAGTGGTCTTAGTAGATTTGCCTTGGCAGAAACCAGATTGCACTGGCATGTGGAGACCATAGAGGGAAAAGTGCAAGACTGCTGCAGTACACCTGTCTTGGCAAAATAGTAATACCAATTACCATTAAAACCCTAGAAATATATAGTGTGTTCGTTTCTCAGTCCGCTTGTCCAGGTGAGGGTCGCGGCAGTAGGCTGTTGAGTAGGGCGGTCCAGACTCCCCTTTCCCTGTACAGTATTTCCCTGAAATATATACTGGATTTCAAAAGAGACCAATATGCCATATTCTGAGTTCGTTATTGTTCAAGGTAATGGTTATGCATATTATAGTCCAGCATTTCTCAATCTGGGTCATGATCAACTGCAGGGTATCTTTGTCGTTTGAGAAGGGTTGTTACTCAGTCAAATAAAAAAAAGTGAAGGCATCTGTTTAATAAGGGGCCATCAATTTGGTACATACGCATGGGGGGGGGGGGGGGTTAACCAAAATGCGTACGCTTGCGTATGGGGGGTCTACTGACAATGTATGCATAGGAAACAGAGGGGGGAAGGGGTGAAGCCTCGATAATTTATCTACATTGGCCTTCACATGAGTTAGATAGTCCGGCGGTGGACTATCTCTTTGCTTAAACACATTAATATTATTAATCCTTGATCGTTTCTGCATGGATTAAATATCGGCCATTCTATAGGATTCGGAGGGGGGGGGGGGTGCGTCAAGCGTACATACGCAGGTGTGGGAGGGGTGTAAAAAGTACGCGTACGTACAGAGGGGGGGGGGGGGGTCAAGTTCTGACAGATTGTTGAGTACGTACTAAATGGATGGCCCCTAAGTGACAAGAAAAACGTTTATTGAGTCCATCAGCTGTCTGAATAATTAATGCTCAGACATCTTGTGTCCCAATGCTACAAGCATAGTCAGTTAACAATGCAACACCACCCATGCTCTGCAACTCGCTGGCATGGAGGATCGCTGAGTATAAAATAGGCTCTCAAATTGAAAACGGGTTTTCTTTATTTTTTATAACAATTACATTGCAGTTATATTCTCGGTATCATAATATGAAGAAAATTCCACATTACTCTTGCAGCTAGCATTGTGCCAACTTGTATCAAGAGGATGGCATTCAGAACAGCTTTAGAAGTGGCACACTTTTGATACACCTTGCAAAGACTGTTGCATATCGAACTGAAAATGTTAGTGTTTAAGTGGAAATAAGCCAAATCAAGTGAAAAAACTAATTTAATCTGATGAGTCTTTGCAGAGTTTTTTTTGTGACTGGGCTGAGACCATCTCTTGGCGACACTTGAAAAGCCAGTTTATTCATCGGTGGCTGAAATCCAGATTCAGCGGTTCCAGCTCAGTGCTCTTGAAATGATATTAGCATGCTGAGCTACCAGGCCACCTGCAAATTTTTTTTTTTAAGTTAAAGAATTCAACACTCATTTTTGTAGGAGAGGGGCCCCATCTGGTATGTGCGTGAGATGAGATGATCAGCATGTCTCAACGTTTCCCTTCCAGCAGGAGACACAGAAGCCAGGCGGCGCAGCATGCTGCTAGACCTACCACAGCACTACATCTGCCCACCGCTAGCCGGGAGCGTCGTCCGTCCACGTCGGGTCACGGCCCCACCACGCAGCTACAGCCTGCCAGCCATAGGCAACAACTAAACATTTAGTGTGTCAGCCATCAGCAGCAACTAAACACACAGCCTCTCAAGTCTTCAAGCAACTGGCTGCTGACCATTATCAAAAACTAAACACATTCTTTGCCAACAACTTAACACAGCGTGTCAGCCATTAGCAACAACAAATCACACACAGCATGTCATCCAGCATGTCAGCCAATAACTAAACAGTCTGTTGTCCATAAGCAACAACGAAACTCAGTATTTAAGTTTTCAGCAACAGCAAAATACACACACATACACCAGCAACAACACATGGCCTGGCAGCCATCAGAAGCATTTACGCACACGCACTCTGATATCGGAGGCAGTGTATTGGTGTAATGACCAAGGCTTTAAGGATTAAAGTTTCAAACTGCTGACTTAGAAAGTTTACTGGAAGTGCTGTGATATGTGTGAGTAGTGCATAGACACAATTTACTCTTATCGTTTTTGCAACTCTAGCCTGGAATGAGAAACATAAGGTGCACATTTTGCATTCACATTTTGACGAATCGGATGACACATCTTAATGAGTTTCTTAATTGTTTGCAATGTCAACATTGGTGTGATTTTTTTCAATACATTAGCGATGAGATTTGTGGGCAATACATGAAACTGGCCAAAGATCTCCAGGGTTAAATACGATCATTTGAATTCAGATCAAGCATGATGTGTATAAGCCATTCACTAACATTGAAAGCATCCATTAAATAAGTCTTAACATGTCTCATTAATTATGTGCTTGACCTTGATATGTTGAAAGGGCTGCCTGTAAATCGACATTGGCGCTGTGGTGGAGTGATGCTAACTCCCTCACCTGGTATGAAGGAGGTTGTGGGTTCGATCTCGACACTGACGCCTGTACATTTGGAGTTTGCATGTTCATCCCGTGGTCGTGTGGATTTCCCTCCGGGTACTCAGGTTTTTCCCTCCACATTCAGAATAATGCGTTCAGAGTATTTGGCTGCTATAAATGTCCACATTATAAGCCACTTTGAGCTTTCATTTGTGGCCAGTTCACTTCTGAAACGCATTCCTGTGGAGGGAGCTGGTAGTAACGTTGGGTTGCTCGGTCAATGGCCAGGGTCAATGGCGGCGTGGTGTATTCCGCAAATATGCCCGACTGTGAGGGTGGGCACAAGCTGGTGTGAGTAGGTTAAACGTTGAGTTTTATAAGGGCACCACTGGGTGACCAGCCCCTCCCCACCCAGCCCCACCCCTCCCACCCAGCCCCACCCTCCCCACCCACCCAGCCCCACCCAGCCCCTCCCCACCCTCACCTCTCCACCCAGCCCCACCCCTCCCATTTTTGGATGCACGACGGACGGACGGACACAATAATCCCCTGTGGGCTGGTGTAACCAGGAGGTTCCTACCAGTCAAAGAGCTATATAGCTCAGTAGGCCTTGCCTAGTAAAATAAAAAAGTCAATAAGGCCGATGCACAATTTACCTTGTTTGCCGTCGGCCTTTATTTAAAGTCTGACACTACTGTCCCAGCATGGATGTGATAGTAAAACAGCCTTAGTTTGAACTAATAACTCCAAACTCGAAACCTTACCTCGAAATCCTGATCTCGAGCCAAAAACGCCCAACCCTGAGTACTAGCCCTCAGTCCTAATCCTAAATGTAAACGACAGAAGTGACATAATTTCATATTTCATTAACCCTATCAGGTAAATGAGACCCAAAGAAGGCATGCTTTTGGATGGAAATCTATATTAATACAAACAAAAATTCGGGGACAATTTACTCTCTTATTTAAAGCAAATAACACGTTTTACCTGTGGCACACTACAAAAAGGGAGTAGAGTCAAGGATATGTAATAAGAAAACGTATTTGGAAAGGAATGCCAGGATAGAACTCTTTCAAGACACACCAATAGTGTACTGCTCAAGACGTGCAGCAGCAAAAAAAAGGGGACCACCGTGCATAAAGGAGAGGTGGAGGAGAAGGAATGACCAGGCCAAGATATCAGGGATGATGAATGAAAGGGGGGAGAGAACAGAGAGAGAAAATGAGCACTCAAAAGTGATCTGCATTGAGCGTCGTCTGTTTTGACAGGGGGCGGGCAGAAGGGAGGGATTAAAAGTGGGTGTGGCCACACAAGTCACGTGGTTTACGAGAGGCTTGAGCTTAATTTAAATGCTTAAATATAGATGAGTGGGGGTCTTATTAAAGGTAGATCTGGTTGACAAAAAAAACCAGTACAGCAAATGGAATGCAGAGTTTAAAAGATCCTGCCAAATCAAGAAAAAAAGTGAAATACAACTTAGTAATTGTATAAAGTGGGATTTAGATTTGATGTATTTTCAACCGAGGGCTTTAGTTGTGTCTGTGCAGCCTTGAAACACTGTACCACAAACACGACGCTGCATGTCATGTGCAGCACTTTATAGAGTGTTTGCACACAAAAATCTCGGCAATGCACGTGCACTTTTGATATTTTGTAAAAGCTCATCGAGTTTGTATAATAAATGTTTGCTCATAATGTTCCAGCTACAAGTCCCACTTACATATAGCATGTTAAGCTTCACACTCGTAATGCCATGTATTCGGGAATACCTTGCACTTTGCAATAAACACAAACTCAACCAAGTCTATTGTAATGCAAACTTCTGTAGTGATGGCACTAATACTTTAGCACAGAGTTAAGCGGCTCATACCATTACCGCACGGGGTGGGTGGGGGGGTTATTATACAGCATGCAGCAGCGTAGTCAGATTCTTACACTTTAAATCACACTACCACTCCGACATCACTTACAACACTGGATATAATTAATATAACCATCGCTCTGACCGCGTAAGAAAATGTAAGCGTTGACGGGCTAGCAATGTGAGTTTATTGGTTGGCCCAAGACGCCCCCATGGGTGAGTGGTACACGCCGGGCCCGCACTTCTCTTTAGTGTTTGCCATTGTGCGTCGCGTTCCGCGCTCAGTTCACGCAGCTTGACGCCGCTTTACTGGCGCTTCGCGACCACGACGAGTGGTGAGTATGCACCTCGGCGTCGGGGCAGTGCCCCGCTCAATTTGGGACGCGTGGCTGCTTTGCGTTTCGCTGCAATCTGCACGCTTTCCCAGAATTTAAAGAGACAAAAAACGGCGAGGACGGCAAATGGCCGACACCCCCCCCCTCAACCCCTGCGTCGCCTGACGGCGCTGCCGGATTTCCCTCGCTCACCCCAGCGGCCGCTCAGGCTGCGCCGCCTGACTAGGCCCGAGCCGGTTCGGGGGCGCCCTGGGGGTGAGGTGGGGGCAGGGTGAGGTAGGGGGGAGGTGAGGGGCGGGAGTGGGGGGGTTGGCGGGGGGGGTGAGTGGTGGGACAAACAGGGAGCTTGCGTTTAAGTAGTTAGGGTATGAGGATGTATGGAGATGTGGATTTGGGGGGTCTGGGAGGGAGCAGGGGGTTGATTGAGCACTTCATGTGTGGGGGGTGTTGTCTGGGTGAGGATGTGTGAGATGAGTTGTGGTGAGGATGTCTTTGATGGGTTGTCAGGGTGAGGATGTCTTTGATGGGTTGTCTGGGTGAGGATGTGTGAGATGGGTTGTCAGGGTGAGGATGTCTTGAGATGGGTTCTGGTGAGGATGTCTTAGTTGGGTTGTCTGGGTGAGGATGTCTGAGATGGGTTGTCAGGGTGAGGATGTGTGAGTTGGGTTGTCTGGGTGAGGATGTCTGAGATGGGTTGTCAGGGTGAGGATGTGTGAGTTGGGTTGTCTGGGTGAGGATGTCTGAGATGGGTTGTCAGGGTGAGGATGTCTGAGATGGGTTGTCAGGGTGAGGATGTGTGAGTTGGGTTGTCTGGGTGAGGATGTCTGAGATGGGTTGTCAGGGTGAGGATGTCTTGAGATGGGTTCTGGTGAGGATGTCTGAGATGGGTTGTCTGGGTGAGGATGTCTTGAGTTGGGTTGTCTGGGTGAGGATGTCTTGAGATGGGTTCTGGTAAGGATGTCTGAGATGGGTTGTCAGGGTGAGGATGTGTGAGATGGGTTGTTAGGGTGAGGATGTGTGAGATGGGTTGTCTGGGTGAGGATGTGTGAGATGGGTTGTCAGGGTGAGGATGTGTGAGATGGGTTGTCTGGGTGAGGATGTGTGAGATGGGTTGTCTGGGTGAGGATGCCTGAGATGGGTTGTCTGGGTGAGGATGTCTGAGATGGGTTGTCAGGGTGAGGATGTCTGAGATGGGTTGTCTGGGTGAGGATGTCTGAGATGGGTTGTCAGGGTGAGGATGTGTGAGATGGGTTGTCAGGGTGAGGATGTCTTAGTTGGGTTGTCTGGGTGAGAATGTGTGAGATGGGTTGTCTGGGTGAGGATGTGTGAGATGGGTTGTCTGGGTGAGGATGTCTGAGATGGGTTGTCAGGGTGAGAATGTGTGAGATGGGTTGTCTGTGTGAGGATGTCTGAGATGGGTTGTCAGGGTGAGGATGTCTGAGATGGGTTGTCAGGGTGAGAATGTGTGAGATGGGTTGTCTGTGTGAGGATGTCTGAGATGGGATGTCTGGGTGAGGATGTCTGAGATGGGTTGTCTGGGTGAGGATGTGTGAGATAGGTTGTCAGGGTGAGGATGTCTGAGATGGGTTGTCTGTGTGAGGATGTGTGAGATGGGTTGTCTGGGTGAGGATGTGTGAGATTGGGTTGTCTGGGTGAGGATGTCTTAGTTGGGTTGTCTGGGTGAGGATGTGTGAGATGGGTTGTCAGGGTGAGGATGTGTGAGATGGGTTGTCTGGGTGAGGATGTCTTAGTTGGGTTGTCTGGGTGAGGATGTGTGATATGGGTTGTCTGGGTGAGAATGTGTGAGATGGGTTGTCTGGGTGAGGATGTCTTAGTTGGGTTGTCTGGGTGAGGATGTGTGAGATGGGTTGTCAGGGTGAGGATGTGTGAGATGGGTTGTCTGGGTGAGGATGTCTTTGATGGGTTGTCTGGGTGAGGATGTGTGAGATGGGTTGTCTGGGTGAGAATGTGTGAGATGGGTTGTCTGGGTGAGGATGTCTTAGTTGGGTTGTCTGGGTGAGGATGTGTGAGATGGGTTGTCAGGGTGAGGATGTGTGAGATGGGTTGTCTGGGTGAGGATGTGTGAGATGGGTTGTCAGGGTGAGGATGTCTTAGTTGGGTTGTCAGGGTGAGGATGTCTGAGATGGGTTGTCTGGGTGAGGATGTCTGAGATGGGTTGTCAGGGTGAGGATGTGTGAGATGGGTTGTCAGGGTGAGAATGTGTGAGATGGGTTGTCTGTGTGAGGATGTCTGAGATGGGTTGTCAGGGTGAGGATGTGTGAGATGGGATGTCTGGGTGAGGATGTCTGAGATGGGTTGTCTGGGTGAGGATGTGTGAGATGGGTTGTCAGGGTGAGGATGTCTGAGATGGGTTGTCTGTGTGAGGATGTGTGAGATGGGTTGTCTGGGTGAGGATGTGTGAGTTGGGTTGTCTGGGTGAGGATGTGTGAGATGGGTTGTCTGGGTGAGAATGTGTGAGATGGGTTGTCTGGGTGAGGATGTCTTAGTTGGGTTGTCTGGGTGAGGATGTGTGAGATGGGTTGTCAGGGTGAGGATGTGTGAGATGGGTTGTCTGGGTGAGGATGTGTGAGATGGGTTGTCTGGGTGAGGATGTCTGAGATGGGTTGTCTGGGTGAGGATGTCTGAGATGGGTTGTCTGGGTGAGGATGTGTGAGATGGGTTGTCAGGGTGAGGATGTGTGAGATGGGTTGTCAGGGTGAGGATGTGTGAGATGGGTTGTCTGGGTGAGGATGTGTGAGTTGGGTTGTCTGGGTGAGGATGTGTGAGTTGGGTTGTCAGGGTGAGGATGTGTGAGATGGGTTGTCTGGGTGAGGATGTGTGAGTTGGGTTGTCTGGGTGAGGATGTGTGAGTTGGGTTGTCAGGGTGAGGATGTGTGAGATGGGTTGTCAGGGTGAGGATGTGTGAGATGGGTTGTCAGGGTGAGGATGTGTGAGATGGGTTGTCAGGGTGAGGATGTGTGAGTTGGGTTGTCTGGATGAGGATGTCTGAGATGGGTTGTCTGGGTGAGGATGTCTTTGATGGGTTCTGGTGAGGATGTCTGAGATGGGTTGTCTGGGTGAGGATGTCTGACATGGGTTGTCAGGGTGAGGATGTGTGAGATGGGTTGTCTGGGTGAGGATGTGTGAGATGGGTTGTCAGGGTGAGGATGTGTGAGATGGGTTGTCTGGGTGAGGATGTCTTAGTTGGGTTCTCTGGGTGAGGATGTCTCTGTCATTGCTCTGGGTGAGGTGTGGACAGAGAAGGGGTCTTGAGTGAGGGGTTCACGGGGGGGGGGGGGGGTCTGTGTGACATGCTGGGTTAATGAAGAGCGTCTGAGGGATTCCTGAAAGGTTCTTGGCATCGAGGTCGCTGAAAGAACGATTAAAAGTGGTTAGGTAAGGGATCTGCTGCTCATGGTTTGTACTGGGAGGTGGAGGAGAAAGGATTTGGCGGGGAGGTTAGTCTGATGGGTGTGTAAATGGGGTGTCTTCAAGAAGATGGGGGTAGGAGAGGAGGGTCTGGCATTAGATGAGGCCAAGTAGGACATTGCAGTGATATGGTTTAGTAATCTCGAGGGCTCTGGCAGGGATATTGTGGGTGATGGAGTTGTTGGGGTGGTTGATGTTCGGAGTTGGATCTGTCTGTGAAGTCTGATGGAATGAAGCTGCAATTTGGAGTGGAAATTGGCAGAATCTTTCTAACATGTAATTCAAATGTGTAATTTAAAGACATTTGTAATTGCAATCTAATTAACGCACCACAAAGTAATTGGTAATATGTGTCTACATTACATTACTCCAATTGTTGGTAATATGAATGTATTTGGCAACCGATGGGGTCTTATCCAGGGTACATGGTGAGAGGGCTTCATAGGGGCAGTGGGGATTGGTTCTCTGCTGTCTGGAGCGATGCAGGGAAGCTGATGATGATGATGGAGTCGGTGGGAGCATGAACGTGATTCATTGTTGTGGGAGAGGTAGGTGTAGTTGTGATATGGATGTGGCTGATGGGGTCGATGTGTATTGAAGCAGTTGCTGTACAATGTAGGCTTCTACTTAGTTCCGTGAGCAGTTGTGGGGACAGTTTTGCTAGGATTGCCACAATTCGGTCGGGGGGACGTGGATGGGTTGCTGTGGGAGTTTTGAGGGAAAAGAGGGTCTTTGGGGCCATCATCCGCTCGCTAACAGTGGCACAGGGAGGATGACATCACCCACTTGTGAATGAACGGGCCCATCTCTCTCTCTCGTTGTCTGTGTAGTTCATTATATCTCCACCGTCATTTTGCTCGCCGGTTTGCAGCCTCGCAGTCGCATGATTGAGACCATCAGGCACAATTATTTCACATTAATATCGCAGCGTGTCAATGTTACCGGTCTCCCTTAAAAAAAAAGAGATGCGGTCTTTGCACGAATGGTTCCCTTGCATGATTTCTAATTAAGCATCTGAACACCACGTACAGTGTTCACGTTACAGTCCTTGGATGATATTAATAGGGCAGTACAGTATTGGGTGATTCGTGCACATTGTTAAGCGACGAAAGCACCTTGTGTGCAGGCGGTAGGTGGATTAGTGCTTTGCAGGATTGTAAGAAATGGCAACAGCTTTAGGAAGGCATCTAGTAGTGGATCGTTCATGGCTGGTGATATTGTTAATGTGTCCATAACAGTATTCAATGACGTAAAAGGTTTTTGAGCCTTTTTATGAGTGAGGAAGCTTACAATGATTACATGATTTCAGTATACAGTATTTCTTAATGTCAGTGTGGTCTATGAGTGGGGTTAAATTCAGGCCATGAATCCTCTTCAACTTGAGCCCATTTAGCTATGTGCCACATCCAGACCTCACCTCTCGCACTACTTGCGATATCCCTCCACGCACAGCCACTTGTTGGTGCGCGTCGTGAGGAGGTCGTGGTGAGCCTTGCGGCCTAATTCACTTTCTCTCATTCCCACCTATAATGAAGTCAGAGACAACGGCCCAAACAAGCATCTGCCACAGCACAAGTTTACGACGTCTTTTGTGGAAGTGTTCTCTTTTTTATAGGACTACTTAAATAAACTGGGAAAAATCACATTATTAGTACACGCCAACATTTTCAGAATGGACACTGCCAGCATTAGAGCAAAACTTAATGATGTCTTCAGGCAGTGGTAATGCATTTTCAAACATTTGAACTTAACTTTTAGTTGTTGCAAAACAGTCCAGTATTGCAGGTACATTCCTAAAAAAGTGTTGTAAACTGTAGCCTTTGTCGATCTACTTTTGGATGAAGACTTCCTAAGTTGTGGCCATCCCTCATGGTTCTTTCTGCAATTCTACAATCTATCTCCTGCGAATGAATGAATCTCATCTCTCCACCTGCACATCGGTCGTTCTCTCAGTAATGGAACAACAGTTATTTGAAGGTGGTCTATTTTCAGTGTTCATATTACATGAAAGAGAAATGTAATTGTCTGCTTGTGCTCAAATATTAATACTGTATATCCTTATCTCCAGAGCCACTGATGGAAATTCCAAGTTCATTTTTCATAAATGACCAACGACTGTTGATTTTACGATGCTTCTCTGATGTGTCTTCAGAGGCCATTCACACCGCTCCCACAGGACAGTGCGTGTTGCATAGAGTTTGCTTTGTGCCTGGAACTACGACGTGCACTTACTGACGTGAGATCCACAACTGGAATCAGCGCAGCCACATTGAGATTAAGCCAGGCTTTTATGTTTTAGTGAGTTAGATTGATGCAAATATAAGTGTCTGGTTTTTCACTGAATTTAGCCCAACCCCATCTCTGCAGGATATTTTTTTAATCCAAAGACACTTTATACGGTATGTGAAAAGAAAAGTCAGGACGTGTCATTTCAATGGATGGTGGCCAGTGATTGAGACTCGAAAAGGAGTAGCAGCCAGATGGGGTGACACACTTGAAATGTTGTCCTCCACAAAGATGGCGCAATGAAACAATCTAATGTACAGATTCTAGGTGGGTTGTTAACATCGCAGGATCTCGGAAAGAGGGTCATGAAACTTGGTGGCTTGAGGAGGCCTTCATCCTGCTTTGCATGAACCATGTCCAATGGTGCTGGAAGCATGGCCATTTAGTCATTGTGAGAGGGCTGCTGAATCTAATAGCCCTCTGATCTTTTGAAGCCAGAACCCATGAACTAGATCTGTTGCATCAACTTCCGAGGTTCCATTTCAAGACTGTGATGACGACGATGTTTTGGGTGTGCCAACTGTAGAAATTCCAGTAAAAACGTCCGTTCTGAGTGCTTGCAAAAGCCTACGTGTTAAGCTTACACTACCATTGCACAATTTACATAAAATTGATGATTGATTTTTCTGTTAACTCTTGCACTGTGGGAGAGGAAAGGGACAGCAGGAAGCAAACTGGGCTGAAGGTGTTGAACACACAGCGGTGGCATCACTGGGCAATGGTGGTGCCAGAGCACTCCCCCATAAGTGCCCCTTCCAAGACAAACAATTCATGAATCAGTGCCTGCTCTGTAGCTGTTCATGAACTGTTGAAGACTAGTGTCGTCTCTAAAAAGTTACAGTTACTGTAAGAAAAAAGCATCTGCTCAAATAATCGTAGGGTGGTGCTCATCTTATTGCAGACCATAGTCAGTTGCTTAAATTTACACAATGCTATGGCGGAGGTAAGTTCGTCCATCGGACGACAACTGTTGACTTTCCACAATGACACTCGTTTTATAAACCCCAGAGGGATGAATTGCTCAGGCAACCTTCCACTTGCAATGTGTTCCAGACTCTGAAATCTCTTCACACACTGAGCCACATGCTCAGTTCTGTAAGCCTAACACAGAATTTAGATGTTCACTTCGTTTATCTTCCTGGCTATGTTAGTGTTTTAAAGACGCACAGAAAACATTGACAAAACAAACAGCCTACATTAACCCATGCCTATGAAAATTTGTATCTAAAACCAACTTTTAAAAAATGTCCCTTCATTTACAACATCCACCTTCTGACTGAAGGAAAGTGAAGAGGAGGGGAGCCATCCAGGGGCAGAACCCACAGAGCCTCACCGCTCACAGAGTGGGGACATGGACCTAGGCCCTGGGCCAATCCTGGGTAAGCAGAGTCCTAATTCTCTCCCTTCACCCCCATGTCTTCTCCTCTGCCGTTGGCACCCTCTGCAGCAGAGGATGGCGCAGGTCTCGGTCGCGGCCCCGGCTCTGTCTGTGGGTGCCCCCCTCCCCTCTGTGGCCGGTGACGCATGCGGCCTGGAGCCCACAAGCCCACTGCTGGCCCCGCCGGCTGGTCAGTGCCCCGTCACAGCCACTACCAACGCCATCGGCACCATCATTGACGGCATGTCCTCTGGTGAGGTTCCAACGTGTGTGTGTGTGATGCCGTTTCTCAGAAATGGGACTTGTTCAATAAGTTGTTCAATTTATTTAACCTCGCTCTGTTAGGAAGTAGGGCAATTTCCCAAAACGTCACCTGTTATATAATTTTCCCTTTTGTGGCAAAGCTATTGACCGTATGTGTTGAGTTTCTGTTATGTGTGCTTGCACACCACTGCCAATTCAGTCTTACAAATATATGTTGCTTACTTGTGAAATCAGGACTCTGTGCCGCACGAGGCATTTAAGCTTTAGTGGCGGAGTCGTTGACCCACTGTGCCACAAACTCAGTAACCTGCTTTCAATTCCATTCCACAGCTAACATCATTGGCAAGCGGTATCGTAACTGGTCCTGGGCCTCTTCCTCGCTAAACTCGGCCTTAAATTAATTTCAAAACTGGGTAAACAAAGGTGGATCTTCTCAGTCCCGTCTACACTGTCCCCTTCTGTACTCTGCTGGCCTAATATATGCTTATTACCAACACCTGCTCCAGTAGTCTAAATACTTTGTGCTGAAACTTGGTGTTTGTAGTGTGCTAGTACGTCGTGGTGGCCAAGTGGTATTTGTACATTGCACTATCAACCTGTATTTCGGGGCTTGATTTTTATCCACATGCACTGCCTTTTGCAATCGGCCTAGAATTGGTCACACCAGCGCTTTATAGTTTGGTCATGATGGCTGAATAAGGAGCATTATCTTCGTCTTCTTTATTTATATCTGTATTTTTGAGTACCTGTTGTCTTTGTGGATATTTTCTTTGTGTGTGTGTGTATATGTACGTGTTTCGAACCCGGCAAACCGAGTTCGTTTCCTGCTCACGGCCAACACCAGTGATGATTATCTGAACCGGTCCTCGGCCTCCTCTAGGTCGACTCGGCCTCAAATAAGTACCTAGTGCCATGTGTAAAACATGTTGCCACTAGGGAGACAAAAGTGGCCGGGTGTAGTGCTGGCCACCCACCGCCTCGTTTGCGTGCCAGCCTTCATAGGTGCTCGCTAACAGCACTTGCCCCAACAATCTTGTCAAGGCTATAAGGGGGGGATCTTTTTCTTTGTGTTTGTGTACATAATACTGTGCGTGTCTGCCACAGTATCTCTGGAGGAAAACATGGCAAACCCCAAAGAGAAGACCCCAATGTGTCTGGTGAATGAGCTGGCCCGCTACAACAAGCTGCAGGCCCAGTACAAGCTGGTGCGGGAGGAGGGGCCCGCACATGCCAAGGTGCGTCGCCCGGTCACTGTAGGCCGTCAGTGCTTCATGCAGTGGTGTGATGCAGGGCCATTGGCTGAGGCATTAGCAATGATTTAATTTGTTCGTAATTAATGTTTGGGTGAGGCCAGTGTTGTATGTGTTGGGTTATGAAATTTTTATGAAAATAATAAAAATTAATAATTTTCCGAAAAATGCGCAAATCGCATGAATTATGTTAATGTGTGTATTAATAGGCATAAATTATGATAATGCGTGTGATTATATGCATAAATTATGCTAATCGTAGTAATTTATGCGGAGGCTTGTGATTATGTTAATGTGTGCAGTTATGATAATTTGCTTAGTTTCGTTTATCCAGAGTTATCAATCAGGATAACACGATTATCATAGATTCATTTACCGATTATCCTAGTGTGTGTTATAATATTTTAGGTCTCCATTTTCATATCTCATCACAGGATACAGTTGTCAAGAATAAGACAGTTTTGCATGAACTTGGAAGGAACACTCGATATGCTTCTTGATTACAATTTTATTCTAACAAGCACGTGACATTCTATCATGCAGGTTAAACATGCGTCAATAATTCATGGGCAAGATTATGCAATTAACTAATATGAACGACAAAAACTTATGCAGTTGCGAAATTATGCAATTATGCAATATGAATAACGAAAACTCTTATGCATTTATGTAACTCGACGGCAGCAACTGCTTTGCACGATCAGTTGATATTGAACGCACCACCTCGAAATGGCAACCTTTTTTGAAACGAAAAGACAGTTTTTCTTTTAAAGTCTTATTCGTGTGCGTGCTGTGTGTGCGTTGTCCTCTCGTAATATTAATTGTGTCGTTAGCTTGTGTGGTGTGGGAGGATACGAACAGCTCCTGCTGCTCCCTCGCTCGGCGTGTCGCTCGGTATTTGCTCTCTCTCTCTCTCTCCACTGCTGGATTGAGCGGCGTTGGCACGATGTTCCTTGAAGAAACTTGCTTGCTTGGCGCTTGATGGTTCCGGGGGCTTGGTGCTGCTCGTGCGCTCTCTCTTTCTACTGCTAGATGACGAGTTGGCACGATGCTGTCCTTGAAGATGCTCGGTCGCTCGTGTCGCTCGGTGTTGCTCGGTGGCGCAAGGTGTCGCTCGTTGTCGCTCGATGGCGCGCGGTGCCGCACGGTGGCGCAAGGTGGCGCACGGTGGCGCAAGGTGGCGCACGGTCAGCGCTCGTTCAGCGATCTCCGCCTTTCCTGCGGGTTGTTCGCTGGTCGTCACTCTGACGAGGAGCGATGCTTCGTTCGTGGCAGGGTGGACGTTGGCGTCTTTGTTGGCTTCACTCGCAGCTCTGCGACTCAGGGTAGCGATTCTTCTCAGGTGGTGCAGACCTCGGCTTGTAGCTACGCGTCGCTACTCCGCAAACCTCGTCATTCTGAATGACAGGAGCTTCTTCGTTGGCGGCGACGAGGAGAGATGGAGCCACAGCCCTGGAGATCTGTGATGGGGGCCAGAGCCCCTGTCGATCTGAGTTGTATGGATTTTCCTTCGGTTTATATCGGAAAATTCCACTCGGCTTCCCGAGTTGTTCAAAAGCTGTGTCATAAAACCTTCCTGTGGGGGTGGACCATCTGCGTCCGTGTGTGTGTCCGTCCGTGTGTTTCGCGTGCGTGTTTGTCCGTGTGTTTATTAGCTTTGAAGACACAGCTGTGTGTGTCGTTCTGGAAGAAAGGGGGTGGGGGTGGGGGCCTCGTGTCGGCTGCTTCAGAAGTTATCCATTAGCCAGACCGATGATTCGCGTTGAGTTAAAAAAAAACATTCGAATCCATGTTTTGTTACTGAATAATATTTGTCGCGAAAACCTACGCGTTAAGCGCGCTTAACTATTCACTCCCTTGCTCTGGGATCACATCCTTTGTCTCACACAGCTTAAGTTGGTTTGGTTTGGAAGTTGAAATGCGACTTATTTGCTGCTTGGTTATGCCGAAACCGTGTTCACGATGTTTCATCGTGACCCAACCTTTATGGGTGTCATTTCCTGGCTTGGTGCCTGTGTGTGGAGATCCTCTCGGAAAGACAAAGGCGGTCGTGTTGCTCGCTTCCCATGGGTGTTGTGTTTGGTTAATTTTGAGAGCCTTCTCCGCCCTTGATTCCTCTTCTATTTTAATTCCGTACTTATTATTCGACTTCTTGTGATTATTTGATCTGATATCCCGGCTAGGAATTTGTTTTGGAGCGAAATAGATGCCCTAATTATTCTTTGATGCTTCGGTCCGGCCGTGTAGATATTCTTTAAAGGTAAATAATGTCAGTACTTAATTAACAATGATGGGTCGCGATTCTGGTGCAATTTTTGTCTGGTTTTCAATTGGAGTGAGGATGGATACTGTTTGCTTAATCTTTATGGTTAAGTTGGTAACTTGTGTATTTAACATGGTTCAAAGACCCATCTGTGCTTTTTGTCGTCGATGCTGTTTCTTTGTTAAGAATATAATTATCTCTTCCTCCGTGTCTCCTGGTTCTGTGGGGTTTTTTTTCAAAAGGGCGCCCTGCTGACCCCCCCCCCGCCTGCAATTCCCCCCTCCCTTGTTCCTCTTGTGTGAATTTAGGGGAGTTTATTACCTTATTGCCCCCCTTTCATGTCCTCTTTCCTTTGAAATGAGGTATGCGCGCATCTGTGGAAGTGTGGGGGCCTCTGTGGAAGTGTGGGGGGCGTGTTCGTTCCCACGTGGCCGCGTCTATTAGAAAAACGATATTATCTATGTTGGCAGAATAATTCTTAAAAAAAATAATATAAAAAAAAAATAAAAAGGGGGTACATACACAACACCAGGTACTGATCTAGGCGATGGAGCCAAACATATGAAATTGTGACGTATACGAAGAGTTTTAAGCGTACCATTTACGTAGGCTACCGTTACATGCAGGCACGTAGAACAAACAAAGCCGCACAAAGCATACGGAGCAATTCTAGATTTGAAGCTTTCGTGACTGCAAGGATTCATACTCTTTGGTTTTTTCAGTAAAGTCACGTAGGTAAAAAATAATAAAATAAAATAAATGAAAACAACTAAATTCAATCACGACGTTTCGGAGGCAACACAAGCGTCCGTCTTCAGGTGGAACAATTACAGCCAAAGTCGCTGTAGCAAGTGAAGGGAGTTAATAGAGAAAATAGAGAGCATACGGAGCAAGTGAGAAACAATCCAAACGAGACAACAATTATAACAAAAATTTAACAATTATTGGAATAAAATGCGACCCAGGTTTATGACAATTCATCAAATCAATGAGGGGGGTAAACCATCACACCCTAACCCTTTTAACAAAACAAGCTGTCATACCAATAAATTAAGGAAGACTCAATTCCGTTCTCCATGCAAGACACCCGTTAGAAATGTTATGATATGCAGAGTAACATTTTCTAACATGACACTAGTGTTGAATTATTTAATTGCTAGTCCATTCCCAATTCGATGCAGATCTGGCAGTTGGTGTTGGTAAATTCTGTGCTGAATTTTGTGGCGATCGCTTTAAGGGTTTTCTAGTTTTCGTAAAAAAAAATGATCTTGTATGGACAGACGGACAAAATGTTTCCCAGGCGTTTCTATGGGTAGCCCATTGGCTTCCTTAAAGAAGAGATGTTTTAATCGTGGCATGACCCCAAATAATGACTCACTGTACCATGGATGCATATGTTTTGACGTCCTTAATACGCATAACATTTCGATGAAATTCACAATTCAGGGTCGCGATTCGATTTCATAATACATTCTACGGTTTAGCGTTGTGCTGCATGTATAATCTAGTGGCTGTAGAGTTCGCATAAAATAATACTATATCGCATAAGGACATGTACAGCCCTTTCGTCAATCCACTGCTGGATGGGATCCTACCCACGCCATGCAGGTTTTGGGGGTTATTTGACCATACTTCACCATGCTGAACAGTGCGGGTTGGTGAAAGCTGGGAGCAGCGACATGAGAGCATAGACGTACGGTATAACTATGTATTTTACTGCACTACCATCTGATGCGCACAACACAGTGCCCCACAACATATACCAATGTCCAGGCGATCTCCGCACCTACGATCTGATTGGTTCCAGGACGATGGCCGTCGTAAGTCGGGGGTCACCTGTATAACCATTGTTTCTAACATGCACAATTTGACGCGTGCATTATACATTCAATTTATGTGTGATGTCACGTAGGTGATTTATTATTTTATTTCTATTATTACTTTTATTAATTTTAATTTTATTTTTTACCTACGTGACTTTACCGAAAAACCTAAGAGTATGAATCCTTGCAGTCACGAAAGCTTTGAATCTAGAATTATGCGTGATGGTTGATTGTACAGTGCACAATAGGAATTTCTAATAATCGTTGAACCAATACATCAGTCATCGTCATCATCAGTAGCCATGATCAATACACAGCTGGATTAAGGCCTCACCAAGCCGCCCATCATTGCCCTTTGAAGTAACAATCTGCCTATTACCTGTACAGAAGCAGATTCTATTGTTGTACCTCCCCATTGGACATACATGTACTCCGACCATCATTCCTTGTACGTGTCTAATGCAACGTCACATGCCAAATTATTAGTATTAGGTGATGGCAGTAATGAGGTTTGCTACCAATGCACGGTGTGTGTGTGTCAGCATGTGTTCTGCCAGTCTTCTCAGTCAATGCATGGCACCTGGGTCTGTTCCGTGACCTCCTGCCAGCGGGCCTTCGACACTTCACGTGGCCTCAGAGTGCACCTAGCATGGCACAAGCGCCATGGTGACGTCACTGCCACTTAGCGGTGAACCGCAGTGGTCGTTGTTGTTGCATGTGTTCTGAGCGGAGTCGGTGCCTTGTTCCCCCGCTTGCCACCATGCTCGCGCGCAGTTGTTCACGGTCGAGCTGGCGCTGGGGGAGCAGACCTGGGAGGCCGAGGGCAGCAGCATCAAGAAGGCGCAACACTCAGCTGCCACGCGTGCCCTCGCCGAGACGGCGCTGCCCCGGCCGCCCGCTCGCCCACCCAAGCACAACCTTGGCACCAACCCAGGTGCGGCTCGGGCCACTCGTGTATAGGGACACCGAGACAAAGATGATCCCCCGTGTAGCCCGTAACAGACTGTTGGGGCAAGTGCAGTTAGCGTGCAGCACCTATGAAGGCCGGCATGGGACACGAGGGGGCGGGTAGCCAGCAGCATGCCAAGCCGCAGTTTGTCTCCCCAGTGGTGATGTTTATACACCACACCTGCTCCTCGTTTGAAGCTGAGTTGACCTAGGGGAGGTCTAGAACTGGTGCAGATGTTCGCCACTGATGTTAGCCGTGAAAGGGAATCGAACTCGGGCTGCTGGGTGCATAGCACAGTGCACATTGTGCTAACCTCTAAACTACCGCCAGAGGTCACAAACGGGTTTTGATTCCTTACCCGTACCCGGCCGCACCAGGGTCGCAAACGGGTACCCGTACCCGTAGCCGGGTATTGGGTAGGGTACGGGTATCGGGTACCCTATTGCGACCTCTGACTACCGCTGCTCATGCGCACACACACTTGGGCACGTATGCACATGCATTTGCACACACACACATGGTAGTAATTACATGCTGTAAATACAGAAACACTGGTGCATACACACCATGATGTGTCCACATGCCACTACACATGCTGGCTTTAATTTGCCCCTCGTATTGTCACTCCTGTGTTGAGCATTGTGATCATATCACCTCCAATGCGGCCGATCTCACTAGATCTCAGAAGCTAAGTAGGCTTGAGCCTGGACTAGAACTTCGATGGGTGATTACCTTGCACAAAACAGGTGTCGTAGGCTGTTACGGGGCTATGTAGGCAGCAGAGGGCAGTGCAGCAAAATTAATGTTTGTACGGTACTATGCTTCTAACATCTATGCTTTCCCCCTATACCAACCTGCATAGACCAACACGGTGAAGTATGGTCACATGAGCCCCACCTGCGCAGCATGGGGAGGCTCTAATTCTGCAGTGGATTGACAATAAATGATGAACATGTATACAGTGTTGTACAGTATTCACTCATGTAACTTGTACCTTCCATGAATCTCCATTTCTCTTCCTCTCGACTCGCATTGTCTGCACGGACTGTGCTATCATTCTAGTAAATGGATAACCACCCATAGCACGGGTATCAGACACATGATACACCCACGTGGCTTCTGGAGGCAAGGGACCACAGCGATGGGTGGCACAGCCGGTTAGTCCGACGTTGGTTCGGAGCATCTGTGGGACATGGCGCAGTGTGTGGTCACATGGCCGCAGTTTTTATGCTGCCCGCAGGGAGCATCACACCCACCGTGGAGCTCAATGGGATGGCCATGAAGCTGGGCCTGCCCGTGTTCTACCGACACTTTGACCCGCCGCCCATGCCCGGATATCGGCCAAACTACAACTACCGCGGCATGCCGCACCAGAGGTCGTGATCTGCAAGCATGCGTGCACGCACGTGCGCGTTCACTCACAGAATTCACTTGCGCATTATACCACTTGTATATAGGCATACACACGTGCACTTTGACACGCACACATTTTTATTATTATGCTTTCTTACCCAGAAAAGCCTTACTGAGTCACAAGACTTATCAGCAAGGTCCTACCGAGTTTTCGCAGTACGGGGGGGGGTACTGTTGCTGCTGTGTTTAATCCCAATTGAGTAATTTGCAGATATTTTTTCAGCATTGGGATGTTTGTCCAATGCCAGTTACATTGTATGTTTTTTTTTTTAGCTATGGGAGGAAACCTGAGGACCCGGAGGAAACCCATGCAGAACAGGGGGAGAACATACAAACTCCACACAGAAAGGCGCCCGAGCCGGAAATCGAATCCATGCCCTTCCTTCTGTGAGACACAAATGTTGCCACTGTGCCACCCTGCCGCCCAAATTTAGTGCACACATCCACACCACTCGCACATGCAAGCTCACGTGCATGGAAACACATAATCACACCCGCGCATTGCTCACACACAGCAATGTGTACACGTGCGCACACACACATCGGACATGATCATGCAAATGTACTTGGCTCACATGCAGATGCATAAGTGCACGTTCATTTTCTTTTACACATACGTGTACGCTTACTTGGTGTTGTGTGCACACATACTCATGAGCTCGTGCACAACACACATAAACCACACATCCATGCATACACATCGTCACGGTCTCACACAGATATGTACGCACATGCACAGTTCATGTACATGCTTACACAAACATGCGTTGTGTGCAAAGCCAGTCGTCAAGACAGATGTTTGGGTGACATCTCAAGAAGTTTCTGCCTCTCATCTCCCCAACCTGTAAAACCTCGATCATTATTGCGACACTCCCCTGCATCCAATAGTGTAGCTATTGAGTGTGCAGGCGGTACAACTGCACTGGGGCAGACCCATGGACCAGAGCGGCCGATGCGCCAGGTTATGAAGGGGGAGGGGGGGGAGGGAAAGTATTCACGGTGCCCCATTGCATTTCTTACACCGGGACACATTCCAACCGCGCTGTGTCACTGGATCCCTGTTGCATTGTGACCCCATTTGTTTGGCGATTCTGGCCGGGCAGGTACCACCACCCCCCGATGCCACGCGCCTTCCTGGTGGAGCTGCAGGTGGGCGAGCGCAAGTTCACGGGGGAGGGCCGTACGCGACAGGCCGCGCGCCACAACGCTGCCAGCAACGCGCTCAAGGACCTTCAAAGCGACCCGCTGCCTCCCAAGCCTGCGCCCGACACACAGGTTATGCTCTGCTGCACCACCGACGGCTTGGACGGAGCCGGCTTCCTTTCATGACAAAGCAGGCGACAGCTCGTTGAGACTCGTCGTCGCCCTTACAAGTGAGGCCGAGGGTGAAAGAAAAGCTGCCTGCAGCTCTGCACATTTCCACGCCGGTTGTTGACGAATCGGGGGTCGTGTAATGTGGCGGTGACATGGCCCACGTTAGAGCGTCCGTCGCTCGTTGCTGAGGTTTGCGGTTCAAATCCTGCAGGTCACCCTGGCTGTTACTGCGGGTGTATCAACCATACAAAATACACCCTCTGCTTCATGTCAACGTTAAATATCCTCTGATCCCATTGTAAAAGAGTAGGCCATAGCAACATCACTCCCCACGAGCACACTATATCGACCTGTGAAATATAGCAATTTCGCGATCACCCTGCACTATAAGAATGTCCCAAATACCGAATTTATTAAGTGACTATGAATTATGGTTTCGCACGTTGGTTTTGCAATCAAGGCATCTTTGGTATGATCTCCGTGCATGCCAGTTGAAACAACGGTGCACTTTTTGTTTCCATCCCCCTATGTCCACCCAGCAGTATTATAAATGGATGCGCCAGAGTTAGTTTGTTAGCAGGGCATGTGTGCTGGAGTAAAGTGTGGATATGCCCATCTCTTCCAAGACTGTCTGCTGGCTATCATCTGGAGGGGCTCTCTTGAGCTTGCCTCTAGTTGAAGCCCTTCTGCCAATCGTGGCATGAGAAATAAATTATAGGGCTGCACTGATTCCTTTGACTAATCAGTGGTTGCCAAGGAGCACTTTTAATTGATTGTACTGTTTCTTTGAGAAGAAATGGTCTGCTGAATTTGGGATGTGTCTTTGTATGTGCATTCGTGTAACTGTGTGTGTGTGTGTGTCTATACATGATGAGTGTCTGGTGCGGTGTGTTAAACATCACTGGGGAGAGAAAGGCGGTGGGCGTAGTGCTGCCGACCCACCCCCTCGTATACATTACCGGCCCCCATAGGTGCTCGCTGACAGAACTTGCCCCAATGTTATGTCAAGGCTTTACGGGGGGTCTTTGTCTTTGTTTGTCTATACGTGTGTGAGTATATAACTGTGTATATATGTGTGTGTGTATGTGTACATATGTACACACACGCAGTGCACTGCGCTACAAATGCAACGGCCTTAGTTTAATTTTCGGCTACATACGACATCAGTGCTGATTTCTCTTTAACCGCTCCTGGGTTTAAGAGAAATCACTACTAGTGCAGTGTGTACCTGGTGCAGTGTGTAAACATCAGCACTTGGCAGACACAGGTCTTTAAGCATGGTGCCGGCCACACCACCCCCTTGCGCACCACGGCGGCATTCATATAAGCGCTTGCTAACAGAAGCTGCCCCAGCATGTGTATGCTACCCGGGGGATCTTTGTCTTTGCGTACATATGTTACTTATGTAGCGGTGTGTGCGTGTGGCTCACGGTTATAGGAGAATGGAAACGAGGATGAGGACGAGGAGAACGACCATGACGCCAACAAGTCTGAGATCAGCCAGGTGTTTGAGATCGCGCTCAAGAGGAACTTGCCCGTCAACTTCGAGGTGACAGGTTTGGCTCCTGGCACGACGGCTCTCCCGATATGACAAGGCCCTCACCACTGACTGGTGCCAACACCAGGAGGCAGGCGGATCGGTGCCAGGTTTAGCAAACAGCTCCATAGTGGCAGGTATAGAAGACGGTTAAATGTTTTCGCCGACAGTTGCATTTTTTAGCAGATAGTTGCCCTGTTCCCCGTGGTCCTGAGCACCATTCGGTTCCTGACTTGCTGCAGGAACTGTCCTTTAGGCTACTGCCACTTCCTGTCACCTGACCCCTTCCCAGGATTCCTTAGTTCATTATATTTACAGGACCCAGCAGCCACATTTTTACGTAACTCCTACAAAAGGCCAACAAACTACACTGAAGTAAATGTAGATAAGCAGACATACCGTCTGTCTTCACATACAAATCAAATGTTTGTGAGTCCATCTGCTTACTAGTGTAGGGGTGTTAGAGAGAGAGCCGTTATGCATGGCAGCTTATGGGAAACAAACACAGTGGGCGGGGCTACGTGAGTGCATGGGGGGGTGCTCTCAACGACGTCCGCACCGGGCAGCCCGGGGCCCCACCCCTCAGCGGGGGTTGAGTATAAAAGGGGATGTGTCAGAGGGCTCGGGGGGAAATGTTAAGCTAACGAGAAGACTGAAGACATCTTAGCTAGAGCCCTGGACTCCCCTAGTTCGACGTCCTTATCAGGGCCGAACAGGATCGAGCCAGCGGCGTGGTTCCGAGAGCCAGAGCCGGTGCTCTTGTCAGAGCAGGTCTGGGACTCCGGGTACCGGGCCCGACTTACCAGTGTCGGGCCAGATAGCCTCCCCTAGCCCGTTAGTGGAGGACTAAGAGGCAGGCTAGGGTAGCTAGCGTGTGTATTCCCAGCTAGCCGGGTGAGGGGGCCGATACCCCCTCGAGTGTTATATGCCCACTGTTGTGCTGTGAAATAAACCCGTGTGCCTCCAACTCCGGCGTCAAGAGTCGTCAACGGTATTACACTAGTTTGGGAAGCCAAAAGGCTGATGGGACTGAATAAATATTTTAATATATACGAACGGACACTCGTTCTGTGTATCCAAATATGATTTAAACAATATTTTTATGATTATGATACGTGGAGAAGGATCTAGTGTAATTTCAATATTTTTTTATCACACAATGCTGCACAACAACGCTCTGTGAGTTTGTTTACTTCGAAGGCATTGGGAAGCAGTTGTCAGGCAGCAGGTGGGGACAGCGTCTGACTGGTGACGGAGGAGTAGACGCCGGCGTGGTTGGTGTGCCCAGCGTTGGCGTCTTCACGACGCCACCGTTGGGGTACTCCGGTAGTGAGACGTTAAATACCTCGCCTGGTATGCAGGAGGTTGTGGGTTTGATCACGACACTAATGCCTGTATATTTGAAGTTTGCATGTTTTCCACGTGGTCGCGTAGATTTTTCTACGGGTCCTTTGTTTTTTCCCTCCACAATTAGAAACATGCGTTTAGAGTATTTGGCTGTTATACATTTCCACATGATAAGCCTCTACATTGGGCAATCAGGTCCCTTTTGTATTAGAGCTATATAGCTCAGTGGGCCTCACCTGGTAAAATAAAAATAGTTTAGTTTAGAGTCGCTGCGAGTCCCTGAGCCATCACGCTGCGTGCGCCCCGTGCAGGTGGTGCGGGAGAGCGGCCCCCCGCACATGAAGAGCTTTGTGACGAGGCTCTCGGTGGGGCAGTTCTCCGCCGAGGAGGAAGGCAAGAGCAAGAAGCTGTCCAAGAAGAAGGCGGCCGCTATTGTGCTGGCCGAGCTGTTCAAGCTGCCGCCCCTGCCCGTCGTGGAAAAACCGCGGCCCACGCTCTTCAAGAAGAAACCCAAGTCGATCGTGAAGGTGAGGCCTCAGCCCCGTGGTGGTGTGGTGCGGAGGATGGTGGTGGGCGCCTGGGTCTTGGCGCATGCGCTTACGTTGGTTTTGGGCCACACGTGCATACACGGCACAGGTGTCATGCGATTTCTTACGATGTCTTGTCCCGTCTTCTACACTCCCAATCTCTTCTGTCCCCCTCTGTGCTTCCCTCACCCTGCACCCAATCACGATGTCGTTCCTTTTCCCCTTCTTGCTCCCCTTCACTGGAACAAACTCCCACTGCACATGAAACGATCACCTTCACTCAGCTGCTTCCGCTCCTCCCTTAATACAGCGCCATGTGTCTTCTCTCTAGCCCATCCTGCTGATTACTACCTGCCCCCGCCTACCAGCTACGACTAGCCCTCCCCCAACCCATCCTTAAGCTCCTCCACCTGTTCTCTCAGATTTCACCATTTCTGCACCACCACTTTTAATAATCCCACTTTTTATCACAACCACTTTCATAACATGTACCATTTTTATCATCGCTGTGCAGCGCCTTGTATTAAGGTGCTATATACATTTAGATAAGATGTCTCTCACCTACCTGCGTGGCTATGCAGGTGAGCCCAGAGTACAGCCAGGGCATGAATCCCATCAGCCGGCTCGCACAGATTCCAGCAGGCGAAGAAGGAGCGTGAGCCCGACTACACAGTCGTCTCGGAGCGCAGCCTGGCGCTGCGTCGACGCGAGTTCATCATGCAGGCACGGGCACAGGCACATATGCAGTTGCATGCTGGGCAAATGCCCAAGCAGTACTTGTGACCTACTTTCAATTCCTGGCCAAGTCATGCAATAAAAATTGCAATTGGCATCCAAGCCTGCACTGAGCCACCTCAAGATTGACTATGCTTAAAATGACTGCTCACTGCATGGTGTGTGTGGTCATCATCATAAACACCGGCAGCGGGGCATGCGTAGTGCTATCCCCACCGGTTCCCTCGTGCGCCACGCCAGCCTTAACGGGTGCTCGCTAGTGGCCTGTGTCCCAGCGGTGGTGGTCTGCGAGGCTGAAGGAAGTGCCGTGCCTTTGTGCTGTGTACAGGTGAAGGTGGGCGATGACTGTGCGTCGGGCACTGGTCCCAGCAAGAAGATCGCCAAGCGCAACGCGGCGGAGACGCTGCTGCTGCAGCTGGGCTACAAGCCCTCGCTGCCGGCCGCCTCGCCCGATGAAAAGGTGGCTCTGAGGCTGGGCTGTCTGTCGCCCGGTTTTTGACAACGGCTTCATCGTTGCCGATTGAAATGTGTGGATAAATTGGTAAACAGGTTTTCTATTGATTGATTTTCCTCTACAACTTTGACATTCCAGCGTCAAAGGAAATGCAACGTCTCAGTGGATAATGTTATGGCCTCTGATCAAATGGCCTAGAATGCAGATCTTTGAAGTTAATCAGGGGTGAGTCTGGATAATACTTGGATGGGTGATGACCAAACATTAAACAGGTCCAGGCAATCCTCGGTTTACGCACTTTCGTGGTACGCCATTTTGGAATAACTCGCGCTTTGAATTTAGACCTTTTATTGATATACGCGAGGTACTTTTCGGAATAACGTCATCCCGCAACGCGACATATGCTACCCTAGCCTAGGCACCGTGACCCAGTGGCGTTGGCAGCAGCTAGTGCGGTACGATAACTCGCGTGCTATACAAGTACAGCATCTCGCCACATGTACTACGGGCGCCCTTCACTTTGTCTGCACAACGCAACTCCGGCGTAGTTACAACGTGTAGGGGACTAAATGGGGAAGAAACGTTACACAGAGCTACTAAAGATTTATATAAAGAACACAGGTGCTGAGGGAAATTAGAAAGAGAACAGGTTGGTAAGGGATAATTGAGAACACAGGTGACTGTATATCTAACATCGGAGAGGAAGCGGCACAGGTGGTGAAGGGATAATGACTGAGAGGGTACTGTAGCAATAGAACACACACACACACAGGTGGTTAGGAATTAAAGATCGAGAGGGAGATTAAAAAGGGGAGCCTCGCTGGCAATAGGCCTATTGATATGTAGCGAGGATAATAGAGCCGATTATGTCTGCGTGAGTGAAATCCCCTAACCCCGACCTCCTTTACCATTACTTCTTGTAGGGAAAATTGCTTTTGATATACGCGATTTTGAGATACGTGCGTTTTTTCCAGGAACGCATCTATCGTCTATGTCAAGGAGTGCCTGTATTGAAGGCTGCTGTTGGCCTACTTTTTGAGCAGAGGGGAAGTGTAACAAAAGATCTGCGGGTCTAGGTTCCATGCTTTCACAAATCCACAATGACCAACGCTGCGGAGTATTGTATGGTCAAATAACCCCCACAAGCAGCACAGCGTGGGGATGACTCAACCATTTGTTGCACGCAGTCTGCATCGGCAGCAGGCCACGCTTTCCCACCTGATGACGGACGCTTGTGTTGCGCCCAAAACGTCGTGATGTATTTTATTTTTCTACCTACGTGACTTGACCGAAATAACCAAAGAGTATGGATTCCTGCAGTCACGAAAGCTTCAAATCAAGATTGGCAAAAGGCTGTACCTATAGGAAGGGGTCATATGATTCCCAAGAAGATAAGGGACAAAACTATCATGCATTTACCAACAAATTAAAGTTACGAGAAAGCATGAAATGTGGATATGTTCTGTGCTGACCCTCATCTCCTCCATGTGTTGCACTCTGCCCACTCTCTCTATTCCTGCTCCACCATCGCCTGTTCCCTACCCCTGTGCCCCTCCCTTAGCAGTGTCAGCCGCAAGAGGGTGAGAAGCCGGTGGATACACGCAAAGTGACCTTCGCGGAACCAGCCAGTCCCAGTAAGTAGCTCTTTCCCTACTGCGGCAGGGTGGTCTGGGCTCCGATTGAATTGTGCCTCTCTTCACACGGACATGTGAGCCTGATGCATTTGAGCAGGTGCCAGGTATCGCAGCGACCCTCTGCCCTACTGATTGACGTCATACCCAATGAATGAGTCATTATTCCTGCCCCTGATCCTGCTTGGCCATGAGCCAGACTCGGATGTCTTGCGAAGTCACTTGGTTCCAGCTTAGCATGGCAAATAGCCAATTGGAAACCACCTGTACCGCTAGCGCCCAATGCTGGCTCAGCTCGAATGTGCCAGTGGAAATTGTGTATTGGAGTGGTTCTCGACTTGGTATTTGGAATTAAATTAGCCAGGATTGTCGTGTCAAGTTGAAGTGCTTTGCACTCATCCACCACCCAGCTATCACATCCTCCGTGTGTTGTGTGTAGTGTGTTTTTTATGTTTTTCATTTATATTCCATTTGAGTCATTGGCATCATGTCATGAGACAAAAACTTTTTCGTTCGGCACCCTCACAGCTCGCCGTCCACCACCGCATGTCAGATGATAGAAATGGCCTTGGAAGAAGTAATTGAACTACTCTTGAAGTCAATTTCAGGTGGCATTTTTATCCACACTTGGAGTACAGATTTTTTTTAAACTTAACTTTCGTGACTGCAGGAATTCATATTCTTGGCTCTTTCGGTAAAGTCACGTAGATAGCAAATAAAAATAAAAAATTCATTAATAAATTTAAAATAATGAAAGCAAAAAACCCACGACGTTTCGATCGCTTATGTTGCGATCAAAACGTCGTGGGTTTTTTGCTTTATTATTTTCAATTTATTTTGGAAATTTTTATTGTATTTTATTATGTTTTTCTATCTACGTGACTTTACCGAAAGAACCAAGAATATGAAGTACAGATGTTATATTCCCTGCAACGAGTGTGCATTGCATCTTTGTGTGACCAACTATTTTAATTCTCAGAGCTGGAATATACTAAATTAAGTGAAAACATCTTTAAACATTATTGGTTCTTTGCACGAATGCATAGTTTAGGCAGAGACCATCAACTCGTCGCTCTTGATAACCAGGTTTAATTACAGGTGGCTGAAACCTGGAGTCGAACCCAGAATCTCAGTGGTGTTGGCTCAGTGCTTCTGACATGGTGTTAGCCTCCCAAAGCCACCGGCCACCTCTACAGTGCACCCTGAAACGTAGACAAAACCTTATACAGTAAAACCTTGGATTGCGAGCATAATTCGTTCCGGAAACGTGTTTGTAATCCAAAGCACTCGTATATCAGTTGTGATCACGTGACGCTCGGCAGACAAAGCGTATACACGTGCTACTCGTATTGCAAGACCTCGCTCGTTTATCAAATTAATATTTATTTAAAACTTTGCTCGTCTTGCAAAACACTCGCAGACCAAGTTAATCGGAATCCAAGGTTTTACTGTACATGTATGTTGACCTTCTTTCGCACCATACATAGCCAACCGTGCTAATCAGAGATGCAATTGGTGCACCTCGCCTGCTCCACCCCGTGTCTCCCCGTGCCGCTCTCTCCTTTCTGCTGCTCAGACCAAAAGGGTATCCTGCACCTGTCAGCTGATGTCTACCAGCAGATGGAGGCTGCACGAAACCGGGCTGGTGGTCCCCCTCCCCAGCAGCAGCAGCATCAGCAGCAGCAGCAGCATCAGCAGCAGCAGCAGCAGCAGCAGCATCAGCAGCAGCAGCATCAGCAGCAGCAGCAGCATCCTGCCATGGGCTACGGCAAGAAGGAGCCGTCGTGGGGGGGCCCAGGCCCCATGCACCCCCACGGCCTAGGAAACACCACTGCCACCATTCCCAGGTGCTTTTGTGGATCCCCATGGCAACACACTCAAGCAGGCGGCTCACGCGGGAGCATTCCCATAAGCGTCGGGCTAAACTATCGCTCTTGATAAACGCGAGCGAAACTTTGTGTCCGTTTTAACAGCAGTATTTTTATATTCGGGGTGGGGTGATGGCACAGTGGTGTGAGTGTACTGCGCTATTAACTCGACGATGTGAGGTCGATACGCGGCCATGGCTAACAGCACTGGCGTGTGGTATCCCAGTGGGTCTTGGGTGCGCCCTTCATCAGCCTACACTGACCGTCATGGTGGAGTATGGTTAAACAACCCCCATGACTAATACGGCATGGGGAAGAGTGGATTATCATAGTATGTTTTTTTTTTGCATTTTGACTGCAAGTATTGTGGTTAATGCAGACATGAGTTTTGTTGCCAGAAAAAAGGGGAAAAACCCCTATTATTATTATTTTAACTTTGTAGTAGCGCGGCCTCCCCAGGACCCTTGGGTAAACTTGTCTAAGCGAGTGTCCTGCTGGACAGGTTTCTGCGCTAGCATGTAAAACTGTTTAATCATTTTGGCATAGGCCACATCGTGATCTAGCTAATGTTTTGTCATAAAACCCTCCACCATCCGGCATCGTCAAACAAATGAAATTGTCAGGTGTACAATAATTTAATGTGCCAATTATTGTTTCAGCTCATCCGTAAGTTAAGAACAATTCTCATCTTATTATATAAGTTAGAATAGACGTTTCGCTTGAAACTGCATCGAGCATCTTCAGGTCATGAAACCACGAAGTAAGAATTTAATTTGTTTGGCTCGCGACAAAGATTTCTCGAAATCATTACGTACTCTAATCCAAAAATCGTCAATCTTAATAACGGAAGCGAAAACCCACGGGTTACGTAAAACTGAGTGTGTGTGTGTGTGTGACGATGCAGGGAGCTGCTGATGAAGGGCGGCTCACCCACGGCGGAGGCCATGGTGAAGGTGCCGCCCGTCCACATGGCCCACGCGTGCCAGCAACTCGACTACCTGGCTCGTGAACAAGGCTTCCAGGTGACCGCTCCGCGGTGGACAGTGTCCCTGCGTGTCAAGCGAAGGGTTTTCTCTCGGCGTTTTAGTACCGCGCGTGTGTTTATGTTGAGTGGAGCGCAGGTAGCGGAGTCGTTAGTGCACGGCGCTACAAACCCAGCGACCTGAGTTCGTTTTCTGCTCAGAGCCAATATCAGTGAATCGGACCCGGGCCTCCTTGAGGTCAACTCACCCTTAAAACGAGTACCTGGTGCAGTGTCTAAACATTGACAAAGCTGGCCGGGTGTGGTTCTGGCCATACAACCTCCGAATACACTGTGCCGGCCTTCATAGGTGCTCGCTAACAGCACTTGCCCCAACAGTCTATTAAGGCTATAGGGGGGGATTTTCCCTTAGTAAATCTACTGCTGCGTGAAGATCACCCACACCTTGTTGGTTGTGGAGATTGTTTGACCATACTTAGCCATGGCGGTCAGTGCTCATTGTTGATCGGGAGGGCATCCAGGATTGGTTCATATATTTCTCACCACTGATATTATCTTTGGCTGGAAAATATAACGTAGTGCTGGAATGCGTTGACCATTGTGCTACCACTGACTTTAGATGTACTGTACAACATTTCGTTATAACCCTCTTAGTATTCTTGGTTCTTTCGGTAAAGTCACGTAGAAGGGAAATAATAAAAAATAAAAAATAAAATTTCTCACAACGTTTCGACTGCAACACAAGCAATCATCATCAGCTGTGAAATCCACAGCAAGACAATTGGATTTCACACCTGATGATGACTGCTTGTGTTGCAGTTGAAACGTCGTGAGAATTTTTATTGTTTTATATCAATATTATTTTATTATTTCCCTTCTACGTGACTTTACCGAAAGAACCAAGAATATGAATCCCTGCAGGCACGAAAGCTTCAAATCAAAACCCTCTTAGTGATGGTGTCACTCGAGCACCATCGCGGTGAACCGATTCGACTGTGATGTGAAAGTCTTTTTACGCTCACAAAAGCTTCAAACTCGCGTCGGATAGTCTTGAACACACAGCAAGCTGGCAGCTACTGGAGAAGAGCTCTTAGGACCATGTTTGCACTGAAATATCAGAGAGCGTTTTAGATGTGTTTTTGGGTTTTGTCCTGTGTGGTTCGGCATGATATCCGACCTTTTACTGCACATGCTGGGAACTTCTACATTAATTCTAGATTTGAAGCTTTCGTGACTGCAAGGATTCATACTCTTAGGTTTTTTCGGTGAAGTCGCGTAGGTAAAAATAAATAGTAAAAATAAAAATAATAGAAATAGAATTTTAAATCACGACGTTTCGGAGGCAACACAAGTCTCCGTCATCAGGTGGGACCGTCACAGCTAAATTTACTGTATCATTGATATAATTTATTGCTATCATTGATTGATATCATTGATTGATATCATTGATACAGTAAATTTAGCTGTGACGGTCCCACCTGATGACGGAGACTTGTGTTGCCTCCGAAACGTCGTGATTTATCATTTTATTTCTATTATAATTATTTATAATTTTATTTCTATTATTTCAATTATTTTTATTATTTATTTTTACCTACGTGACTTTACCGAAAAAACCTAAGAGTATGAACTTCTTCATTAACTGAATTCAGCATCTCACTTTCTCCCCTGATGGTTATAGTGTTGTCTGATACTGCTGGTGTTGCTGGTTCTTGACGCCGATTGTTTCAATCTAGCGACTGGTGGGGTTTCTACAGGAAATTCATTATAATCGTATCGAAACGCGAACAGCGCAATAAGGATAGAAATCAGTGAACAAGTATTATCAGGAATTCCTCGGGCACTGCATTAGTGAGATGTTATCTCCCTCTCCTGGTATGCAGTAGGTTGTGGGTTCGATACAGACCCTGACTCCTGTATATTTGGAGTTGACGTGTTCTCACGCTACGTGGTCGCGTGGATTTTTCTCTGGGCCCTCACCAGTTTTGCCTTCCACCTTCAGAAACTTGCGTTGAGATTATTTGGCTGCTAATTCAAAAAATCCACGTGAGCCACTTAGACGAGCTATCATGCATGGCCAGGTTGCCTCTGGAATAGAACTAATAGATCAGTGGGCTTTACCTGCTAAAAAAAATCTACAAATAGGATTTTAATGTATTAATCAGAGGTGGCTGAGTGGCTGAAAGTTCAGAGCAATAAAGTGGCTTCGCTGAGGCCTAGGTTCTAATCCAGTCAGCCAATCATTATTGCATTTGTTTCTCAAGTCTTTTGAGTTGATGGTCTCAGCTTTGGCACCAATAACTGGACATTAATACATCACGTTTAAATATGTCTAGCTCTATAAATGAATAAAGTATTGGTTGGACTGCCATGTGCTGAATATCCCTATAGCTGGGCACGTGAGAATATGGACCATTCCTTACTGTGGATTAGAAAAAAACGGGTTTTTCAAAAGTATCGCGGTTTTGATTCTATGATTTCACCTATAGGTTGATGCACTGCTCTTTGAGACTTCCTAATAGACGTTTTGTCCCATGACCCTGACACGGATCGCGAAATTGGAAAGCAATTGCACACTTTAACAATCAATGTGGGATTTGTGTGTTTGGTGATGAACAGGTGCAGTACATGGACATGCAGCGTGGGAAGGATATCATGAGCACCCTGACCATCCTGCCCCTGCAAGATAGCGTTCCATGGCGTGGGCAGCACGGTGGAGGCGGCACGCGATCAGGTGCTCCTGCACTGAACACGCCACACCTGCCCGCTTGCTCGCTCACCCACACCACAAAGATCCCCCGTGTAGCCTTAACAGACTGTAGGAGCAAGTGCTGTTAGCGAGCACCTATGAAGGCAGGCACGGCACACGAGGGTTGAGTGGCCAGCACCATGCCCGGCCACCTTTGTTTCCCCAGTGGCGATCTTTACACACTGCACTTATTTGAGGCCGGAGCGACCTAGGGGAGGCCCATAATCGGTTCAGATAATTATCATCACTGGTGTTCTCCGTGACCGGGAATCGAACCCGGTTCGCCAGGTTCAGAGTGCAGCGTTCTAACTGCTACACCACCGCTCCCCACTCACTTGCTCACCCGCTCACCCACTCGCCCTACTCATTTGGTCACCTGCATGTTGGTTCGCTCACTCGCTCGCCCGCCCATACCTCACGCTTGTACATACACTCAACTGGCTTGCTCATCCACGTGCTTACCCACACCCCACTTGATCATACACCCAGTGGTCAAAGTGGGATGGTATGTACCGGTAAGAAATACTCAGATGGTATGGTATACTTGCAAATTCAAGTGTAAACCTGGGATGAGGTGACCACTGTTTATTATACATTTGAAATGCACTATAATACCATTATGTAGTCGACACATGTGTGACACACCACCTCACTCACACCACCTCACTCACACCACCTCACTCACTCACCTCACTCACTCACCTCACTCACTCACCTCACTCACACCACCTCACACACACCACCTCACTCACACCACCTCACTCACACCACCTCACACACACCACCTCACTCACACCACCTCACACACACCACCTCACTCACACCACCTCACACACACCACCTCACTCACACCACCTCACTCACACCACCTCACTCACACCACCTCACTCACACCACCTCACTCACACCACCTCACTCACACCACCTCACTCACACCACCTCACTCACACCACCTCACTCACACCACCTCACTCACACCACCTCACTCACACCACCTCACTCACACCACCTCACTCACACCACCTCACACACACCACCTCACTCACACCACCTCACTCACACCACCTCACACACACCACCTCACTCACACCACCTCACTCACACCACCTTACTCACACCACCTCACTCACACCACCTCACTCACACCACCTCACTCACTCACCTCACTCACACCACCTCACCACCTCACTCACACCACCTCACTCACACCACCTCACACACACCACCTCACTCACACCACCTCCCTCACACCACCTCACTCACCCCACCTCACTCACTCACCTCACTCACACCACTTCACTCACACCACTTCACTCACACCACCTCACTCACACCACCTCACACACACCACTTCACTCACACCACCTCACTCACTCCACCTCACTCACACCACCTCACTCACCCCACCTCACTCACTCACCTCACTCACACCACCTCACCACCTCACTCACACCACCTCCCTCACACCACCTCACTCACACCACCTGACTCACACCACCTCACTCACACCACCTCACTCACCCCACCTCACTCACTCACCTCACTCACACCACCTCACTCACTCCACCTCACTCACTCACCTCACTCACACCACCTCACTCACACCACCTCACTCACACCACCTCACTCACACCACCTCACTCACACCACCTCACTCACCCCACCTCACTCACTCACCTCACTCACACCACCTCACTCACACCACTTCACTCACACCACCTCGCTCACACCACCTCACTCACACCACCTCACTCACACCATCTCATTCACACTACCTCACACCACCTCACACCACCTCACTCACACCACCTCACTTACACCACCCCACTCACACCACCTCACTCACACCACTTCACTCACACCACCTCGCTCACACCACCTCACTCACACCACCTCACTCACACCATCTCATTCACACTACCTCACACCACCTCACACCACCTCACTCACACCACCTCACTCACACCACCCCACTCACACCACCTCACTCACACCACCTCTTTCATTTGTGCTGCTCTGTTTAGCACAATCATCATCTCTGTTCTCTCGCTGATTTGTACCGTATGTCTTGTCCCTGACCATAGGCCTGCAAGAAAAACTTGTATTTTAATTGAATCGTTGCATGCCTAGCAGGTACAGAACACCCATTCGTTAAGATGTGAACCAATGTAGTCTGTACAGCATCGTTGAAAACAAACAAAATGCTATGCAAGCTGAACAGAGACTGTGTGATGGCATTTCACTCTACTTTTATCGATGAGGATAAAGAGGATGAAAGTGGAATTAAAATCCTTATCAACAACACGGCTTGGCAGCTGTGTGCCAACTGCGTACTTATTGGGGATGATCGGGAAGGTATCGCCCAGCTGTCCTGATGGTAACGCTTTGTATCCCTCCCCATCTTCTTTCACAGGCTGCCCTCAACACATTGAAGCAGTTATCTGAACAGGGCCTGGATGCTTTGGCCAGCAAAGGAAAACCAGACAAGTACTTCACACATCTTGGAAACCAATGGTTTTAAAAAGGGTCTCAGTGACCCATCACGTCCGCCGCTCTCATGTCCTCATGGTCTTTGACTTGAGTTGCTTCGGGAAGTGAGATTTAGGCTCCCATTTCTTTGCCAAGGATGTTGTAATGTGCCCAGAATTCTCAGAGGGGGCAACTTGGAGAATTTAACACGAACATTTGATGTTGCGTCGTTAAAATGTACGCACGATAATGCACACGGTGGAAAAAAGCATATTTTGACAGGTCCTAATTTTGTAATTGTCCTGCCAAATCACACAACTTGAATGCATACCAAAGTGTGGAGAGTAATGGGGGTAAGAATTGTTTAAGTTAAAGAATATTTATTCTTTGGACATATCCACAATTGTATTCCTGGTTTTGTATTAGCATTCTGTCGTAGGACAAAGAGTCAATTTGGAAATCTAATTGTGACCCTGTGTGCATGAGAACAACTCTGCAGGAGATTTGTGTAAAAACGTTTTCAAAGAAACCCTTCAAATGGAAATGTTATATTACCTTTTACACAATGCTAAATAAAACGAGTGTTTTTCGCATTAAAGTCAAACCTATATTTTAATTCTCAAAGCTGGTATTTGGCCAAATTAAGTAAAAACATTATTTGGTGGATATTTTTGTACAATAAATGTTGAGTGGGCTTAGACCATCAATTAGCTACACTTGAAAACCCGGTTTAATCACAGGTATCTGCCTGGATTCGAACCCAAGAACTCATCGGTGACAGCTCAGCACTCTAAGTCACCCGGACACCTCGATTTTCAGGTCAATTTTAACACAATGTAATCAAGTCATTCTTGCGAACATTTTTACTGGACCTCTTGTAAAGCATGTACATTATTCGAGACCCTGTACATCAGAGGAACAGTGGGAAACAACAAAGCCGGTATGGGGAGATCGGCAAGGGAGATTAGATACGACAGACACTTTCAGGGAATTATTGTATAAATAGCCGGGGGAGTTACAAACAGAATCAGCGTAATCCAGAAGGGAGGGAGGTTATGTACAGAGGGGTCATTTGTTCACAGGCTAATCAATAAGCATGCATTGCTGGGCCTAGTGGTGTGGCTCTTTGTAGGCAGTGTTGGTGGATCGAGCAGACATTATTACTTGCATGAGACACCCAACCTGCTGGGCCATGATGTGGTTTGACCTAAAGATGACAGTACAGCAAGTAGAGATTGCTGACATTCATACTCTTAGTTCTTTCGGTAAAGTCACGTAGGTAAAAAATGAAATTAAAATTAATAAAAATAAAACAATAAAATGACGACGTTTTGGAGGCAACACAAGTCTCCGTCATCAGGTGGGATCGTCACAGCCAGATTTGCTGCATCACTTGATGCATCACTTGATGCAGCAAACCTGGCTGTTAGCTACGTGACTTTACCGAAAGAACTAAGAGTATGTAATCCTTGCAGTCACGAAAGCTTCAAATCTAGAATTGCTGACATTAATGTTTTTCGCATGAACAAATGGGTTTTCTCTGTTCGCTACCAGTTTCTTCTCGCATGCGAACAAAAATAATTGTCAGTTCAATTACCATGTAGGCTTTTGCGAAGAATAGAATTAATGATAACTTTTTTTTATTAAATCGCGTAAATGCTTATGATGCTGGTTGTAATCACCAGTGAAACGTTGTACTGAATTGTAAATATTGTGAGTTTGCTCTTTCACACACAACCGTTGTGTTGAAGTAGTAATCAATTGACACGTTCTGCTCACGTGTTAATCCTTACTAATTGGCTGGATGGAGATGGGTGTACGACACGTTGACATTTACGCGATTTAACCCAAAAAAAAAACACAATCACGTCAGTGCATTATTGAATTGGCCATACCCGTCCAGTAGTAGGAGTAGTGGCCCTTAGCGAGTGGACGGCCTTGAGCCTATACATGAGCAGGGGCAGGCAGTCGACAGTGCAGTTGGCCAGTGGGGGTAGTTTCAGATTGTGGAGCTTGCAGAGTAAAGATTGACTTGGGGCTTCAACTGAAAGCCTTGGTTGCTGGAGCAGATAGCACATGCCGTGGTATAGAGTGAGAGTTAGTTGTCCTTCCCTCGCACCTCTGATTAGCCCGGTCGGCTACGTACGGCGTGAAGGAAGCTGCACATTCATCGGTGTGACAGCCAAGCAGGCAGGGGCGTGACCAGAGAGGATCTTGAAGACGATGATGGCAATCTCATAGTTTGACCAAGTCTGGATGTATTCATTGAAGGGATCTGAGTATTGGAGAGATGTGGTCTAATTTTTGGGTGCGAAGGGAAAATCTGTTAGTGGAATTTTGGATCATCTGTAGTTTTGAGGTGAGGAATGTGGGGAAGTGAGAGGTTGATGACTTTAAAAGGGTGAAGGTTCTCAGCAGTAGCTACAGTGAAAAAGTGGCTAATGTTGTGCAGATGTAGCTGCGGGGTCTTGCAGAGTCCAGAAGTATGGAAAAAGAACGAGTGCTTGGGTTCAATGATGATCCAAGGTTGTATAAAGTCATGCTTCAGAATGTGTAGGTGTGAACTGGAGGCTTTACTGAGTGTGTCCTTTTTTCCAATGTGCACTTCATATTTGGCAACATTTCATTGGGGATAACTATCAAAGTTCGGAACAGATAGATTCAAGAATAAGTTGCTGTCCTGTCATCTCTCGGCCACCTCAATGCCCAAGCATCCAACACCTGGTATTCCCAGGCAGTCTGCCATGCAAGTAGTAAACAGTTTAAAACCGTATTAGCTTCTGAGATATGACAGTCAATTGCATAAAAAAATGTAATTGTTCACTCGTCAAAGTGAGAATATTGTTTAATTACGAACACCGGATCACAGTCGGTGCTGAGTCCAGCACACTGTACCACGTTTATTTATCACTCTCCCTGGTGACCCTACCACTCGTTCTATGTCATTGTACATGTACAGCCCTATTGACAATCCACTGCCGGATGAAGGCCTTCCCGGCTTCACCACACTGGTCAGTGTGGGTTGGTGAAAGCAGTGGCCGTAGATGTGGGAATATAGAAGTGCAGTACCAAAATTTATTTTTGCTGTCCAACACAGCCATGCAGCAAGATGTTGTGCATGGTGGCTTCCTCTCCCCCCCCCCCGATCCAGGCGCTATCCAGGCAAAATGCGCCTGCTTAGCTTTCGAGATCTGGTGAGACCATGCACATTCCTTGTGACTTGGTCATATGCTTGTTGTATGTGTTAAGTGTTAATAAAAAAAAACGTTAAAGTCTCGGCGTGTTTGTGTGTCCCTGCAGTAAGGGGTTGGCTGACAAGATGGACCCCAAGGGGATGGACTTAGGCGGGGGCCTCGTGAAGACCCCTCCTGGCCCGTCCCCCGAGCCCATCGGCACATAGACGGGCAACGCGCCATGCCACGCACACCCCACGCGCCCACGCTACTCAACTTGTTTCCCAGATCCTCTTTTCTCCTCCCACAACTCCCCATCTTCTCTCCCAGCTCTCCATCCTTTCCCCCAGTGATTCCTCCACCCCCAAGCTTCCAATCTCTTTTCCCATCTTCTCTTCCCAGCCCTCCCAGCTCTCTCAGCTCCCCATCTCTCCCAGCTCTCCATCCTTTCCCCCCAGCTACCCATCCTCTTCTCCAGTTCTGCATCCACCCCCAGCTTCAAATCTTCTTCCCCCAGCTCGCCATCCTCTTCCCAACTCCCATTCTCTCCCAGCTCCCCATCTTTTCTCACAACTCCCCATCTTCCCTGCCAGGTTCCCGTCTTTTTCCGTGTGCCGTGGGGGGAGGGGGGGGGGCGCGTGTGGTAGTGCGTTGGTCCGCGCTGCCTGTGTAACCGCACACATTGCACCATAACTCGGGCAGGCGATTCACACGTTCATTTTAAAATCACGATTTTTAAAAAAAGAAATCAGCATTGAATTTTTTTACGAGTGGCTGCCATCCATGGAATTGGATTTATCACAGACGAACAAAATTTATCTTGATATTTTTTAAATTTTAAGTTAGTTGCAACTGAAAGTGCTTTCAGTGATGTGTTCTTAATTGGTGATATTTACATTTTGGAGTGGGACTTCACAGCCTCTGTGAAATTACTGCGGCACACTCCCACAAACAATGTGTGAGTGTTCAGTTCAGCCCTGAAGAGGGGTGTTGGACGAGACGCTGGTTTAGGACACGGCCTAACCACACACGTAGCTCGTCCGTCGTCACCGCATGGCCCAGCCAAAAGTGTTTTTTAAGCGACCCCATCGACAAATCAAAGCGGTGGAGCGAGAATTGAGTCGACGTTACGCAGTGCTGATGGAAATAAAATGACATGCAGGACGAGGGTAAATTTTTCCTTTATACAAGAATCTTGTAGAGTTACAGCAGTTTGCCAGTCGTCAGTCGAAGTTGACTGACGGATACATTGGTAAAGAGTTGAATTTACTGTGAAGAAGAGTTTCATGGTGAGGGCAGCATTCGGACATGCTGCTACAGCAAGCCGCCCAATACAAGGCTCCCATCCCCTGTGGAGTGGCCTTCATTTGGCTTGAACAGTGCTCGCAAATTGAGCTGAATCGAAATGACCCGACAGATCCTGAGAGAGCATTCGATTTTGAAAACCATGCAAACGTACACGGCATCGATCGCAATTAACAGATGAACTGCTCTCGACTGCAGCTGAGTTTGTCGATTACACAGTTTATCATGCCAGATTCAATGATCAATGGGTTGTGCTGCATCGTAATTTTATGACAATAATTTAGTTAATTCTTCATGACATGCCCGGCCCCATGGTGCAATGTGATTCGGTGCAGTTTTCGTGTGTGTGTGTGTGCGTGCGTGACCCATTCGTGTGTCTGTGTGTGCGTGAGTATGCGTACGTGTGTACGCCGATTCCAGACAAACGTGCAGTACGTGAAGACAACCGATGGCAAGGCTTTAGATTAAAGCGATCATGTAACCAACGGAATTAGAGAAGAGGATTGCTTTTTGCGTTTCAAAGTGTAGCAAAGTAGATCCAGTGGCTGGCAGTTCCTCGCATCTCTACTGGAACCGAAGCTTCTGAAACATTTGATGTTTGCATTTAAAATGAAATATATTCAACGATACTGATAACAAACAGATTCTTTCAAAAACCTTTGTTTAACCGAGGACTCCCAGTTTGCTCCCACGCATCGTTTTGTAGGTGAATGTTGAAGTAATTGGAAATGGCAGTGAAATGCGTGTGTTATCGTGAAAATAGCGAGGGGGGAGTATGGGTGTGGCTGTGCATAGAATATCCTGCAGACTTTGCTTGGAAACGGCGGTTGTCTTCATGTATACCCACTTTAGCAGCACTACATCACCTGTCAGGACGGTAAAATCCAACTCGTTTAGTCTGCAAGAATTGTGACGGCAACGCACTGAGAGGTTACCGTTGGATTGTCAGGCCACGTAACGGTGATGAGAATGCAGTGCTAAAAGAAACATTCGATCTCGTGTTAGTTTTACGCAAGGTTGCAGACTAGAGGTTGTGTTTTTGTAGTTGCTGACTGCTAAGTGTTTATCAATTACTCTAAGTTGTGATCTTTTTTTTTTGCATTCCGTTCCCACCATTTAGACCTGCCTGTTGCTCCGAACACAAATTATAAATGGTGGAAACGACTGATATCTTTTTGCGTTGTCTGCATCGGCGGCACGCGCCGACGCTCTGGAGCGTGGGGCGGCGGTGAGGGGTGGCGGGTGGCGTCCGAGTGGCTGTTCTGACTTCCACCAACTCGAGCTCACCTGACCCTGATCCCACCACACCCCACCCCTTCTCCATGCTCGGTGACACTAGCCTGGTTTGGGTCCAGACCAGGTGGCCAGGATTCGTGCAGCCTGAGTCAGGTCACTTATCGTTCGTCAGGACCTACGTCGCTACGTCAGGACCTGCCCAGCCTGTGTCAGGAGCCATTCGGCCTATGTTAGGTTGCGTCTAGACTGTTGGGTCCCTGGCAGACTATGTCACGATCCGTGAAAACCTGTCGGCCCTGTGCTGCCAGCGTCGGGATCTGTATGTCCTTTGTCAGGACCCACGCAGCCTGTGTCACAGCCTATGTTGCTGCATTAGCTCTCTGCAGACTGTGCCAGGACCTGTACACCTGTGTCAGACCTTTGCAGTCTGTGTCAGCTCCCACGCAGCCTGTGCCAGCATTGACAAAAGAGTGGAGCATGCCCGCAGAAGCATCTGTGGGCGACGATGCCTTCATCGGTTTAGTTGGAGGCTTCCTGTTTTTTGGGCCGTTTTCAAATTTCCACGTTTTAAAAGTTAAATCCGCAACGCTGTTAAGTACACGGCGTAAAAGCGTCCTTGGACGAGTCACTAATGATGATGATGATGAAAAACCGTGTGGGGGGGGGGGGGGTGACTCGATCAATGTTTCCACTGCTATCCCCCCACTTTTGAGTTTTCTTTTCTCTCGCGCCGAGGGGTTGTGGTGGGCGCACGCATGTTGCGTTCCCAACACCAGCGCCGCATCCCAGCGGTGGGTGCGGTCTGGGATTGGGATCCCGACTGGCCTGAGAATGGGCAGCCACACCAGCCAGCGACAGACAAACCTCCGCAGTGTGCGGGACGCGATGACAGAGGCACCCTTTCTTCGGGCTGCAAACGAGACGGTCGCAGCATTTCGAAAATCGATTCGGTACGGTGTCATTTTTTTCTTTCTTCCTCCTCCACATGAACGGTATAGCGGCGCAGTTGAAGAAACACGAGTAACTGAGAAAAAAAAATAACTAAATTGGAGCTTGAACATTGAGATGTGGCGGTTTTGTACTCTTGACGCGCCCGGGTGCAGCGCGAATGACGACAGTCTCCTGCACGCGGGTGCCACTTTTTGTTATTTTTTTTCCATCCCCCCCCCCCCCCGCCCTCTGTTGGTTTAACAAAGTGTAAGGAAGCATGCACATCCCATAGTCACCATAGTGTACCCCCCCCCTACCAGTGAGTGGCCGTGGAGTGTGTTCTCGTTGGTGTGGCTGAACCCAGAAACTTGCAGTAAAGACACCTTCAGTTTGTGTACCACCAGCTCCGTGTGTGCGTCTCGTTTTGTTGCGTCCGGGTGCCACCAAATTTCACGTGGGTGTGTTGGTGCTTCATTAAAGCGGTTCGTGCTGTTCGTAGGTGCTCCTACGCGACTGCAAGACTAAGAATGAGACCACCTGTTCTGGTATTCCCCGGATCGCCATTCTTTTTGAGGTAGCGTCTGTTCTGGGAAATCTGTCGGTCTTCTCAGGATGTTAAAAGCCCCGGGGTTTGTTTCTGGCATGATAATACACGACACCGCTCAAGACTGCTTTTACACGTCGTGCTCTCACCCCCCCCCCCTTTCCATTGGATGATATTCTTCCCATGATATGTCCCAGCTTTTTGTACCTCTGGTACGTAATGGTTTAACACATCGAGATTAAATTATGCCAATGTACTGGAAATATGTTGGCGCATGATTAGCCGAACATTTCACCCATAACCCCCTGAGTGTGGTTCAGGTGGTGTACGTATTTCGAACGGTGGCTATTGGCTGTTTTCCTGAATAACCATTACTCGTGACAGCGTCTGTCAGGCTATGTAACACACTTTTAATTATTTGGCTCTTCTTGAGTGGTCCATTTCTCACCACACAGAACCACAGACTCGCCACACATAGACTCACCACACAGACTCGTCAACTAAAACGATGACACTTTTTTTGGACCAGAAGCGACCTGGCCACAAATAATATCTCAACGAAGTGGCTTATCATTGGGGAAATGTAAATCAGCCAAACACTGTAAATCCATGGTTCTAAATGTAGAGGGGGAAACTGGAGGACCTGGAGAAAAATCGACACGACCACGGGGAGAACATGCCAACTCCAAATATACAGGCATCTGGGTCGGGATCGACCCCACGACATCCTGTATGCCAGGCGAGGTAGTTAACATCTCACCACCGTGGCGCCTCAAGTATCTGGTTGAGGGCCTCCACAAACCATGTTAGCTGTGGGGGTTTTTTGACCATATTTGACCACACTGGTCCGTGTGCGTTAGCGAAGATCAGCACCGACGTGGAAGTGTAAAAGAATACAATAATTGGTTTTGCTGCCTTCTTGGCTATAAAAATCTGGCAGTTTATCAAGCAAGCATGGCTACTGAAGAAACACTGGGAATCGCATCCAAAGTGCGCTTGTATACTCCTAATATACATTCTCAAAAGGCATTGTGGCTGATTGGATGTGTAAAATATTTAACGTATTTTCATGTGGTGGGGCAGATTTTGGCGGGAGGCCGATTGTCGGCTTATTTTATTATGCGCCGTAGTCGCTCAAACATTTCGCAGCCTCAATCCTGTGCAGCTTGAGTTGGGCGAATTCTGGGTGATTTGGTCACAGGCCATGTGTGTGTAGTAGCTGGTCTTAACCTTAAATCCGATAGGTACCTCAATGTAGCACAAAAACAAATCAGTAATGCTCTTTACGTACCACGGAAAGCCTAAGTATCAGAATTCTATTTCAGGAGGAAAATTTCATTCTGGGTGTTTGGCCACTGAGTTGTGTTTTTTTTTAATATACAAAACCAAGGCCGTAGCCATGGAGTCAACATTGAGGGGGGACCAAATCTTCTAGGCCCCCCCCCCCCCCCCCCCCAGAAAAAAAAATTGAAAACGAATTTCCTGCCTAAAATATTAAAACATTCACTAACACATGTGATGGACTTTTTAAAATTAAATTTTGACAATAATGTCTAATAGTGTATTGTATTACATTGCTGTTTTTCCTTTTTTTCTTTTTCTTGTTTCATTGTATATAATGGCAGAGATTAGGGATTAATAAAGTACAACCATAACCACAATCATATAAACAGAAATCTATTTTACAGCAATATATTGGGGGGGACATTTTGAGCATATTTGAATATTGGGGGGATCCCCCCTAATATATATTATAATTACGGCCTTGTACAGAACTATATTTTAAAGTGTAGTCTCTGACATGTGGCATTCACGCAGTATTGCATCGACATCATCGCTCGCTGGTTTCTTCGCTAAAAGGGGTCACAATAAACAGTATTATAGCCCCACTTTTCTGCTGTCAGAGGTCACGGCTGTGGCTGTTCAGTCATTCCAGCCGTCGGTGATGTCTCAGCACAATTGTCAACTGACCTGTACTTTATGTAACATTCGAGGATGACGTATCAGCGTATTAGCTAAATCACCAAAAACACGAATTGCATTGAGAAACGTTATATATTCTAGATTTGAAGCTTTCGTGACTGCAATGATTCATACTCTTAGGTTTTTTCGGTAAAGTCACGTAGGTAAAAAATAATAAAAATAAAATGATAATACTGTACATGAAAATAAAGTGATTTAATTGATTTATTTTCATTTATTATTATTTTACTTTTATTATTTTTTTACCGAAAAAACCTAAGAGTATGAAACGTTATATATTTTGTTTAACACGTAGGCTTTCGCGACCAATATCCATAATAATATCCATAATAGAGGTGTGGGAGGAAACGGGAGCGCTCGGAGAAAACCCACGCGTGTGAGGGGGCAACACTCGATCCCGTACAGAAGGGAGAAGGCGATATTTGTCTGCACTTTGCTGCACATTCGTTCTCTTGGTAAGCCGGGGTGTATGACAGACGCCTCGACGCCTCCGAGAAAGGAAGTTGCACAACATTTCTGCGATCCATCAAACGTCGCCTCCACAATTCTGGATTGCGCCTCCAACATCCAACTATTATGCATCTAATTGTAAACAAACCCGCGTGTTTATGGTGTTATATACACAGACCCTTCAGGTGAGATATCATAAAGGAAACCTGGAACGAGACCAAGGAAAACAACAGGAAGACAGTAAAATGTTAATTTTAAGGGGTGGAGTGGTAAACCACTGGGTGGTTTTCGAGAATTGTGCGACAAAGCCAGCAACTTGATTGTCATCCTCCAACAATGGCTTACAGCAGTGGCGAATGATGTTGAACGCGTCCTGTGACCTTCCTTCACCTACGTGGACTGGCCAGTGTGGTGAAGTGTCCATTGATAACATTTCAATGTGTTCATATTCTTGGTTCTTTCGGTAAAGTCACGTAGAAGGGAAATTAAAAAAATATATAAAAAATTAAATAATGTGTTGCCAAAATTTGCTGTTTTGCCAATCGACAATGATTGAACAAAAGGCGCGTGACTGCTTTTGTATGCACTTAAAAAGGTGTCGATCGCTTTAGGTATTAATACATCGAGGCTGAGCTTACGTTGAAAAAGTGTGATAATGACGCCACATGCTTGATATGCTGCTACACCACGAGACTGTGAGAGGTGGCGAAGACTTGGGGCTGCTTCAACAGAGCAGTGGATTGATCACGGCTGATTATGCCTATTTCCATTGTGCTTGCACCACTTTGTTCGAAATGGGTACATTTATCGGACGAATCTGCAGGCGAAAATCGCCATGTGTGGCACATTAGGAATGGATCACTCTTTTAATTATATCCTTGTGCAGCAAGGGAGTAAAGTGTGGTTCTGTGAAAATCCTGATGTGCTGTGCAGTGCATCAATGCATGTGTGTACAGCAGCATGTTATGACTGAGTTGGGACTGTAGGTGGCTGGCAGGGTTAATGAATAACCGCACGTGTAAACCAGCCACGTGGTTAATGGCGACTCGGAAGGAATGCTGTTTGTGACACATGTGCTGTTGCATTTTACAGAGTGACGGTGCTGTTCTTCACAAGATTGCTATTAACCACAATAAATGTGTCTGCCCTCCATTTGGAGCACCTGCCCACGTCCTTCATTTCGAGTGTGCAACACATGTGAAGTATTGGAAATGACGGCAGGAAACTCCTTGACGGGTAACACACTTTTTATTAAATCTTGACGCGTCACGATACAACGTGTGGTCTCTATTCTTCTGACTATACACTTCACTTAACTCGTGTAGACTCTATGCCTCTGGCTACACACACTTCACTTGACTCGTGTAGACCCTATGCCTCTGGCTACACACACTTCACTTGACTCGTGTAGACCCTATGCCTCTGGCTACACACACTTCACTTGACTCGTGTAGACCCTATGCCTCTGGCTACACACACTTCACTTGACTCGTGTAGACCCTATGCCTCTGGCTACACACACTTCATTCCGCCTCTGGGTTACACAGAGTCCCGGTCCCTTTAGGACAGCGGGACTAGGTACCGAGCTTGGTGAGACACTACTTAACCAATACATACTTCACCTGGAATGGAACTTTCTATAAGCAAACTGAGGGCACCCCAATGGGCCCCCCCTTATCTCCAGTTGTAGCCAACGTCTTCATGGAGAAATTTGAGACTGACGCCATCCAGACTGCCACTCTACGCCCGACCTTATGGAAGAGGTACGTAGATGACACTTTTGTCATCTGGCCACATGGCCGGCCTGCTCTAGACCAATTTCTCGACCACATCAATTCCATACATCCAGCCATCAGATTCACCATGGAAGTCGAAAAAGATGGCAAGCTACCCTTTTTGGATGTCCTAATTAAAAGGAGACCTGATGGTTCAATGAGCCACTCTGTCTACAGGAAAGCCACCCATACGGATGCTTACCTAAAACCGGATTCCCACCACCATCCATCCCAGAAGAATTCCCTCATTAGACTCTATACCATAGAGCCCAATGCATTTCTGACCAGGAACACATTGCCAGTGAACTCAAACACGTACGCCAAGCTCTTAAGGCTAATGGTTACTCCGACTACACAATCCGCAAGGCCATCACTCCAACCATCAAGAAGGATCCTGTTGAGGAGCCTTTCAAGACCATCACCTTACCCTACATTGCTGGGGTCACAAAAAGATCTCTAAAATCCTGCTAAACACAGGATCCAGGTCCGATTCAACACAGTACATAAAATCCGTGATCTGGTCCCGTCTGTAAAAGATGTGGTTCCAGACATACAGTACCCTGGCGTCTACAAACTAAGTTTCCTCTGTGGTAGCAGTTACATTGGAGAAACCAAACGACATGTCTCGGACCGCATCCGTAAACATAAAGCAGACTTGAAACACGGTAGGACAAACACCTCAGCCGTGGCAGATCACTGTTACAATTCAATGGGCTCACATGATATTGACTTCTCCAAGACAGAGGTTCTCTGCAAGCCATCTGGCTACCATGAGAGATTCGTTCATGAGGCGGTCCACATATACAAACACAGAGACAATTTTAACCGAGAAGATGGATTCTGGCTTAGCAATCATTGGAAGGACGTAATAAACCATTTCGGATCTTAACTGATTGTGTTCACGTTTACGGTGACTTTCAGACCGCGTTCCACTCACTGGCATTGTATTCTCCGCAGGGAATGGATTCTTTGCTTCGCTACTCTTCCATTGACATATTTCGTTGCTTCCTCTTAGTATCTTTCAGACGACGGTCAATGGTACAGTGTATAATAACAAATAGTATAACATTTATATGCTTAATACAATGTACAAAGTAATATATAGTATCGTAATTGTATAGTGAATATATAGCAGTGTGATATACATTAGGGTGGGTAGAATAATACATAGTGTTATATTACAATGTATAAGGGTGGTTTATAGCAATACAGTACAGTATGTAATTTAATGTTGGGTTTGTCTATGGCAGTATATAGTACGGTGTAGACTCGTGTGATGTAAGAGAATAAAGTTTAGATGGAAGCATATTATATAATTTTTACAACGTAGAATTGTAATGTATTACTTACTGTTAGTAACTCAGCTTATTGTAGAGTATAGTTAGTATACTGATGATACTATGTAGTTTATACTTTAGTTGTTTACGTGTTGGTTTTAGTTACTGCAGCTACATACTATTAACACTCCATCCCTTTATTAATGCTACCCCTCCCTTTGATGCTGCTAGTCCTGCATAATGCACGGGCATATGTAGTACTAATCACATTCCTGCATTTCCCATAAATATGCTAAATTCCTCTTGATATGCAAATTCTTTCGTCAAGGCGCCCTTTCCCCCCCTTCCAACCCAGTCTATATATATGCTCCAAGCTCGTGTGCTGTTTCATTCAGACGCTGTCGCCTCGACAGACCTGGGTTTCACCTGAGGACGGCTGCTTGCGTTGTGGCCGAAACGTCGTGAGAATTATTTTATTATGTTTTATTTTTATTATTTTATTACTTCCCTTCTACGTGACTTTACCGAAAGAACCAAAAAGATAAAGGTGGATTGTGATAACATACTTATGAAACAAGGTTATTGCATAATTCCCTTTATTGGCCAATAAAAGATGTTGCACAAACCTTCCAGTTGTGCCATATCAGGCGATCATCATCAGCCGTGGTCAGTCCGTTGCTCGTAGGTGGTACCAGACTATAAACATTTTGCAGTTTCATATTCTTTTTCTTTCGGTAAAGTCACGTAGAAATAAAATAATAAAATAAATAAAATATAAAAAATAAAATTATCACGACGTTTCGATTGCAACACAAGCAATCGTCATCAGGTGTGAAAACCACAGCAATATTTGTTTTCTATCTACGTGATTTTACCGAAAGAATCATAGAATATTAATTCCTGCAGTCACGAAAGTCGTAAGTCAAAATCTATACTGTATAGCTCAGTGGGCCTTACCTGGTCAAACAAATCAGACAGTAGATAATCGATTATCCGATGGGAGGGTGCGCCAGATTTTCAAAAACACCGGATAATCACATCAATACTTAAAATTCGATGGGTCTTTCGGTAAAGCCACGTAAATAGAAAAATAAAACAAATATCACGACGTTTCGATCGCAACACAAGCAATCGTCTTCAGGTTGCGATCGAAACGTCGTGATATTTTATTTATTATTTTCTATCCCCGTGGCTTTACCGAAAGACCCATATAATATTTATTCCTGCAGTCACGAAATATTTAGGTCAAGATTTACTTAAAATTGCTTATTTTTGCACATTCATGCATAACATGTTTGTAGGTGTTGTGTACGTTTTTTTAATGTGTTTTAAATTTGTTTACTATGAAAATGGCAAAAATCAACATACCAGATAGACAAAAATAAATGTCCTGCTGTAAAAAAAGTTGCCGTATTTGCTGTGGCGTACGTACTTACCACTCCAATCTCGGAGACTGTGCATGGGGTGATGTGCGTAGTATTACCACGCTCTTGTTTCAACGACACGATTGTGTTTGACGATCGTCGGACTGTACATTTTATGTTTTTATCACTCTATTAGTCATGAAAAATCTATATCGTGCAGTGTTTTCACTTGTTAAATTGTTGTATGCAGTGTATAATGTCGTCTATATAATACTTGACACTGACATCGAGCAGAGTTTATTTTTTTGTCGCGCACATGGTGCTGATCGCCGGACTGGCTAAAACCTTTGGACTGCCGGGTAAACGTGGGAAGCCGGATAATCGGGCGCCGGATTTAGGGGCCGTTCATAAATGACGTCACGCATCTAGGGGGGGGTCAGACATTTGTGACGATGTGTGACGAGGTGGGGGGGGGGGGTGAGAAATGTGACGTCACATCAAAATGCGCAACTTTAAATAAATATAGACGACACGTTCTACTTAATTAAATAGACTTTTAAATAAATGTGTTCTCCTACAACATCAGAGTGCAGCGCCACATTAAATACGCACTACAATGACAATAGTTTAAAGCGATTTGAAGCGTGTTTTATTTGGGGGGGGGCAGAGCTTTGTGACGTCATATTTGAGGGGGGTCTGACTTTTTGTGATGCCACGTGACGAAGGGGGGGGGGGGGGGGTCAAAAATCGTCCAAAATCGCGTGACGTCATTTATGGACGGCCCCTAATCGATGATCAACTTTAGTTTAGTTTGTGTTTCAACGGTTTGACTTAACTTGACTCCTAATGTTCGCCGTGGTCAAATCTTGTAATCAAAAATTAGTCGACTTCCTATTGTTCAATCAATTCCACGTTTTGCTCACGAACTCAGATCCGGTGACAACGCATGCCTGTATCAAAATCGTCATCAATGAATCAATTAAGTCGCTACTTTAAAGTAATTCACATTTTGTATGGACGCCTTATTATTTATATATATGTGTAGGTAAAAAACGCCGCGGTCCCTAAACTGTGGAATCGCCTGCTCCGTGTGAACGAGTCACGAAAGTAATCGATTAATTAAAGTAAGCGTTGATGTGGGAGCAGGCACCGCTTCATTGACGTACTTCTCGGTTGTGAGTTAAACGAAGTTGTTAATACAACCGTCGTTTTGAAACCTTTTTAAGGAGTTTATTTACATATATAGTTTTAAAATACCGAGAGCAGAGGATTGAAACGAAATTTTGACGTCAAAGCTTTCGTGACTGCAAGAATTCATATTCTTTGGGTCTTTCGGTAAAGTCACGCAGATAGGCCCAAAGAAAATAACAAAAAAAACTATTATTATCTTCGAACCTATCTACGTGACTTTACCGAAAGACCCAAACAAGAGAATTACTAACGTTTAAGAAAACAAAATCTCCAGCCACGCGCTTGTGGCAAATCCACCCCCACCCGGTTGTGACGCGCAGCCCACGTGAGCGCCAACCCCTTCGTTGTCCAATCAGCGCCGCGCCTGGCGCCGCCATCTCGGCCGCGCCGCTATATAAGGCGCCGTTCGTGCGCCCCCACCCCTCCACCTGGCGAGGCGGCGGCGGCGGCAGCAGCAGCAGCGCTCAGGAGGAGAAGGCCCGGGGGGGGAAACAAAAACAATTTGTTTGGGAAGTGGCAGCGACGTGGGACTTGTGAGCGTTTCGCAGTTATATTTTGTTTTGTTTTAAACGTTCAAAACAACGAGTGAACGGACACAACAACGACAAGACCACCCCCCCCCCCCACGCACGCGGCTATTATACACGCGCGGGTTCTTCTATCTCTCTCCACCACCACCACGACTCTTACTCGTTTTCATTATTTTCGACGCAATGGCGACCGCGGGAGGAGGCGGCAAGATACGCAGCAAACGTCAGCACGGAGCTGGGAAGCCGTACGCGAGGAACAAAGTGAGCTAAGGCCTCACGGCCCGACCCTACTCCCACCACCCCACTACCACCACCACCACCCTCCTGGCTGGGATAGATTCTCGGCCGACGGCCTAGCGAAGGCTGTGCGGCCGGGAATCCAGGCGAGGCCGGTCCCCCCCCCCCCCCCCATCGCCATCATCGTCATCGCCACCACTTGTCACAGTGAAACGGTGGCGTTGTTGCCTTGCCAAGCCAGCATTGTCTTCGGTATCAAGCGACGGGGGTGGGGGAGAAGCTCTTGTGGAGCTGTGTGTGCTGTGTTTGTGGTGGAGCTGCGTTGAGTTTGCGAGCGACTATTGCCTGCCACGCCGCGGGTACAGTGCGGTGGCGGGGATGGGTACAGTGCGCGGCCAGTTCGCGTGGGATTTCTTACAAATGTTAATTTGTCGCGAACAATCAATTCGTAGTCGTCTTCGTCATCTTCCTGTGTGATATAACATCGGGAGCAGTGCGAGTTTTGTTTGTAAACGTCCAAAGCATCGTCGGTAACAGGCTGACATCGCGAGCAATTGTGGACGGTTGCTCCTGGACGGCGATGGTTCGTAGTGGGTAATCGATAAATCGTCAACTTGCGGTCGGGCAAGGCCGTTTAAAATAATCGTTTAGTTATTTTTTTGGACGTAAATTGTTCAAAATGATCACGGATCGGCTGTTTTGCGGAAATGATCGACAGCGATGAAATGCTGATCAAAATCACGAATCGATTATGGGCACAGAAATCGAACATTATCGGCATTCATCAGTCGCTAGAGGACTCGTTATCATCATGACTCGACAGTCAAGAAAGATCGCCAGTCAACAAGGAATAATTGGCAGCGGAAATCTTTGTCATGTCATTTTTGCAGAGGCCTAAATAGGTCGTCGATCGTCCCCATCAACATCGCCGAGATGCAACTTCATCGCATGATTACCGCAACCTCCGATTGCCACGGTTTTGCTTGCGTACGGTGCGAAAGAAGTCCCAACATGCGATCATTGCTGTGTCCATAAACTATCCTTTGAGTCCGTGATTAATCCACGACTGGATGGAGCCCTCGGCTCCGTCGTTGTCATCTCTAACGTGCATGCCATGTCATCACCATCTCACCGCCGCTGTTGTTGTTGCTTCTTCACGGGTTGATATCAATGCACCACCATCTCTGTGTGCCGGCTATCGATCATCTAGGGCGAGTTCTCACGTACTGTGTAGTATCTATCGGCAATCATTCCGGCTTTGGTCGCAATGATTGCTCTTTGCTCCGTGTGTGTGTGTGGGAGGGGGGCTTGTTTTCCCGGTACATCTGCTACATACTCTACCCAGATCGCTTCTTTTTTTCCGTGCTCATCAGTTGTTCCCTGCTTCCGATTGCGTCCGTAAGCTGACGATGTTTTCTTTATCGCAAATGTTTTTATCGAACGCTACTTGGTTTTACTTTGTCCCAGCATGGGCATGTGGGAACTACTGCTTCTTCCACCGCTGATTTCGGGTGCAGGGAACGGGGCCCGTGAGCGCCTCTGCCCCGTTCTCGATTTGGGCGGGAAAAAAACACTTTTGTCTTTTTTACAATTCGCGACATTTTCAATGCCTTGAGCTGCCCGTCACCTTTTTCAAGATATTTGTGGTTTATATGATGGCAAGCGATGGTATCGAAACGGCCCCCGCCCTCTCCCGAGCGATATTTCCAGTTTACCATTAATTTTGCCATTCATAGAACCCCGATTTAAATATATACCGGCGCTTTAAAGCAAAAATGCACGTGGCACTGGGTTCGCGAGTTCTTTTTAGTGTCCGTTAAAACTAAGTTATCATTATATAAACACTGGTGGGCACGTGTGTGTGTGTTGTTAAGTGTAGGGAGCGGAAGTGTAGCGGTTAGCACGCTGTGCTCTGAACCTGGCGACCCGGGTTCGTTTGTCGCTCACGGGAAACACCAGTGACGATTGTCATCTGAACCGGCCCTGGGCCTTCTCTAGGTCGACTCAGCCTTGAATGGGTACCTGGTGCGACGTGTAAACATCGCCACTGGGGAGACAAAGGCGGCCGGGCGTGGTGTTGGCCACCCACAACCCCCTCGTGTGCCGAGCCGGCTTTGCTAGGGTCTCGCTAACAGCACTTACCCCTACAGTTTGTTAAGGCTACACGGGGGTGGGGGTCTTGGTTTTAATGTGTTCGTAACTGCGGCCATGCAGTGGTCGTTCTGTCTTAACGTTTGAAACATTAATGATTGCCGGTCGCCCTCGCCAAGCCAGCTCGTTCACAGTGCACACGAGCAGGGAAACCCGCAGTCGCGCATGCGTGTATCCCATGATGTGGCTCAACAGTGGCGATTCCCACGCATTGTCGTTATATAATGCCGCTTGCCTCACGTCCCGGGAGGACACACACACACGTGGTGCTGAGTAGCTGGGTTTCATGAAGGCCACGTGCCTGAATTTACCTTGTAGGTTTATAGATTCATATTTTTTTGTGGCTTGTGCTTTGGTGTGCCCGCTATAAATGATTAGAAGATTGGTAAGAATGCAGTGTTGTAGTAGCATGGCCGGACTGTAATGGAGGTGTACCGTACAAATGAATGTTTCAATTCGAGCTCTGTACTGTTCGTAATACCGCGTTGATACTGTCATGCATATGGTTTTTATTGTCTCTTTTGTGCCGTCTCTGGTTTTAAGTTTACGTGTAATTTTGTCTTGTATGTTCCATCACTCTAAATCTAACTGCACTTTTTGTGTGAATCGTAATTAATATTCCGGGTAAAAACACGGCGTATAGTGTAGGAATCGATTGTAATCAATGAATCTATTATTAAAAGATCCTTAGGTTTCATAGGTGGGTCGCGAGGTGGGTCACGAGGTGCGTCCTCTTTGCCACAGTTGCCGCTTTGTTAACAGCGTGCATATCGATCTTCCCATCCCATGTGCCGCCGCAGGGCTTGCTGGGCCGCGTCACCGACAACGTGAAGAACCTCATCCCGTCCTGGCTGCAGAGCTACTTCCGCACAGACGACTCCACAGCGGCAGAGGCGGCACCGCCGACGTCCTCTGCACCTTCGAGATCCCCATCCAGCTCGCTGGACCCTGAAGAGGCGAGGCCGGCACCACTGGACAGCTTCTCCTTCGCCGGCCTCAACCACGACGCCCAGCAGAACTGCGAAGTGGCCGGGGATGGTGCCAAGCCGAGCACGAGCACCGCCGCTACCTCTGGCTACACCTACACGGTGCCGTTCCCTAGGACGCGTGGCCCCCAAAAGCGGCAGCCCATCGACCGCTCGCACGCGACGCAGCACGGCTCCCTGGCGCTGCAGTCCTGGCTCCCGGCAGCTGGGAACGCCGCAGGGCCCAAGCCCGGCGACGCCAGGGATGTGGCCGCCACTGGCCGAGAGGCGGGGGTCGGCTCTGGTTCTGCCAGTGCGGTTGTCACCGGGACGAGGAGTGGGCAGACGATGCCAGTGCTGAGCGGCGCTGACGGCGTCGCGAGGGACGTGCGCGACTCGAGCTCGCAGTGCGAGGACGACAGCGTGTCTACCACCAGCGGGTTCTCATCACGCGCCTCCGACAAGGGTACAGCCACTGCTACTCCGCTGGGTTGGTGAATGTGATCTTGTACAGCCATATGTCGGTCTGCTTCTGGATGAAGGCCTTCCCCACTCCATCTTTGTCATGGGGGTTATTTGATCGTATTTCAACCGCACTGATCAGTGTAACTTGGTGATGGCAAAGGCCTGGAACCGAATCAATTATCACTCGCCACTGATGTTAGCACATTGCCGGGAATTGAACAAGTCCACAGTGTTGACAGCTCTTACAAGCTGATATATCAGCTGCTATTTGTTTCAAGGCAAACTTTCGCCACAACTCCCAAGCGCGCACGACAGCGGCCACAGTGCAATAACCACTGCCGTTTGATAAGTGTTCATACCAATTAGCCTTGTACCCTTTTTAAGACCTTTTCTGAGTCTCAGGGCTGCACTTGGGATGGTTGGTAATTTCATTTGGAGTGTGTATCTGTGTGTGTGTATGGGTAGAAGCTGGAGAGCCTGGATCTTATTTCCAAGGGTGTTGGCGTTTACATCTACGCACACTTAAATTAGCATTCCACTTCCTATTCTCTCTCTTCTCGAGGGCACCTTGTGTCCCTACCGGTGGTATCTATTGGTCATCCTGCCCCCAAAACGTTTGAAATTCACCTTCATCAATAGATTGCAGCATGAATAGATTGCAACATTACAAGAAAGATAAAATATTAAGTGAATTGATACTGGCCATATCTGCCCATTTTGGAGGAATCTTTGATATCAGATTTTTGGGAGTGTGGTGCCGCCTATCTGCAAAAAACGTTAAGCTCCCGCTGTGACACAATGGCCATTCTCTCTCCACTGCCAGTTAAATTCCTTCCCCTGGGCGACGTTGGCCTTGCCTTTGTACAGTTGAACTCTCTCCCAGTGCAGCACCCATGGTTGATGAGAGGTCGTATAACGAGCGTGCGTGCCCATTAGCCTCGTGCTTTGTTATTGATGTTTTTTATTGACTCCGTAAGGGGAGAGGGGTTTGCAGTCCCTGACCCCGCTTGAACTGCGCCTGTGCGAAAAAAATATTGGGCGCCCATCGCCTGCCCCATCCTGGTTGTCTACTTGTGTTGGGTGGCAGCCATTGTCTCCCCACAATGCCCCTCCTCCCTCCCTGCCAGCCTGCACATGTGCTGTTTATGACCACCAAACCAGTGGGCTGCTTTGTAAACACGTGTAGAGTTGAGAGGGGATAGCCCCACTGCGGTGGTTACAAACGCAGATGAAGTCCTGGGCGGTCGTGTTTGTGCCGCTTGGGAATTGTGGTGAGAGTTTGACTTGAAACGATTGTTCGCTTTATTTATCAGCTCGTCAGAGCTGTCAACGCTGTGGACTTGTCGCGGCTAAATTGACGGACTTGACGTTACGTTCTTCCTGCTTAAGCTGTAAAAGTAGATCATGAAGATGGTTGTAAAAACATCTAATTTGCTTTAGATGTATTTAGTTATGGGCGACATTAAAATTAAGTTGGAGTTGATGGAATGTGGACACATGGCCGAAAAGGAAATTAGTGCGGTTTTTACAAATATTTACACTACATCTACTTAGCATTGTAAAATTGTATTCGTATAACCGATGCCATTACAATTGCTTGCAAATGATTAGCTGTACTTTTTCCCAATAATGCTCTTGAGTTTTGGTTTACGTTTAAGTAGTATACGATATGCAATATCCTCCATATTGTCTGCAAGGCGGTGACTATTGGGAGTGTTTTCTCGAGTAACCATTATTTGTCGCAGCATCTGTCAGCTTGTGCTCAGCTTTGTTAACACACGCTTACATTTCATTCTGTGGTTCTTCTTGAGTGGAGCACCATCTCCAAGTACATGGACAGCCTTGTTGCCAATCCACTTCTGGGAGAGGACCTTCCCCATGCCAAACGTGTTGTTTGACCATACTTCACCCTCAGTGTGGGTTGGTGAAGGACAGGGAGCATAGATGTGGGGGCATACTAACTATAGTAGAATAATCGATTTCGGCTAGTGTCTGATGTCCAAAATTATAACCTGTTATGTAAGGTGGTCACCCATCTAAGCACTATCCAAGCTCAACATTGATTAGCTTCTGAGATTGGAAGCATTCCGAGTGATTTGGTCTTAAGCGGATAATCTCTTTGCAGCTAAAAACAACAGATTAAACATAGTGAAATTGTGTTACTTAAGCAATATATACATTTTTTTGTGTGTTGCAAGGCAATGTTGAATGCTGTCCCATTTTACAGAGTGAACATAGACACAGCACATGCATACTATAGATGCTCTTGCAGACTGATTTACCTGTGCAGGAGTAAAGATATCAGTTGGAAAATGAGGCGAATTGTGCTCATTGATGGAGATACTGAATGTCTTCGCTGCCAGCAGTGTAATATAAAATGTAGGGTCATTGTTGGGTTATAGGGAGGTCCTCCTGTCGTCAGTGTTTTCCGGTGACTTATAGATGTTGCGCAGTGTTGTTGCATAACGCTGTTAAATTTTGGGTTGCTGTGCTGCATTATATACCGCATGTTGAAGATTCGTGCATCCGGGCACCTGCAGCAGTTGATGCATTTTATCGAACTCCCTACGGTGGCAGAGAATGGGACCGCCGCATAGAGTTGTGTTGTTATCTTTAAACTTTCTATCTTACCCTAACCTCTAGGGTGTGCTGTTTAGTAAAGCATAGGAGTGTGCTTTTTACTTGGTCTTTGTGCTGAATTAGATCATCTGCGGTTGGTGAACCAAATGTAATGCAACAGAGATCCCCCTTTGAACTGAAAATTGTGTCGGGGGGGGCATTTTTGGGACTCGATCTCTGACAACCTCAAGATGGCTTGAAAGTCGAAAGGCATGGAAGTAATGATATTTTTCACGTACTTCTGGTTTTTTGTCAGTCTTGCTGGACAAGGGCCTCCCCACGCCTTGCAGTGTATTTAACCAAGCTCCATCCATGCTGGTCAAGGCAAGGAGCGGAGATTGAGCAGCAGAGTTAGGTGTATGGTAATGTAATTTTCCGCACTGCCTTCTGCTGACGGTGCATACCCCACAAATAACAGGAGTGGATGTTTGGTTTATGACCAGGTAACCGTGATTCTAAAATCTTTAACCAGGTGGGTCTGCAGTGACGATACATTTGTCAAGGTGGATCAGAAAGTGTGGCCGTTTTTTAAAATTAGTAATTTTAGCTGTGACGGTCCCACCTGATGACAGAGACTTGTGTTGCCTCCGAAACGTCGTGATTTTTTCATTTTATTTCTATTACTTTTAGTAATGTTATTTTTTACCTACGTGACTTTACCGAAAAATCCTAAGAGTGTACCCCCCCACAAATTGTCATGATGTGGTTGCGATTCCTTTCAAGAATTGGTTATTTATTCGTCCTTCTGGTCCATGTAGAATCCATAGAGGCTGCAGAGTATCTGCAGGCTCTCCCTGAAATAATGAATAAAAAATAACAATTGGCAATAATGTGTTCTTAAAAAAACATGTATTGTGAGTAACAATGGATTGTAGTCGTGGCTGTGTTAAGTATTACGGCAGAAAAGTAGCTGAGCTACTTTCTGCACGTGTCAAGAGGTGGCTGATAAAAAATAAAAGTGCCCATGGGAAGAGGCATAGAGGAAGGCGTGAATAAGACGTTTGGAATGATTGTAGCAGAAACAGGAAGAACCGCATGAGTGTGGCAGAGGTGGAGGAGCTCATTGTGGATACCACAGTCCCAAGGGATCTGCTATAACAGTGGTTCTTAACCTTTGCTGCAGCCTTTGCACCCCTTTGGTTATCAATTGTAAAAAAAAGTATAATGTTAATAAATACACAGGTTTGATTTTTCGATTTAAATCTTTTGTGACTACAGGGATTCATAATGGAAATAATAAAATAATAAAAATAAAACATAATTAAATAATTCTCACCACGTTTCGGCCACAACGCAAGCAGCCGTCCTCAGGTGAAGAACAGGTCTGTCGAGAAGACACAGTCTGAATGACACACCCCAGGCTTGGAGTCTATTTAAGCTGGGAAGGAGGGGGAAGAGCGCCTTGACAAAGGAATTTGCATTTCAAGAGGCAGAGGTTAGTGTAAATGCGATTGGTATTACCTTAGAGTCGCGGCATTTCTTGAGAAAGGTGAGAGACTCGATTAGCTGAGCCTTCTTATCCCGGAGTTTGTTGAAGGATTTTAAAGTTTTGTGGAATCCCACCCCGTAGTGGCGGTAAAATTTCGATTTAAAGCTTTCGTGACTGCAGGGATTCATACATAAGTTGGATGAAACAAAGTAGTTGTACCTACGTGGCAGTGCTTAATTTGTGTTCAAATTATTTACCTTCTCAAAAAATCTGGCATGTCTCGCACCACCAGAAAGGGAATCTCTTACCCCCAGTGGGTGGGTGCACCCCAGATTAAGAACCATTGCTCTATACGGATAAAATAAACATTGCAAGTGTTGACTGGCTTTATTGTTTATTGGGGATCATCAGGACATCTCAGCCCTGCAAATCAACTGAATGTGCTTGATCTTGTCGGATCTGAGAAGCTAAACAGGCCTGAGCCTGGTTCATACTTGGATGGGAGCTGTCTGAGCATGCTAGATGTTATAGGCTTGGACGGTGAGGTGGCCAGGAGATGGCAGTACAACAGTGGATCTTTTTCCAACTTGACATTTATTAATGAATGGACTTGCCAATGCAGGTCTTACTCGGCGAGGCATACCTGGGTGAAGGTCATTATTTAAGTGGAAGTTTGTTCGTCACAGAAGTATCTTTGAAATAATTCCTGGAATGTGCATTTGTTTAGCTGCACCAACCGAGTTGTCCCATTACAAGGATTCCTCAAATTCTTGCAATCTGCACGGTGACAGTCTAATGGCTATGATGAATACTGACACCGTTCGTGGCGGTAGTCGCGCTTGTAATATTTGTTTTGTGGTTTTGTTTCTCGCACGCACGCACTGTACCCTTTGCGTACAGCAGCTGGGTGAACGCATCATGCTCTTGTCATTGCGCACTGTAAACCCGCCGATAATGTCATAACGCCTGGACAGGCGCAAAGTAGAATTAAGAGTGCTTCAGGGGTGGGGGGGGGGGTGTGGGGCATTGCCATGTCCTGATGCCGACAGCGTCGTGGGTGTTTGTGGTTTGATTTCGTTGGAGACGTTTGTCCTTTTGAAAATTGAGAATCCAAGCGCTGTATTAAAAATAATGGTTTCAGAGCATCATGCAGTAGCAAGTGGTGTTTTAAGTTCAAAGAACAAATCCTGTTAAACAACTTTTAACTTTTGGATTGGTGCAGTGCCAATTTAAAATATTTTTTAGTCTTCAAGTTAAGATGAAAAGAGCCAAAAATGGTTCTCTGTACAAAGACCAAACGGTTACTTTTTTTGCAGATTCAAGTGTGCCCTAGGTGGTTGAACAGGAATGAAAAGATTTTATTAATGAGAAAAAAACCTCTTAAATGCACATTTAGGCACTCCCAGCGCTCTAGAGATATATACGTTGCGAGTTGCAATGTACGAGTGGTATGGCGGTACAGTATAGTCAATAGTGTCTTAATTACTCGCTCAGCTGGCTTTATATTGTTCTGACAACTTCATATTTATTTTGGACAGCTCTATGCACAGCCTAGGTATGTATCTAGAAATAAAAAATGGTAGTTTTTTAAAGATTGCGTGTTTCTTAATAGTACAATTTAAAGGTCATTTTGATGATGATAAAACGACTTGAGTTTTGACTTAGTATTTTTGTTTGTGGGTTTAACATTAGCACTGTTAGTCGGCAGGCTTGAGGCAAATTGGTGGTGTCCAAAGTGTTATTTTTGAAACCGGCAGACTGGTGATGCATAGTTTTCTTGCAGCTTGTGCTGCCGGTTAATATTTCACAAAGTTTCAAGGTTTGCGAGTCCTCATTGATCCTTATTAGATTTACATTACCAGCCAAATGCTTTATGAGGCTAAGATTTGAAAGGTTTAAATGTTTGCTGACCAGTTGGTTTTCTTTTTGGAATCCGCTGGCTTCAGATAATTTTTCATGACTTTTTCTTGCACTGTTGGTTATGTGAACACAGCACGTTCACAGTAGAGGGGGGTGGGGGGGCATTAAGCTCCCAGTGAGCCGCACGGTCAATGCAAGACGTCCTGCAGAGTGCATCGTGTCCTGCGTGCAAAACGCCTGTCTGCAGTCGTATTTCTAATGAACATGATGTCCAGGGTTGCCATTTGTGGGTGAGACAGTGTCCTGTAGGCAAGCTTTACAGAACCACCCACTTTAAAGACTTGGCATGCTGGGGCTTTGCACAGTTGGTGGCAAAGGAGCATGTTGTGATGACCGATGAAGCAGACTGGCACTCAATTTTAGCATAATGTATTTGCTCTGGGTGCCCTGGATAGAAAATTTTTGCTATCTGACCTCCACTGTGGAGTTCGCGGATACAATCAGTAGCCTTAGGCAGGCACGTGGAGAGAATCCGCTGAATCGACAGGGAGGGTGTTGTGGTCTCAGAAACTTTGATATGGTGGGGGGATTGTGAATGTGGTGGAGAGGTGCGGTGAAAGATGTGGCGGTGATGTCACAGTGCTTGTATCTCGGTGCATGGAGATGTTTGCGCCTGATCTTGTCAAAATGCACTGCTCAAAATGTTTGCTTGCGCTTTCAAACAGATGAGAGACCTTCCTGATAACTCTTTGCAATGTCACCACAACTGCACATTCTTCCATGGGTTTGCACTGCGTGATTCCCCTGAAAAGAAGACTTGATGAGTAAAAAAAAATACTTTAAAGTTATGGTTAAATGCATCACTTTAGTTCTGCAGTCACGTCACTGCATTTACATGTTACCTTGTTTGGAAGTGACATCACATCGATGTCACTGCAATGCTATAATGGCACGCAAAGCTCTAAACTCATGCCTGGGATGCAACTCAAATGCATAACTGAAAGCACATGTATAAATGAAATGCATAAATAATCCATAGCCATTACATTTTTTGTCTTTCATTTTCCTTCAGTGTTACATGACCATGCCACTGTCCATATGGATGTGAATTCATGTCTTTGTGCGGTTGGGTATGTGGGAGGGCATTCCCACAGTGGTTAGTGCAGTCTGCTACAAACCGTGTGACCAGCGTTAAATTTTTGGCCACGGCTAACATCAGTGATGAGCAACATCTGATCCTTATGGCGGTACCTCAGGGTACCAAATAATACAAAATGGCTGAGGCAATTAAATATTTTATTTCTGGGACACTTTTTTCCAGGGGTGTACTTAACTCTGCGACTGGGGTATCAATCCGAAATCAGTGCTACTCCGCGATTTAGAAACGCAGCGAGGACGATTGCGCTGAAACCCTGAACGCTCGTACGCACCGTAGTGGTGCATCGTGTACAGCTCGTCGAGATGAGTCGATCGCCGACCATCAACAGACTAAAAATGTCTGCATCACAGACATGATGCGAGAACCGGGGTGCCGTGGTACCCCGGGGTACCACCATAAGGTTTATCTGTTGAAATCATGGGTGTGTATCCTAAGTTGACTGCATCAAAAGTACACCTGCTACAGTGTAGCGGTTAGCATGCTGCGCTATGAACCCGTCGACTCGCGTTCGATTTTCACTCGCGGGCAACACAAGTAACGGTTGTCTGAACCGGCCCTGGGCTTTTCCCGTAGGCCATCTCGGCCTTCAAATAAGTACCTCGTGCGGTGTGTAAACGCTGCCACCAAGGAGACAGTTGGGCATGGTGCTGGCCACTCGCCCCCTCATGTATCGTGCCGGCCTTCATAGGTGCTCACGAACAGCATTTGCCCCAAACAGTCTGTTACAGCATGGGACCTCCTTTGCCAGTACCAAAATATGATCATAGGGTTTTCCCCTTTTTTCTGGCAACAAAACAGGTGTTAAGATGTTATAACACCAAACTGAAACCTTTTTCAAGGAATCATGTCGGCATTAACCATAATGCTTGTGGTCAGAAGGCAAACAAAAAACATACTCTGATAATATATGCATTGTCCTTGAAACTGATTGGTCCACACCAGAGACAGCTTTCTTCTGAGCCTCGTCTCAAACGGTGTTAGAGCAGAGGACGCCAAATGGCGGTCAGCCCAAAGACAATGCTATATCAGTAATGAGAGCTCGGGGTGAGCATCTTCATCATGGGACCTCCTTTGCCAGTACCAAAATTTGATAATAGGTTTTTCCCAGGCTCAAAAGAAAGCTGTCTCTGGTGTGGACCAATCAGTTTCGAGGACAATGCATATATTATCAGTGTTTTTTGTTTGCATTCTGACTACAAGCATTGTAGTTAATGCAGACGTGATTCCTTGTAAAAGGTTTCAGTTTGGTGTGTTAACATCTTAACACCTGTTTTGATGGCAGAAAAAAGGGTGAAAACGTTTTATCAGTCTGTTACAGGTTATATGCCGCATCACCCCTGCTACATATGTCTTACCAGCCTTAACAGTTGCTCGCTAGCATCACGTGGCGCTGTGACGACTTCGGTTTTAACGGGGGTGATCGTTGCTCCTGGTTGTACCCGCAGATGTGAGCATGCAGCCGCGTGGTTCGGCAGTGCTGCTGCAGCCTCTGTGGTGCATGGGGGCGGAGCTGCCCGCTCGCTCGACCCCGCAACCGTCGGCTCACAGCGCCAAGAAGCCCTCGTTCAACCTGACGGTGTTTGACAGCTCCCGCACGGTAAGCCCCATGCAGCATCGTCATTTATTATTCATACCGTGCCTCTCAAATGTACAGTACATTTCGAGGCACCGGAGCAAGAGAGGTATTTGAGATAATTGCTCAACGAGGGAGTGATTGCAGACCAAATACAATGTTTGTAAAGATGCAAGAGACAACGGCCCTTCTCGCATTTTTCGTCCACTTGATTTCTGCGGGCGGTTGCAGTCGTAGCAGCAGCAGCAGGCTCGTGTTGTCCGTGTGTGTGGACAGCGATCTGACCACGTGGAAAACCTGAAGGGTGAATTGTGCCTCAATGGAGCTGATGACCGGAGGGTGTGGCATCAACGGGGGTCAATGTTGATAGGACCAGTGGACAAGAGTTGGGCAAAGAGCAAAGGGATGTTTGTTGGCATGTCGTTATTCACCCCACCATGATTCATGAATTGTATTGACACAATCAGCAATTGGAGTAATGTGTTTTTGGTATCACTGTTGCCAGATAGCCAGCAACGAATTGCACGATGAAAGTTGTCATAAGCCTCACATGTTGATTTTACCCTGGAAAGCCTCGCTGACTTAAGGCTTTTTCAGCGGGGTCTTGCACTTAATGTTTGGCTGATTTCAACAATGAGGGTTTTTCCCGTGGGAGTAAACTGTAGTCGCTGGAGATAACGCGTGTAGGTAACACTGCCATTTCTGTAGTACAATATGCATAGCTGAAGGAAACTGCATCAGAAAGAATAACAAAGTTCTGCATGTGTGGATTCATAAACCATTTGTGCTGCTATCTCCTGGTCACCTGGTAGCCCAAGCAGTATTGGGAATTTCATAACTTTTCTATGGTCTACGAACCCATACCTCCTAAAGTGGTGGGTTACCTGTGTGTGTGTGCACCATCATACGATTTAATTAATAGTTTTTTTAACACATTTGTACCATCTCGTTTGTGTTCTCATGTATTCTGCCTCTTTGAATGAGCCTAAAATGATTATATGTAATATAAAGACATTTACGCTAATAAATTGGAACGTACATCGTGAGTGTATAAGAATGGACTTGAATCGAATCATTACTTGTTTAGAGATTGGCACTGGTCACTCGAGCTACCCTGAGGTTATTACGGTTCGGTGAAACTGGTTAATGACTCAAACATTGGGGGTCACCGATTGGTGGCCCCCAATGTGGGGTCACCGATTGGTGGCCCCCAATGTACTCCTGTTCGGATTCTGTAATAATATCTATTTGGCACTTAAGTTTTCACAGCCAATCGTAATCGAAATGTGGCCTTCTGCGTTAGGCAGCGTTTTTAACTTATGTGGGCGCCTTCAGGAATTGCATTACATTATCGACGAGTAATTAGTCTGCTTTGTGCTTGTGATCACTGGCTGTACCGCTGTATGTGGAACTTATTTTGCACCATACGTAGCCAACTGTGCTTATCGGAGGTGCGGGGAAAGGACAACAAATGAGACACCAAAAGCAGTACTAAAGAAATTAGTTTTCAATCGAGATTTTAAAGTGCATAGCTCCAGTGGCTTCCTAATATCGGAAGGCAGAGCATTCCAGATGGCCGCAGAAGTGAATCTGAAACCGCGCAATACGGTAACCGTCTTTGATCGATGGCAAGCCAAAAGCTGCCGCGAGGATGAGTGGCGTTTGCGTGATGGTTAATGCTCCTTGACGATCAGCAAGGTATTGTGGTTTATTTGTGGAAAGCACTTTGTGTGTAATGAGTGCGACCTTACGATGTTTATGTTTGGCAACTGGAAGCCAATGCAGCTCGGCGAGCACTAGACGGACACGGTCATTACTCGTCACAACACGTGCAGCGAGATAATGTTTTTGGCAGACGTCGAGTAGTGAGTTGCAATAATGGACGGCACTAGTAACATGGGCTGGCGTGCGTTGCTCCAGGCTGGAGGACTGGGCTCTGGTCAGCGGGGAGAGTCCACTTTCTACGCAGGGAAAACCACGTATGGCGGGGCATCTGCCATGTCACGGCCATCACAACGCAAACTGCCTGTCGCCCCTTACCAGGTAATCGCAGTAATCAATCACTCCCTACCAGGTAACCAGTCGCTTGCTGCTGTCCCACCACTTATCTACAACCACCTGCCAGCCTCTACCGGGTAACCAGTTACCTACTACCATCCTCTAACACAACTTGAAAAAAAAATATCTCCCACCGTGCCCCCTCCTTCTCCGAAAATTCAGCTTTCACTTTGTACTTATATTTCAGTCGGGTTATTTTATTCTTGTCAGCATTAAACGCCACTTTATTTGGATTCGTTATTTTCTTGACCTTGCAACGATAATTTCAACTTGATTCGTGACCGCATCGTTTTCGATCAATGTCGACTCGTCCGTTGTCATATCTGGCCGTGCTTGCCCACGTGGCGTTCCTGGGCATTCCTTGCTCCAGTTTGCTGGGCTTTTGTTTTTGGCAGCGTTCGTGCTGTGCGTGTAACATGCACCTGCCCGGGCGTGTTGTGCGCAGGCTCCCTACCGCGTGCAGGTCAAGGCGAAGCCGGCTACTCCCAGGCTCACGTCGGCAGTCACCAGCGTTACCGCTCGCCGCATTCTCCAGTCGCTCGAGAAGCTGTCGTCTCCGCTGTCGGTGAGAACCGCTTTTTCGCCCTGATCCGTGTGATCGTGACTTTTGCATTCATTCGTTGGATTTGTGAAATTAAGTAAAAAAAGTGGGTAAAATTCATTTATTCTTTGATAGCACAGGTAGTGTTATTACAGATTCTCACCGCTACAATAATTTAGCATTTTTACTGATGGTTTAGAACTGCGAACATAGTTTAATTCCTCTGCACACTGGTATCGCCTGAAAACCGTCCCATTGCAATATATTCCAGTGCATGGAGGAGAATCCTCAGTTAATGCACTGGCTTCCAACGTCTTGCTCTTTGTCGCAGCTAAAACACAAACTGAAATAGATCCAAATATCAAGTAATAATAATTAAAATGTTTCATCCGCATTCCTACCTATGAAGCCAAATACAAAAAACATATCCATTAACATTTTCAAAACAAGCAGATGGGGGTGCTCCTTAAAATAAGCAAGTTATAATGCGTGCTCATTTGACTGCCTTCTCTTTACGGGTCTGCAGTTTACATTATATTTAGCCAGGGCAACATGTGGCCATGTGGCGGAGTGAGATTCCTGGCAGAGTGCCTGTCCCCTGTGCAGAAAATTCACGTAAAGTATCGTAACACGTGCCGCTGTGATGGTTCTGTACGAGTATCCTTTCACCCTGTGACAATTCTTCTTTGTTAATTGTACAGGGTGGCTCCATGGCTTCACAGGTTACTTGTTTTTTTAGGGGTGCCACACTGGTGATGTTAACTACCTCGCCTGGTATACAGGAGGTCATAGGTTCTATACCGACCCTGACCCTCGCCTGTATATTTGGCGTTTGAATTATGTGCCCCATGGTCGCATGGATTTTTCTTCGGGTTCTCCGGCTTTTCCCTCCACATTAAGAAACATGCGTTTAGAGTATTTGCTGCTATCATTTGTGGCCAGTGGCCTCTGAAAAAGAGCTCTATATCTCGGTGGCCCTTACCTCCGTAATAGAGGTATTTGGGTTAAATCGCGTAAATAACTTGCCTGGTACAATAAAACCAGTTTATAGTATTATAGTTCTTGGAACTTCCCATGTTTCAGCATTTGTATTGATTCTACCATATATTTGTTGTTTGAAATTAGCTTGCGGGAAACAAGAAATGGGCGGTAACCACTCAATCTCAAACCAGAAACTGAACTATTCTCTGTAAATATCCACATGATGGAAAACAAGTAAAACAGATGCTGGAATACATCTGTAATAAACTAATTTTTATTTTACTTGAACAAGTCAGTGTTGGCATATTGTTGTAAAAGGTACTTAGTCAACATTTCTTGTTGTTTTTAGGATGCCCTCAAGATTCCCTCGAGCAACACATCCCCTTCTGTAAGCGTCGTATATATCGCACCACATCTGCCACAACGTACGGAAATTGATTAACTAGTACAGGTAGTCCTCTACTTATGATATAGATGCGTTACGACGACCCCATCGTAAGTCGAAAATATCGCAAGTCGAAGATGGCCTAGCCTACCCAGGAGTCTTAAAGAATGGTGATAATTTAGCAAAACAGAGCAATTTACAGTACCGTACTGTATCAACTATATACTGTATGTATTTATGAATTACAATACTGTATTGCACAGTAAAATGTAAAGTAAAAAAACAAGGTAAATTCTTAGCCTACCTATATGAACTGCAATTTAATAGAAAGTTTTTTCAGGAAACAATCCTATCTGCTATAAAAACTTTTAACATGCATTGAATGTATTGTATCGTGGTAACCCTAAAATGAAATCGCTAAAGCTATGTATCATACATACATTGAACGTATCGTAACGTATCATTGTACTGTACTCGCCAAGATTTGTACGCCGCTGCGTTTGCCTGCCGCGCGAAATGTAAAATATTTTACAATTTTGTCGTATCGCCATCGTAAGATCGAAATATCGTAAGTCAGACCATCGTAACTCGGGGACTATTTGTGTTGGAGATCGAACTAGTGTTGCAGTGTGCTTCTGATGGTCAGGGAAACCAATTCCAATCTTGGCGAGGTACTTAAACGAGAGTAAATTGTTTGGTTAATGCATTTGGGATGGTGTTACTCAATGAGGGTTTGGTAGTTATCTTTAATCAGATGTGCCGTGTATTTATAAATGTCACTGTGCAGTGAAAATGTTGGTTTATTAATTGTGTTGGAAACTGTGCGTCCCCGCTGTGTGTTCTCAGCTGTCTGGGTCATCGTACCTCGACCCAGTGTCGAGTCTGCGAGCTCACAGGGTGAGTCGCACATTTTACAATCAGTTTTGGATGTATAATCAAACTGCAATTACATATAAAAATGTCATAATTACAGGGGGGACTGGCGCATCTTGGAAGCAAGTGAAAGAGGGGGGTGGTGGTTTGTTGTTTTTGTAGGCGGAGTTCTACAGAGGTAGTGGAAGGCTTTTGAGAAAAAAGGTGAAGTAAATGACACCATGATGAAACGTTGGAATAAATATATTGTGAATAAGTTGTAGGCAGAGGAGAAGATTTGGGCTTGAAGAGCAGGGTATCTGCAAAGTGGACTGCCAGGTGGTAAAGGGAACTCTAGAAGGCCAGCAGTAGGAATGACACTTCCATGGCCTTATTGACAGAATGAATTGCCTCATTGAGACTGAGCAGACGTCAACTGGGAGTTTTGAGAGATGTTTGGCCTCCCTGAAGAAACCCTACAGTGCAGTCTCATGAGACGCGTTTAAATGTTGGGCTCACTACATGGTACTTAGCACAGAATTGGTGGCTGAAATCCGACCGCAGTTGTGCAGCCATTTCTGGTGTAAATTAAAGAAGTGAAAACAAGACGGATGATGCAATTTAACTGAACTCTCAGTAGTAGGCCATTGCCAATGCCGTTAGCACAATCTGTTTGATTACTTCCAACTAAAAGAATATAACAATTACGTGATGTTAGTTGTGTAAATTGACGCATTTTTCCCTTACACGAGACGGTGCATCTCACTACACACTCACCCTAGGTACACAAAATATTTTTGACTGTGCGAGTTGTGCACCCGTGAGCTTCACTAACGTGTGACGGCTGTGCCCACGTCCCACCTGCGTCGACAGCTGCAGCCACAGCGGCCGCCCGTGCAGCAGCTGGTGACGCCGCGTGCGGCCGCCGTCTCGTCCAGCCGCTCGCTCTACCGCCGCTCGTGGGCAGGGCCTTCACGAACCGCTTCACCGTCGCCCTCAACCACCACCACCGCTGTCGCACAGTCTTCCCTTGCGAGCGTGAGTCAATTTCGCCATCGCGGCCACCACCATCACGCAGGATTCCCTCGCCACCACGAATTAACATTACCATCACTATTTGGTTCTTTCGGTAAAGTCACGTAGAAAGATAAACTAATAAATTAAAGACTAGCACACGACGTTTCGATTGCAACACAAGCAATCATCATCAGGTATAAATGAAATAGAAACACAAATCTAGTATACTTAGAAATGTAATGTATTTATACCTGATGACGATTGCTTGTGTTGCAATCGAAACGTCGTATGCTAGTACAGTATTTACTTTATTATTTTATCTTTCTACGTGACTTTACCGAAAGAACCAAAGAGTAATTCCTGCAGTCACGAAATCTCCAAATTAAGTTTATTGCCATCACTAGCACCATAATGGAGGCTTCTCTCGCCGTCGTGAGTGAACATTGCAACCACTGCCGCCAGTGTTACTTTCGGTCCGGCGCTCTCTATCATCTTACTCGCTCTCTACGGTGGCATTTGCTTCGTAACTTGACACCGCAGGAATCTGTGCGTCTCCTCTGTACCCAGTGAAGTTATGGATTGCAGTCGCATGCACGTGGTGCAGTAGGGCTCCCTCTTGCATGCGGATTTGTTATGGTCTGCATACGTTGTGTAAATATTGGCTCCAATATGTGAATTGTTAATGAGGTAACTTTTTTATTTCATGTATTGAGTGTCACGAGTTGGTTTATTTTGTACAGCGCATTCACAGCCAGAGTAATTAATATATGGGTGATCGTGACTGACTGATTTGTAATGTGAAAATGTTCTCATGATTTGGTCTACCTCAGTTCTAAATTGCTGTACGTTTTGTGCTTAACACTTATATATCATCCCAATCCCCAGTAAAATCAAGTAACATTCCTCTCATGATATGTGATGCTAAAGCCCATAGAAAAAGGCAAACCGTGCTCCCACTTACGGGTTAACAACTATACATAAATCTGTTATTTTGAAATGTCGGTATAATTACGCTTAATTATTCAGAGTGAAAAAAAATGTATGGCATTGGTTGTGTACCCGTGAGGAAGAGTTGCGTAACGGTTTCTACGTGTGATACGCAGAGAACAAAATGAAGCTTTAGACATTTCGGTGCCAAAATAAAAGAAAAATAACCAAACGTTCGGCACAGGCGCTGTCCCAGGGGGATTACCTTGGCTCTCCTAAGAGCCAGCAAAGCCACCGTCCTGCACGAGCTGCTTCAGCAGCCTGCCGTTAACGTTGCGCAACAATGCACGCCTTTCATGTGGAGTTGTGAAAAAACTGTGGTGGTGGAGTGTAACACGTGCAGTTACATAATGGTTGACACTTGGACGTCCATGTGCGAAGCCACCCACGCACACTCGTAGGCACCTGCTCTCTTATCAGGAACGCACAGGCACGCAGGAACCCAGGCACGCGGAGACCAACAGGTTCATCCACGCGCTCGCACACATGCAGACACACCGACACCAAGCTCCCCACATGCAGAGGTGCCTCGCGCTTGTTAGACAGGTGGGAGTAGAGAAGAGGCAACCACCTTTCCAGCTCCCTTCCCACACACATGCCTGCAAGAGAATGAGATGCATCTGTTGCCATGTGCATTCGTTTGAGTAGATCTGCATCCAATCTCTTTCAGTCTGCTCCTCTCGTTAAATGAATCACTGGTAATAATATCGTCATTAATTCTGAAGGCATAGGACAGGGTGGTTCAGATGTCTTGTGACCCCCATTTAATATTTTTTAAACTGAATATTGTTGAAGTAAGGTTAAAATATAAAATTAATATGCAAAGGAAAAAAAAAGGGGTTAATTGGGGGTCACAAGACATCTGGACCACCCTGTGTACAATTGCACCTTATGGCTGTACCCTGGCTCTCGCATCATGTCCGTGATGCAGTCACTTTTAGTCTGTTGATGAGTTGGCGATGCGGCGATCGACTCATCTCGACGAGCTGTACACGATGCACCACTACGGTGCGTACCGCGAGCGTTCAGGGTTTCGGCGCAATCGTCCTCGCTGCGTATCGACATCACGGAGTGGCAAGAATTTCGGATTGATTGGTGCGCCAGTTGTGGAGTTAAGTACACCCCTGAAAAAAAAATGTAATGGCCTTGGTCCATTTAGTATTATTTGGTCCCCCGGGCTACTGCCATAAGGATAATTTATTGGCTCACCCATCATTTCGTGGTTGCTTTCTTTGGTAATATACAAGTTGGCCTAAAAGTCACCAAGTAGGGTAATATTTATTTGAGTAAATCACATAAGTCAGCAAGTAGGATAATTATATTTATTTGAATAAATGACACGGTTATTTAATTTATTTTACTAAATGTTAAATCTGACTGCCATTAACATTAATTCATGCATGCAATCTCTTTTGAAAATAATTAAGGATTTCGTTTTTTAAGATTATAGGTGTAATCTTTCAACGTTAATCAATTGTTTTGTTTTAATTCAAGGTTCTTGGTCGAGTTTTGTAACCGACGGATTTGAGGTGACGCCACATGAAGAAGAAACATCGATATTAATAACGATTATAGATAAAATGTTAACTTAAAGACTAAACGATGAAAACAGATTATTAAAGTAAGCGAATGAACCACGTGTCCTGACTTTTTGGCCACACTATACATATAATTTCTACACATCTGCACTCCGACATTGTATGATACAAGGTTTACCCACACCGCTTAATTTCTTTCCCTTCGGTCTTCCTTTCCGAATACACTGAATTCAAATATGCTCGCACCTTGCTACAGGAAGTGATGGGAGGGAGGTGGGTGGCGTCTCTTGCAGGACCCCCATTACAGCTGTTCTCTCTTGACCCGACACGGGAACAAAACCACGCTCCTCCCAAGCATCGAACAAACGAGCGTGGACGCCGCCGAGTGCGCGTCACGCGTGAGCAATTAGGCGAGAGGCCTGGGGGGAGAGGTTGTTCAACGATGCCGCCTTGGCGCGAACGTCACCGTCACGCACCCACTTCTCTGATTAATGGCCCTCCATTGCTGGAAGGCCAACCTCTCGTCCGGGGGCCACTTTGGATGTGATTACGGTGTTTTGTAGGATGCTCGTAAAATACTGAGCAGCTTTGCCGCTTGGGCCGTGAGGATCGCGTTGGCTCTCTTTGCCGAGTTTGGGTATTCCTCGCCGTTCTTGGTCTGCCTCGTTAAGGTCCTCCCGTGTTTTAGCTTGGGAATATTGGGCCGAAATTGCGTCCAGTGGAAAGCAGTCTGTGGTGCTGCTCGCAGCTGTGAAGCAGAGGATGAGCAGAAGAAAATCGGAAGGTCCTTACAGCGACATGTAAAGATGCACTCAACTAAAGCGGAACGCAGAAAAACACGTGTCACAACAGTATTTAATGCTGCTATAATAAAAACTCGTGCTGTCTGACAGTGTAGTACACTAGTGGAGTAGTGATTACAGCAGTGCCGTGATGCAGTGTAGACTTGCGCTGTACAGCACATGTCAGTTGGTTATGATGTAATCTGTTATTTCCACATTACATACATGGTGATGATAGTGATGATAACAAGTGAAAATCAAAACTAACCTTTCTGTATGATAAATAAATGAAACCAGACGCTGATCTTTAAGTTGTTAGTTTTTTTTTTCCTCTGACTCACTTTCTCACACAGACTAAGCTCATACACAAGATCTATAAATAAATACTCGCCAGTGTGAATTGCAAGATTTATTACCTGCAGCTGTATCGGTAGATCAATAATTGGGAATTTTACCCTCCCAACGGCTGCGAGCAGCACCACAGACTGCAAATCGTATAATCACGTGATGTTCGGCAAAGGCGAGCAATCAGTGAGTAAAGACAATGGCTTTAATTCAATCAGGCGTAATAATCACAATTGTAATTTACTATATTACTTAAATTGAGCACTGACCAAGCTGAAATTTGGAATGTGTTTCTATGCGATTGAGCAATGATCAAGCGATTAAATTTTGAATAATACATTATATCCTTTCTGACAATTCCCACAAGCCTACGTGTTAAACTGATTTTAAATGCACGTGTCTGTATGCTCGAGCAGTGACCGAGCTATGATATTGTGAATGTGTATTCAGTCGAGCTTTAGATGTTAAATTCGTGTCAATGTAATCAAGCACTTATAGAGCTATGACATTTTGAATACCTGCGTCTGTGATCGAGCAGTAATTGAGCGATGGTTGAGCATTCATTGATCGATTATTTTGCTGATGAAAAATCCGTATCTTTTCTGACAATTCCCGTTCCAGTAGAGTTTTTTGTTTGGGCAAAAATACCCCCCCCCCCCCCCCGAAACATTAACATGATGAATCATTTATTCTCTCATGGATCCATTATGTCCCATGGAAGCACGGTCACTCGGTGCGGGCTGTATGAGCCTTGAGCCAAGCGTCACGTGGCCGCGGTACACCCAAGAGGAGTATCCGGGGGCGGGTGACGTGCGACCCGTCTCGTTAGCATGCGCGTCCGCGCGGTGCTTTGCTATTTCCAGCCCGGGAACATTACGTTGCGGGCTCACACTCCTGTCCGCCTGCTCTCCTCCCGCTGCCCGAGCGATCGTTATATATATATATATATAGACTTGAGAAGCTGATTGCCTCTCCTAAGCTCTCCGCTGTTGCCAGGCTGGCTGGGGCCTATGACCAGGTTTTCTCTCTGGGACTAACTGAAATGTGTTCTGCCGCAACATCAGTGGAAATCTCCAGGCTGCATTGAGCCGACTTCGAAAGATGAACTGAAATTTGAACGGTGCTGTTCAATAATGTCTCTCCTTTGACGTGGCGATAACTGTTTATCGATTAAAATTGATCTAATGCTCACAGTACGTGATTCCAATTGTACATGTCAGAATTGATTATTTGACAATTCAGTCGGATTGCATTAATTGAATGCAAATGCTTCCTTTAAGCTAATAGTGGCAACACAGTGCAGGCATTGTTTTAGAGCCAGTGAACATTAACACGATGTGCACAAACAAAGACGTGTCTTCTTGGATTAAATTGTAACCACAAATAGCGACAGTTCATTGAATTGTGGGTGGGTAGAAGTGTATCGATTTAAATCTATGGGTACATTTTGAACTTTGGCGTTTCTGCAGTGAGCGCAGTGCTATACATAGTGCTACATTTGCCATGGCTCTGCGTTTATAGAGGACGCACAACCAAGGGACATGTGCACAAAGCCGGATGATGTTTCACTCTCCGGCTTGATGGATCACACAATGTAACAATACCACCTCGCAAGCTAAATGTAATTATTTGCCCCATTCGACAAGAAGTTGGCATAGTTCGGGGTCGTGATTTGATTACATTTTTTATTGTGGTTCATGTGTCATCGATATTGGATGCAAAATTTGCATGAACCTGCAGAGTTTCCAAAAAACACTCCGCACGATTTGTGTGAATTCATTAATTTATTCTTGCATGAACATTTTGTGCACACAGACTCCAATAAAACGATTATTTTCACAAGTCTTAAATGGTCAAAATTGTATCTTAGCAATTTGGCAATATATATACACACACACAAGTGAAAGGAAAGTGAAATATTAATTTTGTGTGATTCTTCTTTGGCAGTGGTGCACAAGTGAAAATGAAACGCATTGGTCAATAACTCTCTTGGTGACCCCATACCAGTCCATAATTACCAGTGCAGTACACAGCTCCCCCACTGTCTTGCATCATAACCAGCGCCAGCCTTGTTTCTGTTGATTGTTTATCGGCACAGCGTAGCCACGATTCCCAACGAGGCGATGGTGCACCATTTACCGTCGTTTTTGCTGGCCATCAAACAAAGACGTTCACTGCATCCGCTGCACTTACGGATGCGCTTCTGCGGCCGTCTGGAATGCTCTTCCGACATTAGGAAGCCACTGGAGCTATGCACTTGTAAATCTAGATTAAAAACTATATTCTTTAGAACTGCTTTTTTTGTTGAGTTTGTCCTTCCCCCGAATATCCGGTTAGCGCGGTTGACTATGTACGGTGCCAAAGAAGTTCAACATGTATGCATAGTTACGGATCGTCAGTTCAGTATGAACGGGATGTCGGACTGCCAAAGTCTTGATCGGGTAAAAATTGTGTCAGAGGAAGATTGAATGAATAAATAAAGCCCTTATTAACGATACTGGGTGTCCCATACTGTGTGTCACTTATCTGAAGCTTCATAAATGACACACTTATCCGTAGGTCCCCGATTTATAGAGCTCACCATTAATCTAGATTGGAAGTTTTCGTGACTGCAGGGATCCATACTCTTTGGTTCTTTCGGTAAAGTCACGGATTTATAAAATAAAATAAAATAAATCGCGACGTTTCGGGCGCAACACAAGCGCCCGTCATCAGGTGGGACAACCACAGCAAGAAACAATTGCAATTGTTGCAAGAAACAATTGTTGCAAGATTTATTTTATTTTATACTCCCCATTTATGTTGTATTAAACATGAGAGTGACTTTTCCTTGATGCTTGAACAGGCTAAAATGTAAGTTATTTTTCTAATTAACTCAGCTTTGTTCTCTCTTGGGAATAGCCTGGGACGCACAACCTAGATTTGACTCTAGCCACGTAAGAGCTCTGTATTTTGAGGTGTCTGTCTTTAAGGAGCACACCGTCGCTGCTTACGAATCCATCCGTCTCTGTGTCACACATGGGATTGTTGACTGTCCCTAAAGCACTCTGTTGATGCACGTTTCCTATTGAACAAAGGCCTCTTCGGCTGTGGGTGCTGCGAGTCACGAGGAACACTTTCCCAATGGCGGTGTTTTCATTTGTCTTTTTCAGGACTCCACTCAGCCGGGAACTTCCTGTGACAATCGCACACTGCAAAGGTGAGTCATGTGCAGTCTGTGAACGAATATTTTTATTTACTTCACCTTTTGTACATTTCTCAGCTGTATCTGGGTACACCACAGTTAAGACGATCTGCATATTGCGGATGGAGGGGTTAAAGTGTCCATACGCTGACCTATTCTGTTGTGGTCTTAAGCTTTGCAGATGACTTATTTTAGCTTTGGGTTCCTTTCGCCAGCATGGAGAGTGGGGCACCTCGACCTTTATTGTTATCGTTCAATTCCTTTTACATTTTGTTTAATTCATCAAATAATTGAACCGACGATCAGTAATCGGTTACTTAAGTAGTCTGACTCCATCCGCGTAGCAGTGTTGGAGAACGTTGCTTTGACCCGTTACCTTTTTTGTTTGCAGCAGCAAGGCCTCGCTGCCTGGGCCTCCCAAGGCCCTTGCCGAGCTGGCGACCCCAGTAGCCAACGGGCTGCCCAGGGGGGGCGGTGGCGGCGGCGGTGGTGGTGGCGGCAAGATGAAGCGTGAGCGGATTGCCGTCCACTTCTCGGCCCAGAAAGACGATGAATCGGTGAGTGTGCGTGTGTGGGATGCTCGTGTGTGTGGGGGGAGCGGTAGTGCAGCGGTTAGCGCGCTGCGCTACAAACCCAGCGACTTGAGTTTGATTCCTGCTCACGGCCAACGAATGACGATTATATGAACCGGTCCTTGGCCTCCCCAACAGTTTGTTAAGGCTACAGAGGGAACCTCTGTTTTGTGTGGATATAGTGCTATGAAAATGGCGGCACAGGGGGGAACGTGGGTTATCGGCGTTTTCCAACCCAGTGCTATCTGATATACAACTTGCGTGTCTTCATTCTCCAAACGTCAATCCTTGTTCTTCATTGCTAGTACTGATCCATCGGTAGATGTTCCTAATTGTTCTTCGAACAGAAGGTCCAGTCTCTTATTAACTCAACATTTGTTTTCAACGGAACTTGAGGTCCGCCTGGTGCAGCTAACTCGGCGTTGCTAATTTTTTACCTGCATCGGGGATGATGGGTTGAATTCACCCTGCCAGGGATTTTAACCCCACAGCCTTATTGCCGTGACCGTGTTGTTTGTCCGTGCCAGCTATCCCCGGTCCCTTGCGTAATGTCCTCAGTGGTGGAGGGGTAGGGTGCCCTGCGTAACAGCTTTATTTACCATTATTACCGTGGAAACCAAAATTTTGCCCATTTACAGCTTCCATTGTTATTTACATTACCCCTAACACGATGTAAATATATTAAAGGAAGGTTAATACACACTGAAGCGACTCTTCTAATGCACAATCCCTTGCTACAGTAGTTGCTGTACAGTACCAAACTAGGACGTCCTGGCACGTGAGGTTTCCCCGCGACGTGGAGACACGCGCATTGCTGTGTGCGCACACCGTCGCAGTTTTGAACTCGTGCAGTGTGACTTTGACGAAAAAAGTAGCAACCCTCCTCCCAGCTTTTAGGGGTTTCCAAAAAAAACCCCATTGTATGCAGAACCAGAGTATATCACACCAATGTGTGGTGGCTGTGTAGCAAATCCGATGCAATGAACGGTTATCCGCTGTCAGCTGAGGGAGTGTGAGGGAGATGCCCGTAACTGTGTAATTGAGACCACGCGCGTCTGCAATTCTTTACCAACGTTGACCACTCGGCTGCAATAAGCAGTCCCCCCCCCCGGGCTGCTGTGAAAGTGGGGGGGGGGGGGGGTTAAAGCTCTTTGGCAATTGAGATGAACTTCACGGGGTGTGTTTATTGTCAGTGACCACCTGCCACTAATAAGACAAGCCACAGTGTTTGCTCGTTACAGCCGCTCTTTGTTGCCCGCTCCCTCGCCTCGCACGAACATTACTTGTGAAGCAGGCGGGGGGCTGTCCCTTCAGCTGTGTTTACAACTCCGCCATGTGTCAGGGTGTTCAGAAATCCGTGTGACTAACACTTGTCGCCTTAAGAAAATTCCCCAGAAGCGTTCCCAGTACGGAGTGCGCGTGCCCACGAATAGTATCATTGCAAAAAAAATACCACTTGTTGATTGTCTACTGCAGCATATGATAATTGTTTTTTTACCCTTTTATCTGGCAACAAAACTGACACCTTGTTTGCATTGACCACAATACCTGCGGTCAGAATGCAAACAAAAAACATAACTCTGATAATGTATGCACTGTCCTTGAAATTGATTGGTCCACACCCGAGACAGCTTTCTTTCGAGCCTAGTCTCACATGGTGTTGGACCAGATGACGCCAAAAGGCGCACAACTCAAAGACAATGCACCATCAGAGTATGAGAGCTCGGGGTTAAGCATTTACACCATTGGAACCTCATTTGCCAGTAACAAAATATGATAATTGGTTGTTTATACCTACTGCAACATGTTATTTCAAATTAAAATGTCTTGCCTGGGTTTGAACGAGCTTTTTCAGACATTCGTACATGCGCGCATGTGCAAACATGATAATAATTATAATTGATGGGACGTGGGCATCAACGCCGGCACTATCGGTCACGTGAGCACAGACACACGATTGTCGGACTCTTACCGCTGTGGTTGCGCAGCCGTCGCGGTGACTGCGGAGCTCCCACAGCTGCGCACAGCCGTCGCTTGCTGTCTGCGTGCGACGTGTGTGCAGCAGCTGCGCTCTGGCTTCGAGTGAGCGTGCACAAGGAGGCGGCTCGGTCGTGTGGTCGCTTCCTGCTTTATTGCTGCGTCGCGGCGATTGCACAAGTTGAGCTGCACCAAGCATTTTCTCGTGCCAAGAAAAGCTCTGGGTGGGGGTCCCTTTGCCAGCAATCCCCTTCCCCACCTCGTGGTTTAGGTGGAAATCTATGCTACAACTTCCCCATTCATGACGGTTAACTGAAATTTAGCTCGGGCAGAAAATGTTGGTTTCTTTTTCTGAATAAGGTTGAGCTACTCTGCGAGATTAATTTTTTTTATTTGTTAATCTTAGGAAAGTTTTCTCCTACTCTTAATGCTTTTTTTCTTGAGGAATTGGCACTTATGTCCATGCTATTATTTACTACTGGTGTCGTATATTTCACTTTGGGTGGAGCAGAGGCGCAGTGGTTGTCAAAAGCACAAGTTTTATTCGGTGGCGAGTGATATTTATCTCGTCCTGGGCGTGTGTACCCCCTCTTCACTAACCCGCACTAACAAAGCATGGTGAAGTACGGTTATTGACCCCCACAACCGATATGGCAAACAGAGGCGTTCATGCAGCAGTGGATTGACAAAGGAAATGCAAATTATATAATCCACAAATTGTTGATTCAACTGCCGCTGCATGGAACCCACTACCGCTGCAGAGACGCCTTCACCAAACAATAGCCTTGGAGAAGTCCGGTAATTGAGATGCACAGGTGAGTGCACAAATGTGCTTCAGTACCACCTTGCAGCAACAGTGGGTTTGGGCGATTCACAAACCCACCAGCCCTTGCCTCCAAAATGCTGGATTCCAGACGTTCGCCAAGTCGAGCAGTGTGTGTAGTCATTGCTCTCGTTTTAAGTTGAAGGGGGCAACATCGCGTTCCCGCCGTTAGATCTCGCCGTGACGCCGTGTCGGCGCTGACGAGCCCCACGAGACGTGCGTGCAAGGATGGCCGCTTGAGAGAGGAGAGCGGAGTCGCCATTTGTGGGCCTGGTTTGCATTGCAGGAGTCGGACGTAGCGCTGCCGAGCGTGCCCCTCCCCATCCGTGCTGGCGCCCTGCCATCATTCAGCTTTGGCCCTGTGGCCACCTCCACACCGGCCAACACGCGGTCTGCTGCCCTTGCCGCCGCCATCGGCAGCAGCAGCGGAGGTGGTGGTGGTGGTGGGAGTGGCTCTACTGACAAGGTGCTCATTCCACATCGCGCTGGACTTGGTGTACAATTATAGTGTTCAGTGAACATGTCGGTGTTGCCTACTGTGTGTCTGTAAACTGTGGTGTGCATCAGTCTGTTATCGGATGGTACTCTTCAACAGTGTACGGAGTGTATGGTGGTTTACATGCTTGTGTGTATCGCTTCATGGTGTGGATGGGAATGTACAACATACAATCATAGTGAACACGACAATGTCGTGTAAGCAAGTTGCCATTGGATAGCATGTATGTTTGTTGATCTGCTTTCGTACCGAACGTAGCCAACCGTGCTAATCGGAGGTGCATACACCACCACTGCCTAAACTCTTCGCCACCACGTGGTGCACACCGCTACTACATTTGTGTACCCACAAAATATACACCCGTGTACACCACCGCAGAGTACACACCAGTGCATTGCGTTCAAGGTGGCATCGTTGTCCTTGCAGACGCCGTTTGCGTTCACAACTCCGCCCGTCAAGGCCACCGAGATCGAGCAGCCGCCCACCAGCCAACCGGTGAGAGCCCTGCCATTAACACGTGGCACGTCGCCCGCAGGCTGCTTGAGATGAGCAATGCAAACACACGAGGGCTTGAACCTCGTTGAAAAAAGTGATCCCGGACGGTCTGCGATTTGATTCTGCGCGGCGTACATTTCAAACGTCCTTGTGGTACGCGCCAGCACATGTGTGCTTTTTCCCCATGTCATGAATGCGTGCGTGTGTGTGCGTGTGTTTTGCGGTACTTGCGTCTCTCTCTTCGCACGACCGGGGCTACATTGGTGCAGCCACCATTCCAGTTCAGCACGCCGGTCACTAAAGCTGGCCTAGTGACGACCCCTACCACCCTGCCCAGCTCCGGCACAGGTATGGCTTCTCGTGGCAGCCAGGAAACTCGTGTGGCATGACAAAACACATTCATTCCTGTGGAGGGAGCTGGTTGGAATGTTGGGTTGCTCGGTCAATGGCCAGGGTCAAGGGCAGCGTGGTGTATTCTGCAAATATGGCTGACTGTGAGAGCGGGCACAAGCCAGGCATGAGTAGGTTAAACGTTGAGTTTTATAAGGGCACCACGGGGTGACCAGCCCCTCCCCACCCAGCCCCACGCCTCCCACTCCCCACCCAGCCCCTCCCCACCCTCCCCTCTCCACCCAGCCCCACCCCTCTCATTTTTGGATGCACGATGGATGGACAGACACAATAATCTCCTGTGGGCTGGTGTAACCAGGAGGTTTCCTACCAGTAATAAGTAATAATTATCATCATATAAAACTAGACTTATTTTAACTGGGGAGATGTAGAAGAAGGATTTTGCTTTGATTGGCTGTTTTGCCTTTTGTCCGTCCCGTTTGAGTGCCAAATTATACGGCACGTGATGATTCATGGATTCGTTGATTTAAATGATCTCCTTCTGTGCATCTAATTGTGTGGATGAATGGATAATTGAGTTATTAATGTAAATCTTAGGCATTTTTTTTCCATTTTTAGCTGACGTTCAGAATGAACTCAGACAAAGACAGCACATGTGAGACACTACGAATGATTTGGCATTAAATGATTTGCCCTCATTGTAATTCAATGAAATATCACAATTCGGGATTGCGATTTCATTCGACCATCGATCTTTTTTCCAATATTGTCGTGAACTTATCACGTTCAATAGTTGCGTGAACCGCAGAGTGTCTTGATGCTCGCATCATGAGCTTAACGATTCTAATCGCAAAGTAGTACACTTTTACCTGCCTACAAATGAGATCGCAAGTACCGGTGAGACGGCACAACCAAAGGGAGTGGGACAAACGAGACAAAAAAAAAACGTGTTCAGGATTCGCATTTGTGAGTCCACGCAATCCGTCCAATGTTTGGTTTGTGCCGTGGTGCGTCTCCCCACCCCAGCGGCTGCAGGGTTCGCGTTCAGATTGCCCTCGGCGACACAGACCACGCCGGTCCCGTCGGTGGGCGTAGTGGCGGCGGCAGCGGCGCTGTCTGGCCACAAGGAGCGGAGTGGTGGTGCCACGTCCCCGGCCGGGGATCTCAAGGGATCAAAGGGGATGAGCAAGCGAAGCAATGGTACGTCCGTCAATTCTCTTCGACACGTTACAATAAAAAAGAATGTGTAGGGACTCTACTTATGAACATTCGACTTACGAACTTTGAGAGATACGAACAAACCTGTCCGTATGTCCAGTTGCCTGTTTGGACCGAGAGTCGTAAGGTCAACCGATGCGCAATAGAATGGCAGTGGTTGCATCTACATCTGCAGAACATGAAGACCCACCGGCATCTACATCTACAGGCTATTATACAACTTTTAAAGCCATTCTCCGTGTTTAGTGTACATGCCGCACAACATGTTTGGAATCGACAGGAGTAAAGTTGAACTTAAGAACAAATCGACTTACAAACGGACCTCTGGAACTTAGCTCGTTCGTAAGTAGAAGAGTCCCTGTATTTTGCCTTGCGGTATAACCTACATATCAATTGTGAACCAATTCTGTTTGGTTTAGCCGGCTTACTGTGAGCGACTCTTGTTTTGCTCATTTTGAGCCCAACTTTGCATCAAGTCCATGTCGGTTCCTTTAATTTACGGTAGTTGATTTTCGTTAGGAAGATGCTTAATAATTAATAATCGAGCCCCCCACCCCCCGTGGTTGTTCCTCAGATGAGGACAATGACTCTGAAGGAGGTCCCTTCAAGGCAGCCAAGACTCTCAAGTCTGGCAGTGTGCTCGACATCCTAAAGGCCTCTTCAGCACCCAAAGGTCGGTGACGATGGATCCACATTACAATGAAGCGTACAGAACCCGTGCATACTCGGCTGTCCGATACGAGCTTGAGGCTTCGTTAATGAGAAACGTCATGGTGCACACGTTGAAGCCCTTTGTGTCAATCCACCGCTGGATAAGGGCTTCCACACACCGTGTGGGTCGTGGTGCGCTATTTAACCACACTTCATGCTCGTTAGTGGGGGTTGATGGTGGTGAGCATAGATATTGAGTAGAGTATAGTCCAACCATGAATTTGGCTGCACGTCCCTCTGCTGACAACATTTTTCAGCAGGAGCCTGCAACACCTGCTGAGCACGTGATGGCCGCAAGTCCAAGCAATTATCCAGGCTGAAGCCTTCGCGGTTTCTGAGATCCGACGAGATCGGGCGCTTTCCGAGCAGTTTGGTCACAGGCTGAACATGACAACACTTGACGTAGTTCCCGTGGGTTTGCAGTGATTGTCACTGGAGCGACATGGCAGCCATGTCTGTGGTGGCATTTTAAACGGGATTACACGCTTTTATTTAACTCGCCGTGTGTTGTCGTTGTTGTCGTTGTTGTCGTTGTTGTTGTAGCCTCAAATCTTATAACTCAATTTTAACCCACTTCCCAATGTGTTATCGACTGCAAACTTGGTATACTTATGTCATACTGATGACAATACTATATTCTATCATAAAAAATATATTTTTTTAAACATTCTTCTTTATATGTTATGTTTCGGCTTGGGTCTAATTGTCCACGGTCAACTAACGTTGATTGTAATTGCCCCCACGGTCCCTTGTGTTATGGCAAGCTTCGGGGCCACTTCCTGGAGTCGTGGAGTTCTTCCATTAATACAGTACATTCATGTACTTTTTAGTACATTTCATAAAAGCGTGTTTAAAAAAAGTTTTTCAAATATAAATAATTTTTCATCCTCATTTAACGAAGCTGCAAACCCGTATCGGACAGCCCAGCGCGCACAGCCTCGGCGTGTATCTAGAAAAACAACAACAACTTTATGGGTTGCGTCTTTAAGCGTGACACCGCCTCTGCCGACCTTCCCTATCGCGATGCCATTAGTCGGCAGTCTGCTGTTGAATGCTCAACTCTTCACGTAGTCACACATGCATTTGCCTTCTGAATTCTTTCCCAGGGCCAGGCTTCGGCGAGGCGGCGGCGGCGAGCGGCGGTAGTGGTGGCGAGGTGCGACCAACCGCCTCTGGGTTCGGAGATCGCTTCCGGCCGCCCGAGGGCTCGTGGGAATGCAACGCGTGCATGGTGCAGAACCAGGCGTCGCACGTGACGTGCGTGGCCTGCCAGGCCTCCAAGCCCACGCCCAAGCGAGCCACAGCCCCTTCCAGCATTCCAGCTGTGAGTAGGACGCAATCCTAACCCTGCAGCACTCGCTGGCTGTTTTGACTGATTGATTGCAAGGGCCTCTGGGTATATGACTTTGAGAATTCAATTATGGATGTCAAGAATACTGAACCAGACACACAGAGAATCCTAGCTTTGATTCTGGGCAGGCGTTCGCCGTGGTGGCGAGATGTTGCCTACCTCGCCTGGTATGCAGGAGTCGTGCATTCGATCCCGACCCTGACGCCTGCTGTATATTTGGAGTTTGCATGTTCTCCCAGTGGTCGCGTGGATTTTTCTCTGGATCTTCCGGATTTTACCTCAACATTTAGAAACATGCGTTTGGAGTATTTGGCTGCTATATATTTCCACATGATAAGCCACTTCGTTGAGCTTTATTTTCGGCTAAGTCGCTTCTGAAAAAGAGCTACATAGCTCAGTGGACATTGCCTGGTAACATAAAATAGTGTGAGTTTATAAAACTGGGTTTCTGAGGAGTTGGGCAGTGGCTGCGCACATAAAACAATACATGTAATATGATGTTTGAATTTGGTATGAACGATCGCTGAAGGCTGAATATCTATAGACTGATGGATGGGTGCTTTGTGAAGCGATTCTCTGCAGATTGTAAAGGACAAGTGCTGGGTGAGAGGCCTCTTCATAAGACTGCAGAAGTGGCGTCGTATTCGAGGGTCGTTGCTTGACATGTGATCGTTTGCGGAGTTGAGGGGTTCCAAAGTTTCATCACTTTGCGGCAGTACTCCCAATGATAGCAGTTATGTTCGAATCCATGATAGGGTCAAATATACCGCATTTATAAAATAAAATGTACCACAATTTTGACAATGTACCAATTGAACACATCCGTTCACGATACATGCGTCGAATCACGTGTGAAAGTGTTAACATTTTGTGAAGATTGTAATGTTAAATGTACACTAACAGTGCAAACGAAACTAATGCAGAAACAAAATTATAATTAAGACAATTAACTTGTTCTAAAAGCATATCCCTACCTTGAATCATGTCGGTTCATCAAATCGCCGTGGAGGTGAATTGTATGGTGCATTGTATGTATTCTGGGGAAGTTGATGGAGATTTAATGGAAATAATTTACTTTGAGGGCTTACGGATATCTCTTCACCAAAGCTCTCTCCAACGGCACACGCCCGTCTTATGTATGATTTCAAAACTGGGCTCGTTGTCACCACAAGACTTTTGTAAATTGTGATGTGGATAAGCAGGGCCAGGATAATAAGCCAAGCTTAGCAAATATCTTTAAATGAAATTGCCATTGTTTCTGTACTGTACACCTAGTTTGCATAAACAACGTTATTTTTTAAATGATGCCACATGCATTGGAAATTGGTGGGAGCGGTCTCCGAACAGCCTTGCAATATCCATTTACGTATGTCTAAGTTTTGGTACCCACGTGCTCGCCTAACCTGACGACAGGCAATGAAGACGACTACGATGGGGCCTTTTCTCAAGCAGGCTGTTAATGGGGCGGGCGGGGGATCTTCCATTGTCACCGTTTTGTTGCAGGCCAACGCCAAACTGCCGCAGGCTGCGGGGCCCTCGCTCGCCGAGCAGTTTGCTGCCCCTCCCGGCTCGTGGGACTGCGACACGTGCATGGTGTCAAACCGCGGCGAGAGCTCCCGCTGCGTGGCGTGCGACACGCCGCGCGCCGGCCTCGCCCCCAAGCGGTCCGCGCTCGCCCCACCGCTGTCCACCTCCTCCTCTTCGGCCGCCTCCACCTTCTTCTCGAGCGGCGTTTCCACCGCTCCCGCCTCGATAACGAGAGCGCCCGCATCATCGGTGCCGCCGCCTGCGTACACAAAGCCCTCGGCAGCCGCCGCCGCCGGCGCCTCCAGCCTGGCCTCCCTGTTTGTCCGGCCAGAGGGCGCGTGGGACTGCGATGTGTGCATGGTGCAGAACAAGGCCGGCAGTGGCTCGTGCGCGGCCTGTCAGACCGCCAAGTCCGGTGAGCCCTCGACGCGTCACTCCGTCATCATCGACGTCATCGGTAGTCACCATTGGAACCTCATTTTCCAGTAAAAATATGATAATTGTTTTTTTACCCTTCTATCTGGCAACCAAACTGACACCTTTTTACAAGGAGTCATGTTTGCATAGACCACAATACCTGCAGTCATAATGCAAACAAAAAACACAACTCTGATAATGTGCACTGTCCTTGAAGTTGATTGGTCCACACCCGAGACAGCTTTCCTTAGAGCCTAGTCTCACATGGGTTGGACCAGATGACGCCAAAAAAACTATCAATTGTCATCGGTAGTGTCACCAACACACGTCGTTAGCAGCAGCTTCACGGTCATTCGTTATCACCCGCTGGCCAGCTCCTTGGCTGTCTATCATCATTATCAATTGGCATAACCGTCAGCAGTGTCATCATCATCTTTTTCTCATCATCGTACGTTAACCTCATCGGTATAATCCATTCGTTGACCATCGTCAAGCACACAATCATTAGTTGCAATCCTTTTTTTCGTGACGATGTTTAGTAGGCCCTTCCCCAAGTAGCCCCATGCATACCAAGTCATGGGATCGGGTCCCAGTTTTTGTTGCAACATATTTACGTTTATACTATCTGATGACGGACACTTGTGTTGTGCCCGAAACGTCGTGATTTATTTTATTTTCTACCTACGTGACTTTACCGAAAGAACCAAATAGTATTGGATTCCTGCAGTCACGAAAGCTTCAAATCAAGATATTTACGTTTAACGTTGAAACATTGCACAAGACAATGGATTGAATCCGCGAAGCCTACGTCACTGGGCAGCAGAGGAAATCGAGGCTCTGGGTGCCGTTTGAGCTATCGCAACACTCAGGACAAGGATTTGGGAGTGGTGCGAGTTGGCAAAGGTTTGCTTGAGGAATCTGTAGCTTAGTCTGAGTCACATGCTGCTTGTGTCGGGTTAATTTCCACAAATGTTCCTGTCACACAATTCCCAGTATCAGATTGCACAAAACAACTTGAGTCAAGTATATGGGGTTAACTATGGGATTAAAGGGAACATTTGTCGATTGATCATTGTTGTAATTTTAATGACATCATCAGAAGACTTAAAACACTGTGCTTGGCACAACTTGGGTCCTGTGCGTGGAGTGATGACACGTCCCGTTTCCCATCCCTGCAGGTGGCAAAGCCCCCATGTCGTCCGCGGCACCAGCAGCCACCCCGGTCGGTTTTGGAGACAAGTTCAAGCGTCCTGCGGGCTCGTGGGACTGCGACACGTGCATGGTGTCCAACTCGGCGAGCACCGACGTGTGCGCCTGCTGCTCCACCGAACGGCCTGGAGCCGCCCGGCCCTCAGGTGAGAATTCCACCCACCGTCATCTGCCCCCACCACCCCAGCTTCAACACTCGCCTTCACACCGCCAGCCACTCGGCCACCCAGCCCTTGGGTGCGAACCCTGGCCCCACTGCTGGGACCTCGCTGCCCCACACACCCCCAGCCCTGCCACCCATTTCGCTCCGGCAGTTGGTCCCACCACCTACCCAACCCACAGGTGTAAACCCTCAGCCAACAACCTCCTCTTTTCCCACCATTCACCCACCCCCACCATGCGCCTGGCCCCACCACCCACCGACAGCACCCATTCATTCTCCTTGATGGCCTGAATGTTAATAGGCTGTCTCAACATCATTGGTCCCCACAGTCTGCAAGGCTCATCGACCTTTGCATTTGTTTCAGCAGCGCAGGCCGCAGCGCAGCCCGACCGGCCGACATTCTCATTCGGCCTCTCGTCAGACGACTCTGCCGCCAGTGCCCTGCCCAGCGCCGCCGCCACCTTCTCGTTCAACAGCCAGGGCGGCTTCAAGTTCGGCACGGGCTCCACATCGGCCAGCAAAGACACTACTACTACTGCCCCTTCCTCAACCGCTGGTGCTAGTGGCGTCACGGACACGAGTGGCCTGGCAGCAGCAAGGGGCTTCACGTTCGGCACTACCGCCCCAGCCAACGACTCCACCGTGACTTTTGGCGGCGGTTTCAAGCTCCCGTCAAGCGACGCCGCGGAAATGGCACAGACGTCCGCCGCCACCTTCACGTTCGGTACCAAAGTTGGTGCCGGTAACTCCACCGTCTCCGCCGCCGCCACCACCGATTCATCTGCCGCCGCGTCGACCGCAAAGATCGCAGAACCGAAGGGCCCGAGCGGCGGCACTTTTCAGTTCGGCGTCGCGACTCCGTCGTTTGGACAAAATGCGCTGGCCGGCGGTGCAGATGCCAGCAAGCCCGGGGCGGGGTTCGCGTTCGCGCCCGACAAAGAGGCGGCACCGGCCACGTTTGGCGGCTTCCAGTTCAAAACGAGCGGCGCCGCAGAGCAGCCGGCGGCCACGGCGACTTTCGGTGCGTTCGGCGGCGTGAAGCGTTCGGGCGGCGCCGGGCCCGAGGGGAAGGCCGTGCCGCCGTTGGCGACGGGGTTCAGCTTCTCCAAAGAGGCGGCGCAGAAGACGGACGCAGGTTTGTGCGCGACACCGATCGGCGGCGTGCTTTTTTATGATGATGGGTCGTCGGTGTTGCTTCCCTTTTGGAAAAGGATTGCGGTTGTCGGTTTGAATATCGCAATGGGCAAGTGGTAGTTTCTGTGTTGCTGTTGGCATAGCTCGGATGACAAATATGAAAGTTATTGTCGGCAGAAATGACAATTGTAAAACGGTATTTGTGTTTGTATATTTGTATATACGGTAGCCAATATAAACAGTTCACGAGGTCTGTACTGGTATCCACCGCGATGAGTTGCAGCATGCTGTGTTGTTTCGCATATATGCGTTTTTGATTAATAGGGAACACATTTCTTTATTAGGGAACCTATTTCCGTTACATTCTTTGGACAAAAATAGCAAACACAAATGTTGCACAATTTTAAAACGAGGAATTCACTGGAAGGGTGGAACGCAGGCTATTTGGCTACGTAACACCATCCATAATGTGCATGTCTAGCGTGTACCACCGGAGATCCCTCCACCATGTGGTGAGTTCTCTCTCAAGCTGGACTCGACACTGGTGGTGTAGTTGCTTGAATCCCATGGTGAGGCCCTATTAGATGAGTAATCTGATAGGAAGAGGCCGAGGAGATGATACCACCAGCACCACCACGAGTATTAACTGGCATTCACTGCTACAAGGAGCTGGGCCAGCAGAAAAAGCTGTCTTTGGATATATATTTTAAAGAGTTGTACAATCAAGACAATGTTGAGAAAAGAGCCCAGAAGAAAAGCTTCCTTTGGGGAATATTTCTGTGACTTTAGCTTCATCGTCAGATGAAGAGGCAGGTGATCCTGCTTTTTCATCTGCATAACTCCACCCCCTGCTCACCCAACTAGGCATCATCATTGATCAGCAAACTTTGAAACTATCTCTGGCAAGTTTTAAATAGTTATTTGTATTTAATATTAGCTTAAAGGTATGTTGTCTTGGTGTTTGTTCCAGAAATCTCGGCTAGGAACAACCACTGATTTTACCATTATGGCGATGGGAAATTAGAGTTTGCTTTGAATAATTTAGATTTAAGTAGTATTTCCCAGGAACACATTTCTTATTTATCGTGGAGTATTTTGGTATTTCTTTACTCTGACAACTATTGTCACCTGACCCCTACACATTTCCTGTACGCTCCCCCCCCTCCATCTCCGCTGTTCCTTTTGTAGATGAACCAACAGCCAAGAAACCATTCGGCTTCGCCACCATGAACCCATCCGCTGCGGCCACCCCGGGCCTTTTTGGTGCCGCGACCCCTGCGCCCTCCTCGTCTGCTGCAGCGCCCGCGAGCGGCAGCTCCTTCTCGTTCGGCACGAAGCCCATCGCGTTCGGCGTCCCCGTCAAACCGGACGCGCCCGCGGCCAACGCCGGTCCCTCCACCTCCATTGGGGCTGCCCCGCCCTTCATGTTCGGCCCCGCGGCCTCCGTGTCGGCCGCCAAGCCCGACCCCGCCGCGACCGGAGCCGCCCCCGCCTGCTCGTCCGCGCAGATTGCGCCGTTCGGCTTCGCCCCTTCGGCTAAGCTCGACAAGCCTACCACGACCTTCTTGTTCGGGCCGGGCCACGAGTCCCAGCAGCAGCTCGCGGGCACCGCCGCTAACAACTCTGCCACGCCGGTGGCGCCGTTTGTGTTTGGCAAGACGGACCCGGGCGTGACCAACGCGACCGCGACCAACGCGGCCGCGGCACCGCCGGTGTTCGGCGCGTTGCCCAAGACCGACGCGCCGGCCGCAAACTCCGGCGTCGCAGGGGCTCCGGGGTCGGGCGGCTCCACGTACATGTTCGGACCCTCGGCCGGGAGCGCGGCCAGCGCCGCCACGGCCGCCGTCACACCCTTCGGATTCGGTGGAGTCACGGGCGCAGCCAGCTCCAGCGGCGCAGGTCTGCGGCGAGAGCTTGGCGGCTTGCTCACCGTCACCACGCTCGTCTGCGGGAACTCGCCAGCACGGCACATTTCACCCGCGCTGCACATGCGGCACAACGCTCGCGAACACTGGCGCTCGTTTTGTTGCCTATGCTGCGTGGTCATCACCAGTGCTCGTCAGCATGACGCGCCACACTTCCAGCATGCTCAACACTCATGTGACGTGCTCAACACTCAAATGCACCACAGTCTTTCGTACTCAATGTGCATTACATTCAGTCGCTCTCTTGGACCTTGTGCTGGTCCTCCAGATATAGGAAGATGTAACCCACATGGCAAATGGAAGTTTTTGTGTATTTATGTAGATTGGGAAGTGTGGTCCTGGGACTTCAACACATTAGAATTTTTTTAGTGAGGAAAGTAAGACGTCGCAATCACGGTCAGGTTATGTCACACGAGTGTGCAATGATGACATGCTCTGGTCTGTGTTTTCATTTAACGAAGCGTCAAACTCATGTTGGGCAGTGCCAGAGCACAGATGGTTCCATCTTCCTCCAAATAAATGCACCACCACCACGCTTAATTATTCCCTCGGCGCCAACTCCCTTTCAGACTCGTTGCCGACCTGCTAACGGGCTAATCATGTTTACATAATTATATAACTCGACAAATGGCTGCTTGGAAAAATTGAACTAATTAAATTAAGATTCCAGCTAATTCCTTTGCAGCGTGGTTGGCAAAATGAGACGGGAATAGGATGAGGGAATGAGCACATCAGACACGGGGGGGGGGGGGGGGGGGGAAAGGCAAATGGCTGGAATGCAGCAGGCAAGACCAAAATGTTATGGTCACATGAAGGGGATTGTGGAAATTTCCCTTGTCAAAAATCAGGGTCCAGGACAAGAAAAAGGTGGGAAGATTGTGTCCTTGGAGGCTTCGGAGCAGAACGCGACTCGGCTGGAGGCAGAGAGAAAACAGGAAGCTGGGAAGTCATATAGAATAGGAGCGTGAACGGGAAACAAAATTACGGAAAAAATTAGTAACGATAAACGGTAGCGCATGACGATGAATGATAACTATTTTGGTGGACAATGCAGGTGATGATGAACCTAATAATTTAATTGTTAATTCTTGGATGCATTGGCTTGCGATTTACACACAGGTCATCTTTACCAGAGTAGATCTCTACCCCTGCTTGCGAAGCTGCACTAACCGTGACGGGGCGCGCGTGTGTGTTGTGTGCGATGTGTTTTTCCGCGCTTACCACGCTGCTGCTCCCCTCCCCCCCGCTCTTCCTCTGCTACAATCCAGGCTTCGGCTCCGGCTCGAGTTCCATCTTCTCGGCGCCCGGCAGCTCCCTGCCCACGTTCGGCACCGCTTCATCCGCTTCCCCGGCGGGCGCCGCTCACGCCTTCGGCACCCAGCCTGGCAGCAGCGGCGGCGGCGATGGCGGGGGCGGCCCCGGCGGGGCACCCTTCAGGCAGCAGCCGCCCACCCAGCCGCCTGCGTTCGGCTCCTCGGGGCCCTCGCAGTTGGCCCCGCCAGCTTTTGGCTTCTCGGCCAATCAGCAGCAAGCGCCCGCGTTTGGCTCGGGGGCAGCGCCCGCCGGAGGGCAGCAGCCGTTGTTCTCGGCCGCGGTGCAGAAGCCGGCGTTCGGACCTGGTGGCGCCGCTGGGCAGCCCGCTGGTGAGTGGCAGTGCACGCCGAGCATCTGAAGACCTCGTCGGTTCACCGATTCCAAAATCCATTCTTGCACTCCATTTTAGGGTAAAGAACAAAGTGTTAGAGAATGTGATGCACGCATCGAATTTTGAGTGCGATTTAATTAATTGCGAATTTGCTAAATTATATGAAAACAATGACAACCCATGTGGCGAGGACCCTGGGGCCAGCCCAGGACACGCCGGCAGGACGATGTCGCTCAGCTGGCCCCGGAACGCCTGGGAATTCCCCAGGAAGGGCTAGAGTCTGTCGCCAAGGAAAGGGAGGTCCGGACGCACTACTCGGCATGCTGCCGCCGCGACCCTCACCAGGACAAGCGGACTGAAAACGAACGAACCAACGTGTGCCGTTGTGGGCACAATGGGATATTGATTTTCATTGTATTGGGCACAGACAGACAAAATTTTACAAAAGCTGAGGAGTGCATCAAACGAAGTAATTGCGCGTGATGCTTGCTTGGCATTGCACTGAGAAGTAAAGAGGAAAGCACGCAGTGGCATCGTATTGAGTGTTCAAGCAAGTGAGCTTGGGCAGGACTCTTCGCTGATGGGGATTTTGGCCGATGGATCAGAGCGGTGACGGAGTGGCAGCTATTGAAGAGAGCAAACCCAATAGGACAACCACTGCAGAGATGGAACATTGAGAACCAGACTCGTGCTCGCTCACCTTTCTTGGTGTTACATTTACTGACGGTGTATTCAGGTGTCGAGGTGACGAGATGTTAACGCCTTCGCCCGGTATTCAGGAGGTCGTGGGTTTGATCCTGACCCTGACGTCTGTATATTTGGAGTTTGCGTGTTCTCCCCGTGGGCGAGTGTTTTTTCCAGGTCGTGCAGTGTTTCCCTCCACATTTAGAAACATGTCTTTTAGAGTTTTTGGCTGCTTTAAATGTTCATATAAGCCGCTTTGTTAAACTATCATTTGTGGCCGGGTCACTTCTGAAAGAGCGAAATAGCTCAGTGGGGGTCCTACATTGGGACGCATCTCCCAACTTTTTCTCAATGACAATTATTGAGCAGATGCAGATGTCATTTACCAATGCCGTGTCGTCGTACGCGGTCAGGCTCCGGGAGTTTCCAGTTCTCTGGCGCTGCCCCGGCAGCAGCAGCTCAAGGCTTCAACTTCGGAGCAGCGAGTCCTGCGCCGGGTCCCAGCGGGAGCAGCTTGACGTTTGGAGGGAGCCCACAGCAGGCGCCTGGCACCTTCCAGTTCAACGCCCGTCCAGGGTTCAACATCGGGTGAGCTCCCCCCACCCCACAACTGTTCACAGCCACGTTCTTAAGTCCTACTTTCTCATCGGCACGTAACATTTGTTTTTGACCCAGCTCCTGTTTAATCTTGAACAAGGATTGTTAGAAAACTTCTTAATTTATCGAGTAAATTTGGTTATTACGCTCCAAAAATATGCGTAGAATTGTGCAGTTAATAATTTTAGAGTTGTAATAGTACTTTATTTTGTTACATGCATAGATTTTATACATGAACAGCAACACCAAATTAATTTATTTTGCAAATTAAATTTTGCGGCTTCTTAAATCATGACAATTCATCAAATCGTGGAGGGTCAGTGACTTCCGACCTTAATAATTGTCAGCTGGGGTAGCTTAGAGATTAACATTCACCCTTTCTGCCCCACATGCGGAGGAATAGCTATACGCCTGCAGGGGGCAGTACAGGATTTCTCAGGCTGCGCAAGACGATCGCATTTAGCAAGCGCACGCCTGTGAAGGGCAATTGCTTCGTCATTGAGGTCGCTTGTGAATTGGGAGGGGGGGGTGGGCGCGCAGGGTCGGCCCGTTCTGAAGTATTTCTGTGTCCCCCCCACCCCCTCGCTTCGTTCTGCTTTCACAGGATGTCCGGGAGCCCAGCGAACCAGTTCCAGGGTAGTTCTAGCGCCACCCTCAAAAACCGTAAATACAAGACCGCAGTTCGCCGCCGCAAGTAACGTGCGGGGGGGTGGGGGAGGCCCTCTCCCCCTGGCCGCCCGCGCTGCATGCCCCGCACCGCCGCCATCTCCCTCGCAAGCAACGCCGGAGCCCCTCGCTGGGGCTTTATAACCGATTACCGAGACGGCTTTTTATCGAGGGCTAAATAGAAGAACTCTTAGTACATGAGATTTGTTTTTTAAAGCAAGCAAACTAAATCGAACACGTAATTAGAACTGGTCGAGCAAGGCTTTTAGGCTTTGCATGGACGTGTGGCGGCACAGGCGTGCGTGTGACGCGTCCCCCCCCAGTCCGTGCTTGCGATGAACCCGTTCGGCACGGTCGCAAACGGCGTGCGTCGGCGAGCTCTCGCTTGTTGGCAGGAGTAGCTGGGGCCAGAAATAAAGACAAGGGGAGGGAAAAAATACGTGGACAGTGACTTTGGGTTATAACCGTGCCCCACGTCTTCGGCCGCATTTCTTTTTGAACGCTTTGTCGTTCATTTAAGTGTCAGCATTCAGCTTTGGGCCCGTGGTATTTCCTCGTTTGAGTCTGAGACGGTCTGCTTGTGCGTGCGTGGTGCAGGGTGACATAGGTGTTGTTGTTGGGGCGTGCGTGCTTGCGTGCACGCGAGCTCGTAGCAGTGCGTTGAGAAATGCCGCGCGTGAGCGCACTGGAGCGTTGTTGTTTTTCTCCGAGCAATTGGGGAACGAGTGCAAGTTGGGAAAGAGTGGATGCGTGCAGAGTCTAAAAGGGGGCTGCCGTTGTGAATTTTAGCTTATTTTATAAATGGTTGCGAATGGCACTGCATGTACATAAGCAACTCTTGGTTTTTTTATGCTTACACTCTTGTAATTAAAATTTGATTTTACGTTTTTCTTTCGTGTTTCTATTCCTTTGCCATCTTGTAGTTGTGGAGTATTTTTTTTGCTTTAATTTTCCTTTCTTGGCAATGTCTCTTTCCCTCCCCCTTACCAAAATGTTGCAAAGAAGAACCCCCTCCATTATTCAAAGTTGCCTATATCCATTGGCTGTGCGTTACTGGGTGGAAAATTGGTATATTATGTAAATTATCTGCTCTTTCGTCTCTCCTCGCGCTGTGAATGGATGAATGCCGTTATTGGCTGAAGTTAAATTTAAACAAAAATAAAAAATGAAAAAAAAATAGGATGCGTTTTGGACCCCAGAGAAATCCCTGCAGTTGTACAAAAATGAAGTTTTATTTTTTTACGCGATTTATAAAATGGACAGTGGTAACTTTGGATAATAAGGACAATGGTGATGCGAGTATAAAGCTTTGTTTATTGACACTTACTATCAGTTTTCGCTGATGTAATTGCCTCCAATAAATATTATTAAAAGTAAAATCCTGAGCCGTGCCTGCTGTGTGTTTGGATTTTCCTGTGGTTACTTTGCCTCAATTAGAAGGCAGTCTCTGTCGTACACAAACTCACGATACCAGCCATAGCCACGTCTTAAGTCACATGACATGCTGAGGATTTTGAGACGCAAACCGGAGGAAATCTGGCTTCTAAGCGTCGTCGTGATGGTCCGATGGAAATTAACCAACATCTTTCACTGCCGTCGGTGCTGTGTTCTAATATCCACTAACCACATCAAGTTATGAATTGGTGTTGATTATAAGTGTGTTGGAAAGCAACGTATTTGCTATATATAGACGTGTGCCTCTTAAAATAGCAATTCATCATTCTTTACGTAATGACTGCAAGGTTGTGGCATCAAGATAACTTCTTGGTTGATTTTTGTGTAATTGACGTTACAGCGCCTTAACTGAGATGAATAGTTCTGTATATTAAAATCTGAATATTTATAGTGAAATAAAGGCTGTTGATTTGACGTTTGAGTTGCAGGTACTGTATATATATTTATATTTTGTTTGGATATTCCTGCACGCATTCATTTCTACTTGTCATTGACACCGAGTGACTGCAAGAGTGAGCGAATACTGCGAGGCACACAAGGGACGACAGACGAGCAAGGGATGGTGGTCCGCTATGTTTTGAGGGGTTATCCACCAATTGAGTTATGTTATGTTGGAGGAAACGGGAGCATCAGGAGAATAAAATATTTAAAAATACTTTTTTAAAACACTCTTTTTAAAAATGTACTGTCCGAGCTGCCCCTCCACCTGCCCCCATCGCCCCTCCCCTCCTTCCACATGCCCCGCCCCTGGGCGTGGCTCCTCGAGGCTTGCCGTGACGTAAGGGACCGTGGTGATTGACAGGCAACGTGAGTTGAGCGTGGACAATTAGAGCTGTTAAAAATATTGTTTTAAAATATATTGTTTTTAATGATAGAATATAGTATTGTCATCAGTATGACATACCTATACCAAGTTTGCAGTCGATACGACATTGGGAAGACGGTTGAAATTGAGTTACAAGATTTGAGGATACGACAACAGCGAGTTAAAAGCGTGTAAAATGTTAAAAATATATATTTTTAATTTGAATGATAGAATATAGTCTTGTCATCATGACAAGTATACCAAGTATGCAGTCGATAGCACATTGGGAAGTTGGTCAAAATTGAGTTACAATATTTTTTGAGGATACGACAACAGATGGAGTGAGTTAAATAAAAGCGTGTAAAACCCTGCACGTGCAAGCGTGAAGCTCGCTAGCTCTCGACAGACGGGATCCGGTGGAAGTCAGTATTTTTGCTGCACTGCCTTCCCCTGGCAAGCCAGGCTATGGCACCCCCACGGGAAGGGAGTTTCACAACATTTGTGCAATCCACGAACCCTCCTCACCTCTACTGCCGTGCTGGATTACAAGCGTGCTCCACCACTGCCGAGCCACCACTGTGGAACACTCTTGCCAAGCTTATCGTGTAGCCTCAACAATACATTTTAATCGGGCAGTTGTGGTAATTCATCCACCAGGCCACTGCCTCCTGTAACGCACTGCAACTGGCGCTACAATGAGAAATCTCACCACCATGAGGGCGTTACGGTGGCGAGATGTTGACTACCTCTCCTGGTATGCAGGGCGTTGTGGGTTCGATCCCGATCCTGACGCTCAGTGTCTGCCTGGTCTCACTGTGGTCGCGTAGATTTTTCTCCAGGTCCTCAAGTTTTTCTCTCCCACATTTAGAAATATGCTTTTCGAGTATTTGGCTGCAATACATTTCCACGTGATGAGCCACTTTGTTAAACTATCACTTGTGGCCAGGAGACTTCTGAAAGAGTTTTAGAACTCGGTGGGCCTTGTCTGGTAAAATAAAAATGGTTGGAAATCGCTGTGTTGCCTCCACCGTCTTCAGGCACATGCCTAATGCTGACTTGTGTTTTGAGTGGTGCAAAGGGTTTAAATAAAGTGATGAGGATATGAAGACATGTCCTGTGACGGCGGTGGACATGTTATAAGTATTCTATGCTTTTGGTATGGAGGCTTCATTCACAACATCGATAGGACACACATTTGCAGCAACAGTAGAATGTCTCTTAGAATATATAGACTTAGCTGCATTCAATGCGCTGGTAAAATGTCCAGAACTTGAAGTGAAAGTTATCCTTGAACCGCACTCGTCGGAGATCCGTGGCAGTTCGCGAGAGGAGTTTTTCACAACCTTCTGGGCACAAACGGAACCTTAAGTTTGAATGCTCGGACGGTCTTGCGGGGAATCCGATTGTACGGATTGGAGTAATACGCAGCGTTCCATTTTTAACCACAAGGGGTCACACGTGTGACACGGAGCCTGCTCGCAGACTGCCATGGCATTGCCTGCCATCCATCACGACGATCGGTATCGCTGCATGGCATGACAATACCCGGGACTAGGGGATCACAATCCCAGCGAAACAGCCGAGTTGAGTTTATTCAAACATTACCCACCACGTGCATTTCCGGCAGAGGTCGCAAACGGGTTTTGATTCCTTACCCGTACCCGGCCGCACCAGGGTCGCAAACGGGTACCCGTACCGGGCCGTACCCTACCCGTACCTGGCCGGATACGGGTAGGGTACGGGTATCGGGTACCTGATTGCGACCTCTGGGATGAAGCCATGTTGCAGGCGCGAGTGGGTTGATTCTAGGAACTTGAATTGTGAGAAGAGACAAGACGTTGGAAAATGAGTGACAAACGGTGACTCACCAGTGACTCACGGCCTACCCGTACCCGGCCGCACCAGGGTCGCGTACGGGTAGCCGGGTATCGGGTAGGGTACGGGTATCGGGTACCCGGTTGCGACCTCTGATTTCCGGGCAGGTGACTGCAGTCGTCGAGTGGGGGGCTGCTTCCAAGCCGGTCAAGGCTTTTATTCCTCTGGGGTAGACGAACTCTGGTACCTTCACGTTGTGGGCAAGTCTGCAGTCTGTGGTCTTGTAGAAAGACTTTGCCATTCCATTGGAATGTGGAATTTCCACCACCGAGTCAGCGCTCCAATTGAGTGGGAACCCAATTGTATTTCTCTCAAGTCTCCGTAACTTTAGGATCACATGCTGGTAATGCTGCCAGCTGGTTATAGTACAGACAGTTTAATGCACGTACTAAAGTTTTACACTTTTGTGTCATTTAGCAAAGAATGCACCCTCAGATGTTGTTACCCCGAGGGTGCATGCAACACTTTTTAGCGGCACCACACTGGCGAGATGTTAACTACCTCGTCTGGTATACAGGTGGTCGTGGGTTCGATCCCAACCCCGACGCCTATATATTTGGAGTTTGGATGTTCTACCCGTGGTCTCTTGGTTTTTCCCTGGGTTCTCTGGTTTTTCCTTCCACATTTATAATCATGTGTTTAAGAGTATTTGGCTGATTTAAATGTCCCCACGTGATAAGCCACTTTGTTGAGCTGTCATTTGTGATGTCCAGGTCATTTCTGAAAAAGAGCTTTCTAGCTCAGTGGGCCTTACCTGATCAAAAACAAAAGAGACCCATCATGATATAGGTCGTATACATGTTCCAGGCTCTTACGTGATCTTATACAAGACTGTTTACCGTGTCTGTGAGAAAATGTACATTATTGATTATTGGGTTCTTCCAGGGCTCTGGGTCCCTTGGTTTGAAGGGTGGTGGCTGCTGTCGTTCTGCTGTGTGTACTCTCTGGGCAACTGTAGATGAGTTTGCATAGAATCGTGGGGGACTGTAAGTCCTCTCATGCAGATACGTGGAAAAAAACTTTCAAATTACAAATGACTGGATTAGTGTAATCGAGATACACATTACCAATTACTTGAAGTTGTATACTTTACCAATAACAAATGGAATTAAATTACACATTTGAATTGCATGTTATTGAGATGTCCATCTGTCGGACTAATATTTGGCCATCATCCTTTGGGACCAAAAAGCGAGTTTATTATGTTTTGACGCCTTAAAGAGTTTCAAATAACGTCCGTGTGTTCACACGTATTTACCAATTCTCAGGCGAAGCATGCAATGGCTAAATCACTTATAACTGAATATCTCTAAGAGTTGCTCATCATTGGCCAGACGGAATCAAAGTGTTTAACAAGAGAAGCAGGAAAGTCGACACTTCTCGCGAGTCGTGTCTCAAGCGAGGACCCAGGGCTGTTCAGAATCCGAATCTTTATTTATCTTGGAGAAATCCGATGAGCTATGAAGCTATTTCGTCTCTGCCCAGTCGTGGAGTTGATGGTCCCCCAGCTGAGCTGTTGCCACAGCAGTGAGGGTGAGCGTCTGCGCGTGTGACCGAGAGGAATGGGGAGAGATTTTGGTGCTTCGGCGGCGGGAAGGGAGTTGTTTTGCAGCACGGGGCAAATTGACCGACATCAAACATTGAAACGCTCCTCCACAGTTGTGGGAACGGTTTCTTGGGCGGCTCCCAACCTCATCAGCGGCGGTCGCTCCTCCACCCCCAGCGATTCCCATCTCCCCACCCCTCTCTCTCCCTTCGCCCGTTCCCCAGCAGCAGCAGTAGCAGCACCCCCCAACCAAAGCCGGTGGAGCGGGCGGGCGTTGGCTCCTTGAAGGGCGCTCAGCTCGCGCGCGCAATCGCACAAACACGAGGCACAAAAGGGCAGTCACCCAGGGACAAGGCAAGCTGCTGTGCTCCCTACAGACCCCGGGGGGGCACCCAGCAGTGCCCCAGCTGTGTCTCTACAGCTGGGCGTGGGAGGGGGCCAGTGGCTCCTCGGGGAGCATCAATCAGTCGCTCCTTTCATTGCGGAGCAGGTGAGAGGCGAGTGACAGACGGGATCTCTGACGATTTGGCGGAAGGGCTGCTGCTGTTGTCGGTGTCGTGGCCGAAGATTACGAATTGTCACTTGTTCTAATTAATTGTTTCACGCGTTTATTTACAAAATAATCTTGTCTACGCACCGGTGTACAACAAGTGATTTTTTAAAAAGCAATTATCTCAAGAGAACAAATTTTCAGGTCAAAATTGGAACAAAAGTTTTTTCTGCAATCTTAACAAATGCTCTCCGGCGTGAGCACCCCCCCCCCCCCACGCTTCAATAAGAATACAATGGTCGTAGTGATATAGTGTGAAATTACCTAATCACAGCGTGTGCTGCTGAGATTAAAAAAGGAAAAAGAAACCCCACAATTATGTCGGAGAATGGATGGGCGAGTTAAAACGTTGGGCCAATACGTCATCCTGGACGGGAACACGAAGCAGTCGCCAGGCAGATGCGAGAGACATCTCACAACAACACCGGGTCTTTTTTATATTATTGCACGCTTTTTTATTTAACTCACTGTATGTTGTCGTTGTTGTATCCTCAAATCTTGTAACTCAATTTGAACCCACTTCCCAATGTGATATTGACTGCAAACTTGGTATACTTATGTCATACTGATGACAATACTATATTCTATCATAAAACATAAAACAAAGCTATATTTTTAAATATGGTTTACATGTTATGTTTCGGC